GGAGAATGTTTTGTCGAGTTAATTGGCATTTTCTATGTGCGGTTGAAGTCTCAGCCGGCTTGTCACTTCATATTATTCCCATGTTGATAGATCTTTTTCGCCTATCTTGTCATCCTTTGGCAATAATTTTCAACTCTAACTAGCACCTTGATCTTATCTATATTTCTATATGTATCCTTTTTTGTAACAATGTTCTACGACTACCGATTGCTGGATCGTATTTCAACATAGCACTAAACTTGATCATAAACACCACAAATCACCAACAACGAGGAGACAACATGGGGATTACTTCAACAACGACTATAAATAGGTTATGCAGATGACATATGCCTGGTAGCGCATACTTTCAATGATATGCAAACCCAACCCAACCAACGAAGGTTTACAATAGACAACACACAACTAGAAGACGTTCAGGAGATCACTTGCCTAGACAGAGTAGTAACCAACATACGAAGCACCGAAGGAGACATTCGAAATCACAAATAAAGCCAGAGGAGCCTTTGCAATGCTGAGAGAGGTATGGAACAGCCCACATATAACAAGAAACAATAAAATCGTAATGTATATAACATTAACTTAAATAGGTTCTATTGTATGGAGTTAATATTAAAAATCAAATGGTCAGATCGAATAAAAAATGAGGAGTTGTAGAGACTCTCAAAGCAAACTCAATTCAGTTAAGAAATCTGTCAGATATCTGCATGATAGCCGATAGACTCTTGCTCCCCGGGTTAGTTTGTTCTGACCGCACCTCAAGTAGGTAAGACTTGCATTGCTTGATGACTCGGTGGATATCCCTCAGAGTGTAGCCGTTCTTCTGGAGTACACTTTCAAGAAATCCTTCTTTTTTCCTTAAATTCGTTTCGTCGCATATCCTTTCTGCTCAGTGGAACAAGGTTAGGTTCTCTGGCCTCTTTTGTTGTGGACGAAACCTGTAGATACCTGTTTATGCGTGTCTTCTTCCGATACACTCCCAGTTCCATGCTCCCATCTTACTTCTTATTGACCAAAACATCCAGGAAAGGTAATTGTTTTGCAGCTTCTGTTTTCATTTTTGGTAATTCACAACAAAGGTATCATCCAAATAACGAAGCCATACGACTCTTTTTAACGCTTCTTCCTCAAATATCTCCATGTAGAAGTTGGCTATTAACGGCACTATATTTAACCACTATTTAAACGTGTAAGTTCGGTTAATACTGTTAACCAGTTAAAACTCAAATGTTAAAATTTGGTAATTGCTTTATGGAACGTCGCTGCTAATAGTAATAAAAGTGGCAAAAATACTACTTTGGAAGCTTTGGTACGAAATCAAACTTTCATTCATTTATCAACAAACTTGAATCTTTATCAAGTTAATCGAGGTTTAACGTAACGTTAATTAAGAATTTACTCTTTCTTGTTAGCTAAGATATTATGTTAGCCTTCGGTTAAGTTAATGTGAAGCAAACATACATTCATAAACTATACCTTTACAACTTCAAATCGGGAAGTAACCACTTCAGATTGGAAGCAAACAATTTCAAAATGGGAACTAACAATTTTAAAATGAGAATAAACAATTTCAAAATAAGAATAAACAATTTCAAAATGAAGATAAACAATTTCAACTTGGAAAAAAGCAAATACACCATTTTAAGTAAAAAGAACGTATTGGCACATTTAGCAATAGCCAAGTCTGTCATATTATTAATTAAAATACGTAAATCGGCCAATTTTGTTTTATGAACAGATCTTCGTCAAAGAAAAACTTTTACATTATCCCTAACTTCATTTTAATAATACTACAAAGATGCTAAGGAGATGCTTTATAACATATTCTGCTTTCTTTTTGGACGATAACGTCTAGAGTGAATACTCAAAAGGACGAAATTAAAGTAGAATTTTGCCAACTGAGAAAGTTCACAAGAAAGTGAATAAGAGAAGGTACCAAACATTATCAAGATAATCTAGTACATAAAATGACTAACGACTTAACTAAAAGCTAAGGAAAAAATGTGTGATGGGGAAAGCCTGGATACTAAGGATAAAAACGAATTGGCATTTTTTACATGAACGAGAACATATATTAATAAGTCCAACCAAATTTTTTCCAGTCTAACAAACATATGTTTGCAAACAATTGCATACTACACAATATGATTGAAATTGAAAAATTCAATAACATCATAACTGATATAAGGATTCCAACACAATGGAAAGGATCGCAAATGGTATTAATTCATAAAATAGAAGATAAAGTGGATATAAATAATTAGGGCGATAAGACAACTTATTTCAAAGGTGATTAAAAGAAGAATTACAACTATGCTGGAAGAGTGTCAACATGAGGAGGAAAAATCAACTTTAGACCATCTGCAAGCGAGAACAAAATTTATTTAGGCCAACAAAAAATAATTACAACAAGAATAAAAGAAGAAAAAAGAAATAAATGTATATAAACATAAGCCCCAAAAGAGCTATCGAACGTAGTCTTTCTACCCGGGATAGTATTTGCTTGAGTTTTGAATTTGGTTTTGTGATAATTTACATAGGAGATGAAGGGAGTGGGAAAATTGGGTAGTGACGAATAGGTTATTTAAGGAATCAATAGGGAAGTTGATGGCAACATTGTGGGATAAAGATTGTACACGGAGATTGGAGGAATTTGAATAAGATTATGTAGGAGGAAGTTGCTGGGATTGAAGAGTGGGTTTTGGGTATGTCGGATTCGTGTGATGCATCTAAAGAGCAGATCTTTCCGCTACTTCTAAATGGTATCTAGATGCATCAGCGATGCATATTCCACTATCGGCTTGCAGATGGTCTTGTAAATATGATCGGTTCATTGATATGCCGCGTCACTGGTATGTTAAGGATTTGAAGTGCTTCGCCCGAATTGTCGCTTTCATCTCCACCTTGATGGTCTCCAAGCGATTAACCAGATTATGGAATTGAGTACAACTTTCCCTTGTACATAGCCTCTATAGATTTTGGCAAAACCTTTAACTAGGTAGAACACGGGGATCTATGAAAAGCAATGAGAAGAATAAATATCGAGAATTTTTTGTAAACAAAGCTGTTTTTATGTAACTTTTTGTTTTTGGTAGATCCAATTACAATTTTATTAAGCTGCAAGGTTGTAACATCTTTTTCAATATGTTTTGGTATCGTGTTGAAGATTTTTTGGTGAATTTGATTCAGAATTATTCTAGTTTGCAAAGTACCCACGTGAGTACAGAAGTACAGAATAAGTCGTTCAAATTTGAAAAGATTTCGAAATATCGTGGTCACCGTTTTGAAAAATACAGTTTTGACGTGAACTCAACTTTGAAAAAATTGGGATGACCCCCATAAGTAAAATGAGAAATGTGATCTTAATTAGTTTTTTAAACAAGTTTGCAGATAATGTGATAGATCGCGGATTTTTTTTTTTAAGATATGGAGAAGAACTGCAACATTGTCATTGCTTAGTGAGCATCATTCCTTTCCTTTACGCTTCAAATTACATAGATTACATTTCTGGATTTTAGAATATTCATCTTATCAGCAGAGTTTTCTATTAGGAGCATCATGCTTAACACGCTTCTATTATTCTTCTTCTTTTCTTATTTTTTTTTCGTTGAAGATGTAGGCCTCCGATTACAGTAGCCAGTTAAACATCTCTAAGTAGTTAGCATTATGCGGAGAGAATTTATTGCACTATGAGTAATTTGTTAAATAGTTCACAAACTATTTCACTATTACTTAAAAGTTAAATGGACGACCATTCCTGCCATTAAAATCAACATTATCGACATTTAATTTATTATGTTCAAATTTATTTTTAGACACAAGTTGTTTGATAGGCTCAACGCATACAGGAAAGTGTTTTCTATCAAAACATAAAGAATAATATTTGCTACAATATGTACAATAAACGATACGCCAACTGCAAAACATGCGACATTGTTAATCAAAAACTTTTCTTTATAAACTCACTCATTCCTGAGATTTATTACACCCTACATTTTATTTATTTCTTTTTGTATCAGCACTTTTAAACCTTATTTTCGTCCGTTTGATATAAAAAGGAACTTTTACAGTACCAATAGCTTCTTTATAAGTGGCATCAATTAATATAATAACATCGTCGAGACGAGATTTAATCGTTGATAATTGTAATTTTCGTCGTGTTGTTATCTTTTCATCGCTATCTTCTAATACAACTAATTGCATGTTAAACAGGCGGACCAATCAGCCTCTTCCTTTAATCTTTAGTTTATTTTACTGCTTAAACATTATTATAACTAATTTGCTAAATATCTATTTCACAAAACAAATATTTTCACAAGTTCGTAAAAATCTTAAAAACCTGTCATTAAAATAGATGAATAATCTGTTGATAAACATACTTTAACCCTGAAAACGATAGTTACGAAAGTAATTAATGGTTAATGACATGCGAATAAGTTAAATGTCAATAACGTGCCATTAAACGATAATAAACCCAAGATTGGAATTGATTTATTTAATAAGGCAAAAGGCATGTGTTTAAGATAAGATAAATAATAATGAAGAAAGTCGTAAAGATCATTTACGTTTAATAACCCACACAACAATACACCATAATTATTTCTGGATACGTCAGATACATCAAAAAATTGATTGTTGAGATTTATTCGATCATAAAAAGGAATGTTAATAAGACGAACGCGTTTAAAATATCTAACAAAAAATAAAACTACCATTTCAAAGTTAACTTTTGACCTTACAAAAAAAATGGTACACGTGAAAGAGCACGATGACGAGTTTAGCTTGTTGAAAAGCGGAAAGAATTTGTAAAACGGATAACGAGTTGTTTTTCGAAAACCTAAAAATATAAAGAGACATCAGCAGTGACACAAAGGTCAATATAGTTTTGAATACCAAACTAAACAGTTCTTTAACAGCCGTTATTTAGATCGAAACGCTGCTCTCAATTTATAACAATTTCCATATAGACGAGTAATTCTTTTTTTATTCTTTTCTTGTAGAATGTTGAAGCCTTAAGAATTTAACAAAGGAAACTTTCAAACTAAGATATAAAATTACAGTAAGTAGCATTTCTAAGATTGCCAAAACGATTTTACGAAGTTAAAGAAAATTACCTTTCAGAAATAAGAAAAAAATGGAGAAGAACCAATCTACAGAATTAGATACATTTTTACCTGGAGAAAAAAATGGGACGAAGTGAGTTATAAAAATGTAATAATAAAAAAAAATTAATTATTGTTGTAATTTTGTAGACATGATGTCGTTTATATGTATCCTAATAGTTCGGAAGCCGCAAAAGCTCTCAATGGGGAATTCGATCCTTTTAAAGCTAGGGATTTAGAACACCCTGTATCGTAAGTATTTATTTCATCTTAAATGAACCCTTTTAAAAAGGATTTTAAGGCCACATTATTTTTCAATTTGAAAGTAGGTTCAAGCAAAAAAGTGTTTGCTTTCTTATCTTGCTTAGATTATTTTAATTCAAACTTGGCCTAAATTCATTAAAAAGAATAAATTAATACTATTTAATAATATTTTTATGAATTATAATTCTTTTTTAGTGACTGTGATACCCTCACACATCTATTAAAAGCCTCTCTAGGTACCGGAATCTTAGCTATGGGGGCCGCTTTTCAAGCGGCTGGTTTAGTTGTTGGTATATTTGCAACAATAGCTGTAGCCATAGTTTGTACGCATTGTTCATATGTATTGGTAAGTGTAAATAATTTAAATTACTGTAACACTTCAAATTCCTCCATTACATAAATGTTCATATTTTTTACACCTTGTTGCTAACTTGATAACTTTTTATTACACCCTTTTTTTATTATCAGAAAGATTTATAATATGTCCTATTTATAAAACGCTTCGTTTGACTACAAATTTATTTTAAAATATGTTTAATTTTTCTGGCCATTAGGGGAAGGTCGTTTAAATTAACTTTTAATGGTATGGACTCCACACTTGCACAAATTGCTTTCACTTTCTATTTATTTTATATCAGGTAATAATAACTTAATAGCCTTGAAGGAATAAAAAATAAGGTAAAATCTAAAACGTGCCAAAAAGTGACAATAAAAACAGCCATGAAACTAACTCATTCATGAACCTTGATTGATTTATTGATTTTTATATGAATTAATGTCATTTTTATTCGAATGATGATTTCTTTGCAAGATATCTATCTTGTACAAGTGTTGTAAACATCTTTGATCTATGAATACCATCTCAAATTTTTCTATCAAGAGAATATCTTTTCTCCAATTTTTCAATCTTCCCTTACTTTCTAAAATCGTTGCGTATTTTTTTACCTGAATTCATCACTATAAAAGTTTTTCTCATTACCTTCTCAATACTACCAAAAATTCTGTTATCAAGAATGCTGGAAAAATGATTTCCTAGTGAATTACTTGTTTTAGAGCATTACACTGCAGTTAATTATCCATTCTTTTTGACTTAATTTCACCAATAACCACAGCTGAAGTTGTAAAAATTTCTCTGCAGTCTAAGGGAAGCCTTTTGATCAAGTACTTTTGCCTTCAAAATTAACTATGCTACAGAACATGGAATATATATAGTTTTTGGAGTATTATTATATCCCGGATGAATTTCTTGAAGTAATGAAGGGCTGTGATGTTGGTTATTGTTTCATTGATGTTGGTGAATCCACTTTGCAGTTTATTGGAATAACCCATAGAGATCTTCTACATTCTACACCAGGTGCATCTGCTTAATTTTATTTCTGCTATAGTTTCTGTTGAAGCTTGCTGACTAGATAGATCGCTGTCCCGAATTCATAAAAGGATGCTGACTAGATTATCAGGTAACGATTGTAGCGGTAATGGCGTCTCTATCGTGGCTGGTAACCTGGATGGTTGGATGATGATCGGATTAATCATACAATACCTCTATAGGTCATATATCCCGTCGTTCAAGGCACGGGTTAAGAGATTGTTGTATTCGTCATCGCCAAGCTATCACCCATCTAACAACGTCTGTTACAACAACAACAACAATAAAGTCGTATCGACTTGGCTGGTATACAGGCTTCGGTTGATGTCTTCCTGGCCAACGGCAGTTGCAGCGAATACCAGTTCATCAACTAGATCTCTGAAATCATCAACGAAAATATGATGAACCATGCCTCTCTGGTTACGAAACTTCATAACGTTACTGCCAAAATGCAATAACTCTGAAAATAGAGGTTTGAGTAAATAGTATCTTCAATTTTCAGCACATTTTAAAAGGCAGGTTAAAAAATAAACGATGGTTTTACGGAAAAACTTTATTGAACAACAAGCACATATACAGGGTGTGTCAAATGTCTGGAATATAGCCAATAACTTAGCTTCAATAATTCGAAAAATGCTTCAAATACAAGTTTCTTTATTAATCATGGCGCATTTTTTGGCAATATTTGCTTGTTTGTATTGTTTTTTGTTTCGTTGCTATGACAACCAAAATTGTTATATTAAATGGGATGCATATATTTTTTTTCATACTTTGATTTCATACTTTTCACATTTTAATAGAGGATAAGTCCCTCTATACGATGAACATATCAAATCATATGGTTGTATAAGAAAAAAAACAAGAAAAATGCGTTTTTTGAAAGTCTTAAATCAGCTAATTACTATCAAAGTAGGCACCGAAGACAGCTTTAAATGTTAAAAAAAATACAGTTTCAACAATTATGAATAATTAATAGTGTATGGTCATTGGTAACAGTCTTCGGCCATCAACTTTTTGGAAGGTTAACACTTCCGGTGTTAAAACTTTTTTTTAATATTTTGGATACTGTGGATTGTGTAATTTGTGTATCCGGGAAAATATTATTGAACAGTGTACAAACTTCACTTTGAGTGCGTTTTCTATCACCTGCACCGTACCCATACATTATTAATATTTGGATTTTTTGTCGTTCACTTAATTGCACCATATTTGTTTAAACTGTCATTTTTTTGACATTTAAAGCTGTCAACGGCGTTATTTCGGGGCTTACTTTGATTGCATTTTTTCTCGAATTTTTTCTAATACAACCATATGATTTGATATGTTCATCGCGTAGAGGGATTTATCCTCTATTAAAATGTGCAAAAAAACATATGCATCCCATTTAAAATAACAATGTTGGTTGCCATAGCAACGAAACAAAGAACTATGTAAACAAGCAAGTATCACCAAAAAATGCGTCACAATTAATAAAGAATTTTCTATTTAAAACATTTTTCTTTAAAACCACAAATGGCGAAGTTATAGGCTATATTCCAGACATTTTGACACACCCTGTATAAAGTAAGGAATGGAAAGAGTTTTGGAGTTTACTTAAAACCTCCTTATACATCATTTTCAGTTTCTAAAGCACTGTCATCATCTCCGTAAATTCGTATAAAAATGGTGAAATTCTTTGGAAATAGAATATTCGCCTTTACATAGTTCTAATAAGTCATGTTCCTTTTTAAAGCTTATTGGGCGAACTTTTCCATCAGCTTTCCATATCGCGATGGCAGCTATTTCATAAGCAGAACCTTTTCTTTGATGTAGCAAAACCATTTCTTTAGATTTTAAATATCTAAAACATTCTGCCTTCAACAAATTTATTTCCTCACTTAATGTCAAGCTTGTTTTTTAACAATGATTTTGAAAACTGGTCTAGATCAAGAAAGTCAGCTAATTTCTCACTATGCCGATAGGCAAATCCGCGTTCGTGTAGCCATGCTGTGTGGCGCTGCTAATAAACCGATCGACATACTGATTAAAATCAGACTTTTGACAATTTTTGTCAAAGAAATCCAGATCGATGTGTATGTATTGGCACCCGACACTCAGTTGGTATAGCCTATCTAAATTTCGTATCATTTTTGCCAATTTTGTGTCCTATTATATTTAGTAAATGTTCAAATCCTGAATTTCCAAGTGAACATTCCAAGTTTATATTATCAATGTGGTCTAATTTTAATTCTTTCTATAGTGAAAATTGTTAACCAATTATGAAAAGTACACACAGGAACATATGATGTTTGAAAATAAGAAACACTGTATACGCATAATGTTGCGAATTTCTGCAACAAATAATGTTACAAAAAGTTTTGGTTTCTATTTTGATCACTGCAAGTATTAGAAAATGGAGCCAATTATTTAAGAGAAGTGGACGATTTTAAGTGGATTTAGACGTTACGGAACAAAACTATGTTGCAACCAGCAACTATTACTACATCTCTATTTACTACATCTCTATGAGCTGATGAATAACTTTGCGAGCAAAGTTAGAGGAGTGGAAGTTGAACAGTAGGCTCTTTCATCAGTCATCAGTAAACACTTTTGTTGAAAAGTCTTGTTATCAACATATTTTCATGCAAAAATACTAATTAACTCAATAAAATTAATTTTCATCTAAATTCAACATTTTTCATTCATTTTTTTTCAACCTTAACGAGCCATAACACGATTAATTAACTGATAATTTGTAGTCCTTTCCGAGGTTCTTGTAGCTTTCTGTCATCGATCACTGCAAACAGCGGCATAAAAGTTGTAACTTTATTATTTTCCCTGATTTCTTGTGAACTCCCTTCAGGAAGCGCACCACAACATACCAAAGAAAAGTTTCACTTGATAATTGTGACAGTTTTAATAAATTCCCTTTTTAAACTCATAGTTGTGTAAATTTATCATTCTTTAACCGTTTATATTTTGGTAGTCAAACGGATTTTTATGTGAAGTCCATTCACGACATAATAATAAAAGCTTACTTCACCATCTATTAGCCGAAATCCCCGGAATGTTAGTCTTATTATCCAATAACTTCATATAGCATTTTCCTATGAATGGTACAAAAATAAAACCGTGCTCGTGTATAATTAAGCAACTATGCATTCTTAAATATTCTTCCTCTATTTTTATGGACTAAATTACAGATTATGAAATTGTAAATTAGAAAATTTTTTATTCTCGCATTAAATTCTATAATAATATCGCAAACTACAATTTTTTTTTATTTCAGGTTGTTTGCGCACATGATTTATACAAAAGAACGAAAAAGACAAAAATGAGTTTTGCTGAAATAGCCGAAGAAGCATGTAAACGAGGGCCGAAATGGAGTAGAAATTTAGGGTTTTGGGCAAAGTAAATTAACACTCAATTTTAAACTATAACAAAAAAATCTAACTTTTTCCTTAATTTTAATTTCAGACAAATCATCCTGCAAGGTTTATTTATAACATACTTCACCACCTGCAGCTGTTACTCAGTAATAATCGCCAAGAATTTCGAACAAGTACTTACGCACTATCAATTGAAATTTAGCGACAATGATGACACCAATTTAAGACTGATCATCGTCACATTATTGATACCTTTAATCTTACAGGCTTACGTGCCTAATTTAAAATATTTAGCGCCCGTTTCAATGGTTGCTAACGTATTCATGGGACTTGGTTTGGGAATTACTTTTTATTATTTAGTTAGTGATATTCCACAAATTAGTGAGAGAAGATTAGCGTCTCCAATAACTACGCTTCCAATTAGTTTGGCTATTACTATATTTGCTATTGAAGCTATTGGAGTGGTAATGCCTTTAGAAAATAATATGAAAACACCAAAAAATTTCGTTGGAATTTGTGGAGTTCTCAATCAAGGAATGTCGGGAGTTACGTTAATTTATATTTTATTAGGATTTTTGGGTTATTTAAAATATGGTGATGATGTTTTGGGATCGGTAACTTTGAATTTACCTGAAGATGAATAGTAAGTATTATTTATTTACATTCTATATTTTATATTTTAATTCGGAGGAGTAAAATGAAAAGTTACGTTTACACAGTGTAATTTTTCAAAGCTATTTTTAACGGGAGATTTAACACCAGAGAGGATTTTAAGGAAACTGTAGTTACGTAATTAATTACTTATTTGTTTAGACATAATAAAAACCAGGGCATACCTACTTACTTTGTTCCACATAAAATGCAAGATATAAATATAATTTGACATTACACTGGAACCTCAATATAATAACCTGTTAATACGGGGAAGGCAGTGTCCGATATTTTCTAGTTCTAGGTCTAGTGTTAGTTCTAGTTTTACGCTAGCACCATCACTAGAACTAACACAATTCCTAGAACTAGAATCATTCGGGTTTAGCCGTCTTGAGAGACGTGCGGCTAAATCCGAATGTTTCTAGTTTTAGGTGTTGTGTTAGTTCTAGTTTTACACTAGTACTACCACTAGAACTAACACAAGACCTAGAACTAGAATCATTCGGGTTTAGCCGTCTTGAGAGACATGCGGCTAAATCCGGATGTTTCTAGTTCTAGGTGTTGTGTTAGTTCTAGTTTTACACTAGTACTATCACTAGAACTAATGCAAGACCTAGAGCTAGAATCATTCGGGTTTAGCCGTCTTGAGAGACATGCGGTTAAATCCGAATGTTTCTAGTTCTAGGTCTTGTGTTAGTTTTAGTGTAAAACTAGAACTGGAATCATTCGGGTTTAGCCGTCTTGAGAGATGTGCGGCTAAACCCGTATGTTTCTAGTTGTGGATCTAGTATTAGTTCTAGTTTTACACTAGTACTATCACTAGAACTAACATAACAGCTAGAACTAGAATCATTCGGGTTTAGCCGTCTTGAGAGACGTGCGGCTAAACCCGAATGTTTCTAGTTCTCGGTCTAGTGTTAGTTCTAGTTTTACAGTAGCACTATCACTAGAACTAACACAAGACCTAGAACTAGAATCATTTTGTTTAGCCGTCTTGAGAGACGTGCGGCTAAACCCGAATGTTTCTAGTTTTCGGTCTAGTGTTAGTTCTAGTTTTACACTATCACTAGAGCTAACACAAGATCTAGAACTAGAATCATTTGCGTTTAGCGGTCTTGAGTGACGTGCGGCTAAATCTGATCTCTCTAGTCCTCGGTCTAGTATTAGTTCTAGTGACAGTGGTAGGTAGTGCCAGTTAGCATAAGATATTACTATGTTGTATATTTTTATTGAACTAAAACTAGAACTAACACTAGACCTAGAACTAGAAAGTTTCGGGTTTTTAGTTTTACATTAGCACTATCACTAAAACCCGAATGTTTCTAGGCGGCCGGCAACATCTCGAATTTTTCTAGTGTAATTTTTGCTTAAAACTGACCAATAGCAACCCTTCTTTTTGGCGCTTCAATTTGAAAACACTCCTCCGAATTAAAAAATTGAGTATAATTATCTTTTCTTACCTTAAATTATTTTTCAGTCTTGCTCAAGCTGTTAAAATCCTAATCGGTTTAGCTGTTTTCTTTACGTTTGGTCTTCAATTCTACGTTTGTTTGGACATTGCATGGACGGGAGTTCAACATCGTTTCCAAAATAAACCACTCCTCGCAAATTATATTCTTCGTACAGTGATGGTCATCATTTGTATAGCTTTAGCAATAGCCGTTCCAACAATAACACCATTCGTCGGACTTATCGGAGCTTTCTGTTTCTCAATAGTCGGGTTGATGATGCCCGTTTTTATTGAAACGGTCACATTTTGGGATAAAGGTTTTGGGAAATTCAATTGGAAAATTTTAAAAAATACGATAGTTGTTATTTTTGCGCTTTTAGCTTTAATTTTTGGCTCAAAATCTGCAATCGAAGATATTATTAATGTTTATACGAAAGCACCGTCGGTAACTGTTGCTTCCTTACTTAATGAAAGTTCTATTGCAAATACAACAACGTTTTAAATTAATTTGGGTTGATTGTTTTTCATTTAGTTAATTTTGATACGTATTTAAAATTGTAAATAATTTAAAAATGAGAAAAGGGGATTAATTTAAGACTTTGATGTTTTTGAATCATACGAGTTTTGCTGAAACCATTTGTATTTTTTAAATAGAATAATACTTACGTTTTAATTAGTCAAAATTGAGGTTTAATTTTGTAATTATAATTTAATTCTGTACAAATCACAAAATTTGCGTTTGTTTAATTTGTTTAAAAGTTTGGGGTTTGTACTAAAACTTTATGCACACTATTCATGTGCCTTATTTACTATTACACATAATTGAATTAATTTATTTCCAAACATTCACGTTATTTTTCCATTTTGAACTTTTTATTAATTTTAACGTTTCTAAAACGTTATTTTGAAGGTTGTAAAGAGTTTGAATTCCCTCCATTTTATAAAATGTCAAATAAGTAAATTTGTCAAAATATCCTAATGAATTTTTGGCCTAATAAAAAGTCCAATCCAAAGAAAATCGTGTTTTCTTTATTTTTTTTAATCTCGCCTCAATATTTTATGTTTTAATTCTTAAACTAAATGATAAATTAATCTTATCATAAAGTAAACGATAAAATTAACTCGATATCACTTGGCCTAAAGCCAACAACACCTACAGAAAAACGTCTACTACCAACATAACGATACCAAAAATAGAACGGTATCTTTCAAAAGTGACACTTGTAATCTGTTAATCATCTACGTAAAAGAAGGCCGGTTACGTTCTTGACGCTCGCTCGATTGTTTTTTTTAACAAAAAAATTAGTTTTTCAAAGAAAATGTCAAAACCAAAAGAAGTTAAAAACAATAATTGGACCAATTATGCTGTACGAATTATCGTTAACACGGCTTCGCATCCGTTGGAGTATGCCAAAGTTCTCATACAGGTTAGAATCTTAAATGAACGAAATTATATTTTTTCCATCAAAAATATGTTAAACTTGACGGTTTTTTAGTTGGGACATGAACCTATCGCTCCAAGACCTTCGACCACGTTATTTGGAAAACCGGCACTTAAATTACCTAATGTTTTTCAATACGGTAATATAAGAACATGTGGAAATAAACTAAAAATGTATTAAAAAAAAATTTTTTTGGTTTCTAGTTAAACATATCAAATCGGTTGATGGTTTGGTTGGTTGTTATCGAGGACTTTTTCCTAAAGTTTGTGGTAATTTAGTTTGTGCGATTACAACGGAAAAGATTGTCGAAAAATTCGATAGGGATTTAATGGGACGAGATGATATCGACGATGACCTCGATGAAGATATGAGTGAAAATAGGAGTGATAGAAGAAAAAAGGAAGATGATAGGTTAATAATAACTGATAATTTCAATTTTTATAACCTTACCTTTAATTTTTTTCTAGAGCTAAATTTATTCGTAATTTAAAAAGAGACATTGTTAGTCGTGTAAGTGCTATTATAGTAAGCCAACCTTTTCATGTTATTACCATTAGGATGATGGCACAATTTGTTGGTCAAGAAACTAAGTATAGGTAATTTTTTTTAATTTTTAGGTTATATTTAAAACAATAATTTTGTGTCTTTAGAAGGCTATGATTTCATTTGTTACTAAAATTTAAGTTGGTATTAATTGACATATTTAATTTTTAGTGGTATTTTTGGTTCAATAGCTGAAGTTTATCGTCAAAATGGAATTACAGGCTTCTTTAGTGGTTTAATACCAAGAATAATTGGAGATATTCTCTTTTCGGTATTAGCTGGTGTTTTAACTTACACTGTAAATACTTATATTTTTGAGGAAAATGAATTACAAGTGTATACTTCAGCTACTATGTCTGTAAGTTTTCAACAATCATTAATTTTCTTTATTACTACCTTTAAATTTTTTTAGTTCATTGCGAGCGCTATAACATATCCATTCCAAGTTGTAGCGAACTGCATGGCTGTATCAAGATCAGGCTTGGCGGCTGGACAACCGCCGGAAATGCCGTTGTATTCTTCCTGGATCGACTGTTGGTTAGATTTGTCGCGTCATAATCAATTAAAACGTGGTTCGAGTTTGTTGATTCGCTATTATGTGGGTCCGCAAGTAATTATTGGTGGTAGAGCAGTTCCTATTCCGCGAAAAGACACTTTAACATTACATTAAACCAAAAAAGGTTTCGAAAGTTGTATTTATAATTAGCGACTGCCGCATTACTTTCGCGCATAAGTATTCATAAATTTTATTAATATACTGTAAATAATTTTTTCTTTTCTTTTTGGTACATTATCGTCTTATTTTGATTAACTGGGATATGTATGTGTACCTGGAGAAAACTAATTTTGTTTTTTTGTTTCGTATTTTTTAAAATAGACCGAGTTTTATTGTTGTTTGAGTTTTATTAAAATAATAAGTTACATCATATGCAAGAGGTTAAATGACGACTATTAGTTTTGGTTATAAGGCATTACCTTTATTAGTTTTATTCACACTTTTCTACCAAACTTTTTCTGAATATTATAAAGGCAATTCGTGAGAGAAGGTATCCACTTTGTGCCACAGTTAATTATACACTGTTAATTAATTATCATACCCAACGTCAACATTGCACGTATGCAACCAGTATCGCAGTATTGGTATTGCAATACGCGTTTTGCGTATTGGGTTGCATACTTGCAATGATGACGTCGGGTACGATAATTAATTAACACAATGTACCTCAACACTTAAAGGATCCCAAGGATATTAAACGATTATTTTGTTAACTCCATCCCTTTTGTTTTTTGTATATTATACAAGACGATCGAAAATACTCGATAATACGCCTGAAGGCAATACGTCGAGATTCGAGTATTTTCGATTGTCGTGTTGTATATGGCTAGACTATTTCATGAATAAAAAATATATACAGGGTTTTCTTACTATTATTATTGTTTTATTTAAAATTTTGAAACGTCGAATGAACGAGCGTAAATGCGGTAGATCTTTATTCATAAATTAATTTGAAAAACAATAATAATAGTAAGAAAACCACTGACATTTAAACGTCAAAAATATTTCTGACAAAGATTGCAAAGCCTACTAAGATTTTTTCATTAAAAATTCATTCCAACTTTTGATCGACAACCACGTTGTTGAACGGGCAGTGTTTGCTTTATTATTTTTTTTCTCAAAAATTAGTCGTTTTTGGAAAAATTTTAGAGAGACAAAAAAGTTTTAGGATACTTTCATCTACCTATGTAATTTTTTTTTAATGTATTTAACCTCGGCATAAAAAAATTTTAGCAAAAATGTAAAGGGGGTGGTTACGTTTAGTAGTTTAGAAGGATAGGTTGAAAGTCCAAATAGGGTGAAAACGTGCCCTACTACCAGTTAAACATATTCCCCAAATTTCGTTGTCCTAGCGTTTATGATTTTTGAGAAAAAAAAATTAAACCTAAATTTTCCGCCATTTTTGGAGGGGTGTAGCTCCTTAGGGGAGCCCAAGTCGCCCATGGTTTATATATCAAAGTACCCTTAAAATTGCCTAAAGAATCACCCCCTGAAGTTTGGGCATGTCATTCAGATACACCCTGTATATTTTTAGAATTTTTATATTTTTTTAATAAATTACATGGATTGTTATGGAAACATTCATGAATTTCTCGAAATTAATTAAATGTCAAACAAGCTATAATACAATTGTTCGTATTATCTGGTATTATCATTCTCCATGGTTACAACATGGAACATAGCTGAAATACTTGCAATTGACGGAAAACCTCGAATTCTTATTGGCTGTTAACGTTATGAATGAAATAGTCTTGGTTATTTGTATTGAACATTCTGTTTTTCCTAAGAGCTGGAAGACGTCTTTAGTCAAGCCTCTCCCTAAGATATCAAACCTTGCAGAGGCGAAGGACCTTAGGCTAATTCACTTACTGCCCATTTTGTCTAAAGTTTTTGAAAAAAATATCTTTAAGCAACTATATGACTACGTCCAAGTAAATGACATATTGCCAGAATGTCAATCGGGATTTCGTCAGGGACATAGCATCACAACAGCTTTGTTAAAAGTGACCGGCGATCTTCTAAAGACCCGGGATTTAGGACTACATTCAGTTGTAGTATTGTTGGATTTTAGTAGAGCATTCAAGACTGTTGATCGTGATGTGTTGTGTTCGGCATTGCGGTACATGGGGATTGGGAATGAGCTGCGACAGCTACTTCGAAGTTATCTTACTATAGATAGATTACAAGTTGTGAAGATTGATAGTTACCTATCGGAACCTAGGGGTCCCACAGGGTAGTATCTTGAACCCACTACTATTTTCGTTATATACTTCCATGTCAGTTGAGGCATGTAGATTATTATATGTGTGCAGATGATTTACAACTGTATATACCGTTTAAACAATGGAATTATGAAGACGCACTCCGCATGTTACAGCAGGATTTGAATAGTGTTATCAATTTTGCATTGAGGCACTTACTCTTAATGCTGGTAAATCGGTGGTGGTGCTGTTTGGGGGGTGGATGTGAGACATTGGCGGAACATGGACGGCTAAAGACCGGAGGAGTCCCGATAAAATTGGTTGCTAATGCAAAGAATTTGGGTTTAGTTATGGACAACAAATTTAGATATAAGAATCGAATTTCGAAATACGTTTCTAGTAATTTTTAAATTTTCTTTGCAGCTAATTTTGGTGTGATTATTTTTTTTGTTCTGGTTTTAAATACGTTTTTGTTTTAAGAAATACTTCTAATATTTTGATCCAAAAGAAACTCAATAGAAGTTGCAGTCTTCTCTCCACTCACCTTTTATTAATGACACCTAAAACTAATATTAATAAATTTAACCAATCAAAAATATACAACTTCTTATGATACTACAAAATAAGTATTAAAGTCATTTCAATAAATTTTCTCCCAATTACCCTCAAACCTATTAAAATACAAAAATTCGAATGTTGTAGATCTTCCAGTTTATCCATCCATCCAATGGCACCACGTCCAATTCGGACCTTGGTCTCTATTTTCCTCCTCCAGGCCCATCTGTCCCTCGCTATCGCTTTCCAATGATGTACCTGTAATATGGTTCGTGCATCTGTTTTCACTTTATCCCGCCAGCGATCACCTGTTCTTCCCAATGGTCGTCTCCCTGCAAGTTCCTTGAGACGCTTTTGGCCACTCTTGAAACGCCCATTTGATTCTTTGCAGTTTTATATACTTGAAACGCTAGTTTCCTTAAAAAGATTGCATAGCTCATGGTTGTATCTTTCTCTCGAAGGCATCTACGTTTGATTCGGTCTTTTGTGACAGCGTTCAAACTTCACTATATCCCATAGCATAGGACTGGTCTTATATAGCTGTATCTTTGCTTTTGTATGGACGTCTCTAGACTTGAAAAGGTTGGACAGGGCATAGTAGGTCTTATTTGTGCTGATAATTCTTCTGCGTATTTCTGTCATTTTGTCCCGGATATTGAGTATAGTAGTGCCAAGATACACAGTCATTTACAACCTCAAAATTCCAATCTCCAAACGTTAGATTTTGCCTTCTCGTTCTGTTACTTCTCGATCGTATGAGCACCTCTCCTGCTGCTCTTACCTGCTTTACCATTATATTAATGTCATCCGCATATTCTACTAGTTAATTCGACTTATATGTATAACAGTGATGAGTTGACATCGATTGTCGTTTTTCTTACTGCATGTTTCAGCGCCAAGTTAAATAGCACTAGCGCTAATTCATCTCCTTGTTTCAGACCTTGTAAGACCTTCCTTGTATTTTAACTCTGCCTTCGGATTCATTCATAGTTAGGCACGTTAATCTCACCAGTTTTGGTGGGCTGTTGAAGTCCTGCATGATGCTGACAAGTTTTCCTCTGTGGATACTATAGTACCTACTAGTGCCTACTTAAAGTCCACAAACAGCTGATATACATCTGTGTCAAACTTCCAGCATTTTCCAAGACTTGTTTGACCACGAAAAGCTGGTCTGTTGCCGAACGTCCTTGTTTAAAACCTGGTTGGTATTCGCCTATTATGGTTTCTGTTATCGGTTGAAGTTTACTCCGTAGTATGGCGGTAAAGGTTTTATAAACTGTACTGAGTAGAGATATTTCCCTAAAGTTTCTGCAACCGAATTTGCCCTCTTTCTTGTGTACCGGACATATAATACTCGTTTTCCACTCATCTGGCATGCGCTCTGATATCCACACCTTCTCTATGAGGCCAGTCACCGCTTTGCGTAAGGTCGGCCACCGTTCTTTGGTAGTTCTGTTGATATGTTATCATTTCCAGATAATTTATTGTTCGCAAGTTTGCATAGTTGTTTAACTTCTTGTAACCACTTCACATTTTTTTATCCATATCATCCCAGCACTTTTTACACCATTTTATCTTCGATAACATTTCACATATAAATCTTCAAATTTCCATCATTCAAGAACACTCGGTAATATTCGGTGGTAAACAATTTGCTCATGATTTTCAATAATAATTTCTTCAACCTTAAATATGTATATATATTTATTAATTATGTTATAAATTATCTTTTTGGTTTAAATAAGATATATGATTATATTCTCAAACTTTTTTTATTTAGAACCAAAAGGAATACATTGGAAACAAAAAGATTCTTAACAATATACGTTGGATGGTTTAAAAATATATAATAATGCCTAGGCACTGTATAAGAGTCATTTCCAATGAAAAAAAAACGGAAAAAGTACATATGATTTTTTTTTAGTTACAATCTATAATCACAGAAGTTATAGTTGCACTGTCGTATAATAATGAAAAAAAAGAAGCCTAACCGCTTACAAATAAATTTAATAATAACGCGTGCCCGCTTTTGTACTCCTCAAAAATACGTACGTGGAGGCGTTCACTTAAAGAAAAAAGGGAACGATTCTTTCTAATAAATGAAATGGGATGAATAAGTTTATTTTATGTAGAGGAAGGAAGTAGGTAAAAATGTTAAGTAACGATGATATCACCGGGTTTTTATTATTACTTTTTTTTTGGTAATTGTGTTTTCATGTATGATTCGGCAACAACAGGCACGGTAAATAACTAATTTTATTTATTTTATTTTTCGTTCGTTTTTTTTTTTTTTCTAATTTGCTTTTAATCGCAAGGATCAAGAGATATAATATATCAGATTCGTATCACAATACTGAATAGATTTTGTGCAAAAAAAAATCATCTATTTATTTAGATTATTATAAATTACGCTATACATAAATTAAGAAGGAAACGAACAAAATGCACAAAATCTTTCCTTCGTACATTCCGTTTTTTTCTTGTAAAGAGATCGATAAATCGTCTTTTATACATTATACAAGTTATCAAATTTTTTATACTGTACCATAATCATTAATGGATGATTTTAATTTCCTTTTTGATTGTCAATTTTGACAATTTAAGCAATTTTTGTCTTTTTTAATGATACAGTAAAAAAAAAATACAAAAAAATTTGTTAAATAGAGAAAGCCCAAGCGTAATTATTACATTTATAAATCCCTTTACACTCTTCACTACTAATTCATTAATAATAGCTTAATAAACATAGGTTAAAAAAAATTTAAAAAAGAAAAAACAGGGTAGGATTGAACAAATTTCTTTTCATTTAAAACTTCAATAAATTAAGGACGTAAAAACAACCACTTGTTGTAACGAGATAACCTCCGCCGGTTCTCAGTATATATTGCTAGATGAATAATACATTAAAAATAAAAACAATTGTTCGTAAGTATTTAAAGAAAAAAAAATAAGGTGATGATTAAAATACAAAATACTATTTATATACGTACGTCGCCCGCCCGCGTCGCATTTACACTAAACAACGTTCGTTATTTTTTTATTAATTTTTTTGTTTGTTTTTCAATTATCATTTTTGTTTTTTTGTTTGTTTCCCATGTGATATGTTGCCGGGACGAACATCTCTGCTACTCACACGCCCTCTTTGTTTGCATCCGTTTTATCCAACGCCTTTGGCACTTCAGATGAACCCGTTTGCATCGGAATACCTTCTTGTATAACCACCCTAAACATCATATTTCATTATTAATACTCAATTCAAAATGAATATTGATACAAAAATTTAACCCCTTTAAGACAGTTGTGCCACACCAACTTTTTTGGAACCACGGACAGTTGTTCTATACCGGGAATATCATAACTCGCAATATATGAATGCAGTAACCATAGTTACAAAACTACTATGCTAGTTATACTCTGTTTTTAAACCAGGAGAGTATTTTAAATTTGTCACCAGATTGACCTTGCACGTGATTGGTTGAATGCGAGGAAGGTTCACACACAGGCAATTTTGAATTTGAATTTTGAATTTGAAGGTTAGGTAATTGATAATTCGACAGTTTCGTGTCATTATTGTATATTTTGTGTTCTTAAACCCTCTTTTATTATATTTTGAAATAAATACACTCATAACTTCAATGTTAATTTGTATGTATAGTGTTGACGATAACAAACGAAAACAAATACAATAATAAATAATAAGTAAATAAATAATAATTATTAATTTAAATTTACCGCCAAAATATCTAGTGATTTTTTCCAGTGTAAATCTGACTTTCGCGTTTACTCCTCCTGGTTTAAAAACAGAGTATAGTTCTAGTGCAAGTGTTAGTTCTAGTTTTAATTGTTATTCAGCGCTAAGTTGTATATTTTTAAGTTTCGGGTTTAGCCCTGTGTCTTCAGACGCTGAATGTTAGGTAAGGTTAGTTTTGTTTACAAACATTAGCTTTGTTCGTTGGGACTGCACTACTTGCACTAAGCAGTTTAGTGCAGATGTTGTGTGTTCGTTGGGGATAGTGCAGTTTAGTGCAGCTGCACTCACACTGTTCGTTGGGCCATACGTAATGCAACTTCGTGCAGCCGGTGCAAGTTAGTGCAGATTTTGTTGCACCTGCTTTCGATTAAGTTTAATAAGTGCAGTGTAATTCAGTGTAACGAAAATGGCGGAATATTGGAAAGCGTGTTTTGTAATAATTAATATTCATATTAAATATTAAGAAATAAAACCTTATAATTAATATTTGTTGTATTAGAAAACACAGTACATTAAACCCCAGTAGAGGCAGTAGAAAATGGACAAGATAGTAGATAGATAAATGGACAACAGACTATAAATAAGATATTAATTTGTTTCTTTTTTTAGGGTTATTATAAATTATTAGGCAAAGGAAGAATTCCAAATCAGCCCGTCATCGTTAAGGCCAAATTCTTCTCGAACTCTGCAGAAGATAAAATTAAAGCTGTTGGTGAAGTAAGTTTTAATAAAATTATTACTATAAAGTTATATTTTTTTGACATTAACATAACCTTAACATATTATACACTTTTTTTTGATAAAAATCTGTTCGTTGCGACCACGGTTTATACACTTTTCTGATCTGCACTAAGTTGACATGACATTGCACTTACTTACACTTCATTGCACTATGACGTCATACGAGTGCCATGTCATGCAGAGTAGTGCAGTCCCAACGAACAAAGCTATTAATTATACCATGAAGTATTCTTTGGCAATTAGTAATGGCAATTATAGCGTGAAATTTTCTTTTGTAATGTCAATTATAGCGTGAAGGAATGTTAGGTAAGGTTAGTTTTGTTTACAAACATTAATTATACCTTGAAGTTTTCTTTGGCAATTATACTCTGTTTTTAAACCAGGAGGAGTATTTTAAATTTGTCACCAGATTGACCTTGCACGTGATTGGTTGAATGCGAGGAAGGTTCACACACAGGCAATTTTGAATTTGAAGGTTAGGTTATTGACAATTCGACAGTTTCGTGTCATTATTGTAAATTTTGTGTTCTTAAACCCTTCTTTATTATATTTTGAAATAAATACACTCATAACTTCAATGTTAATTTGTATGTTTAGTGTTGACGATAACAAACGAAAATAAATACAATAATAAGTAAATAAATAAATAATAATAATTATTAATTTAAATTTACCGCCAAAATATGTAGTGATATTTTCTGGTGATTTTTCCTAGTGTAAATCTGACTTTCATGTTTACTCCTCCTGGTTTAAAAACAGAGTATAGTTAGTTGTGCTAGCTATGTTAGTTCTATTTTTCGTTCAATAAAAATATACTACAATCTAACGCTAAATAAAACTATAACTAACACAAGACCAAGAACTAGAAACATTTGGATTTAGACGCACGTCTCTTAAGCAGTGATGTAAAATTACGGTAATTTATAATTTGTGTAAATTACGGTTTTTTTTTCTCAAAATTTATTGTTGCGTAATTTAATAATTTTTTTGATAAATTACTACGATAACTTTTTTATTATTTTGATTCAAGGACAGTAGAATCTAACTTGATTTTGATTTAATAAAAACTTTATATAAACTACAAAGGATTTAAAATAAACATACATCCTAGCTCCTAGCGGTAATTTATGAAATATTTGTTTGGTAATTTACAGTAAAATACGGTAAATATTTCGGTAATTTCTAAGAACTAACACTAGACCTAGAACTAGAAACATTCGAGTTTAGCCACACGGCTCTCAAGATGGCTAAACCCGAATGATTCTAGTTCTAAGTCTTGTGTTAGTTCTAGTGATAGTGTAAAACTAGAACTAACACTAGACCTAGAAAATCATCTAGTCATTTGATACCGTGATAGACCATGTACGTTTAGTACTAGTCTGTTTCAGAATGTCATCTAAGGCCAGACGTGCCTTAGAAAACTTTATTGTTGTCCAACTTAAAAACCGCTCAACTAAAAAGTTGCCATGAGATTTGCGCTTCGCACGTTATCAACAGAATAGTTGCTGTAGTATGTACGTGTTTGCTGTTAGTATCAAAAGAAGAAAAAAGAAAAACGGGCGTTTTTGGATTCATCTGTCAAAGACTATACATATAATGGTCAATTTTATAATCCATGGAATTATTGAAGGAGCACCTTATGAAATTCTTCAATTACTTTACTATGTGTCATATGAGTTTTAATATCTTACTAGCTTCAATGTGGATATGTTTTATTTCGAAAATTCATCATCCAATGATGATGGGGATTCTGCAAATGATAATGCATTTTGAGTTGATGAACTAGCAAAAGAAGTGCATGGTTGAGGTTGGTTCACTAGCTGCTCTAGGAGTCCTGATGCAATGTTAATAAAGTATTGCCTCAGTGGTGCAGACTCATTACGTTCATAATTTCTGTCTTAGCCAATCTCTGGTTATCGCCAAACCAGTACATCTACTTCCTTCGTCCTCTTTTCACGGAGTATATTTTTAAGGAGTCTAATAATGACTCCTCATAAGTCTTTGTAGTTTTTCTTTTACCTTTTGCCCGTTTTTTTTTGTTGCTGTGATTAAAAAGTTGCGTGCGAGCGCCGCTTCATACAACTCAGTGTGTTTCATTTTGATGAATTTTAAATTGCCGCAACTAAATCGCTTGCGCGCCTGGCCTAATGATCACGCAGGTCCGTCGGACTGTAATACCTATTGTAGACTACCTAGGAAGGAAGTGAGAAATGTTAGGAATGCGCTAAACGATAGTACAACGATAGTGACAGATATTTGAGTGAGGACGAACCATTTATCGACAGCTGCAACGAATATATCCCTTACCCTGAGAGCGAACAACTATTATTGCTGCAGTTGATGGAATTTTAGGGTAAGAAATATTTAAACAATGAAAATCTTCCACAAAAGGGCGTTAAAGTAAGTTTAGACATGCGTGGATTTAGTGGCGCCAGTAGTTGCGCCAGTTCTATTTGCACGCCAGTAAAGGTTTACACTACATGTGGGAAAACAAAAATAAGTGATACGCCAGTTTCATTTTTAAAGTGTATTGCACAGAGTGCAATATGTTGAGTAAACTTTCCAAAGCATGCAAAATAGTCGCTAAACTTTTAGTGGAAAAAAAGATAAAAGAAATACAGAAAAAGAAACGACGAAAAGATCGCGTCATAACATAACCTAAATTTGACATTAAAAAATTTTGTATTTTTGTGGATAGTAATCTATGTTGTCATGGTTACATGTTTTTAGAGACTGGCGCCAGTGATTTCAGAAGGATGCAGACTTTTCCGATCCATGAATGCATGATTTCAACTTGCATGCCAGTTGATGTTTACACATGCAATTTAATTTTACTGGCGCGCCAGTTTTTATTGGCGCCACTAAATCCATGTAGACATGCATGGATTTCTCCCTGGAACTCACTATAACTCCATTTAGATAACAAATCCTTTCGAAGATCTTAATACTGAAGATGGAATGATATGCGCCATGTTCTTACCACCAACTGTAACTGCTTTGATCCAGCCTAAGGATCAAAATGTATTAAAAACCACAAAACTATATTACAGAAACAGTTTATATCAACAGTTTTATTGTGATTCACAATAAGTGGACTGAAAAAAATATCAGGTAAATTTTCCGTGGAAACTTTGGCAACACCATGGAAATTAGAATCAATGATTTTATAAAAATGACAGCATAATATAAGAAGTAATGAAGAGTATGATGCTAAAGGTGAATTATCACTGTCAACTTTGCAAAAACATGGAGAAATTAAGCAGAAAACATCGTTAAAAACACTCTTTCACTTTTGCAAGAAATTCAACCTGTAAGTAGTGTACAGAGTGGGCCAAATTGGACACTTTTAAAGGGAACTCCTCCTCTTTCTGTAAGAGATAGAGAAAAAATGATATCAGTGCCTGAGGCTCGATTTTTATAAGAAACTTAATGGCGAAAACCGCATATCGATATCTCTTACGCTTTAAGAAATACAGGGTGTTTTAAAAAAAATGCATTTTCGAAAAGTCGTCATAACTTCTTCTTATTGATAAACCTTCCTTTCTGTGAAAACATTTCTAAAGCAACTTTTTATGTAGAATTCGATGGAATAAGTTAGCTTTCCCTCAAAACAATATTTTAGCAGTTATTGACATAAAAATGATTTTTTTAAATGGAACATCCTATATATTATTGCTAATTCGGCGAGAGCTTAATTTCCTTTCCAAAAATATAGCACACTTGATATTTCGATCAAGTCTTCTTTGAAATAGACAAGTTGAAAACTTATATGTGCAGATTTTGAAAAAGTAGGCTTTGGAAATAAAAGAAAAACGAGATTATATTTATAAGTAGTATCAAGATGGTTGGTTACAATTATGTCAATAACTACTAAAATATTGATTTGAAGAAAAGCTAACTTATTCCATCGAATTTTACATAAAATATTGCTTTGGAAATGTTTTCACAGAAAGGAAGATTTATCAATAAGAAAAAAGTTATGACGACTTTTCGAAAATGCACTTTTTTGAAAAACACCCTGTATCTCTGAAACCGTAAAAGATATCGATATGCAATTTTCGCCATTAAGTTTCTTATAAAAATCGAGCCTTAGACACTGATACCATTTTTACTCTATCTTTTATAGAAAGAGGAGTTTCTCTTTAAAAGCGTCCAATTTCGCCCACCCTGTACAGTTTGGTTACACACCTTTAATTTGGAATCAATATTACTTTGCCTAAATGATTTTTAGAGCAACTACAATTCTAAAGACGATGGACTATGGAATAGCGACATTTATAGTCAGTATTCCGAAAAAGGAGAAGACAGTATTCCTAAAAAAGAAACCGAAGAAGAAAACGATTCCAGAATAGATACGACCCATAAAATAATCCATGCTGACACAATTCAATTGTTCATCGCGAGTCCACTCTACTTGTATTTTAGTAATAATCAAAACTTGGGATATCTCGTATGGCAAGAATAATACTAAAAATAAAGATAAAAGAGCGATCTGGGAATGGGAGGCGATGTTATTATAAAACTGTTAGAGCCCTACTTGAACAAAAGCCATTCATTTTACTGTAATTACAACTACACAAGTCCAACTTTGGCAAATTTTCCTTTTTTTCAAACAATCTCTTGCAGAACTGTTCGCATAAATCGTAAACACATGCCAATTTTTGAATCTCCTTTCAGAAGTTTCTCGCAAAAATGGGAAAGCACAGCAAAGATTGTAATACTATGCTTCCAAATATACTGTTCAAATATTAGTAGTAGCAGTAGAAACGGGGGGAAAAGGCTAGCCCAGAAGAGACTTACATTAGTTGAATTATGTTTTTGACCTCATATACATTTTTGATATTTTGTTTATAATATTTTTGTTCTTATATTTTTGCTTTTCCAAAGGCTTTAAGTTAATTAAGGTAATTAAGATAATTTAAGTGTCGTATATATTCGACAAACGCCTGTTTGCAGCAAAAAATCCGTCAGTGTGGCACACAACTTACTTTTGGGTGGTCTTAAAAAAGTTAAAAATACTTACAATGGAGAAGAACCCTTTTCACTTTCAACAGCTTCCGTTTTGGGTTGATCACCAGAAGCTTCAACGGTTTTTAAAGCTTCACCCCCACCACCGCCATTGCTCGACTGGTCTTTTTCGTCATTTTGAGAAATTGTTTTAACCTGATCGTTAACGTTATCCTTGTTGACGACAACCTCCTCCTCCTTTTCCTTTTGAGGTTCACCGCTCACGTTTTCCCTAACCGTTTCCGCTACCGGCACCACGTCCGTTTGTTCGATTTTCGATTGTTTTTTCGTTTCATCATTTTCAAAATTCGATTCGAAATTCGCAAAAGAAGCGGCCGAAAAATCGGCCCAACCGGTATTCGATGTTTCTGTTTTATCCAGCTCACCCCATGGAGATGAAGATGGCGCTTCCGATCCCGGATTTGGTGAAGACCAAGCTAAATTATTTTTTTTTTAATTAAAAATGTGATTGGTTTCTGTTTGAAGATATTTACGATCTACATCCATGGACGGATCAACACTGGTCGGTGAAATATCCTCATCACTATCACTATTATTATAAGAAGGATCTTTTCTGCCGCCGGATTTTACAATGACTGTTTGGAAGGTTTCATCGCGTTCCAAGAAGAATTGATCGTCGGTAGTACCCAATGTGTTAATGGTCTGTGCGCAAACTTGCTTAAAGAGTTCTTGTTGTTGGATTAAATCGCCCTCCGATAAATTAAAATTCATAGACGTACGATGATCAATCGTTCTAAAAACAATTAGTTGAACAACAAATTTCGAGCAATTTAAAAATTTTCTTACTGTAACGTATCATCACCATCATTAAAATCATCATCGTTAAAACCATACGTCTCAATAAAATGGCTGTTCACCTGTTGCATTTGATATTCCGCATACTAAAAAATTACAACAAAAAAAATTAGGTTATGTTGTGAAACTAATTTAAATAGAAACAAAAAATAATCAATATCATTTAAAATCTTACGCTAACTCTAAGATTTGGATCAAGCATTTCATAATAAAAGTTTACATTATGTAAAAAAATTATTAATTTTATAACAAAAATGTGACAAATTCAAACTGACATTTACAAGTTTCCCATATCAATATTGCCAACTGCAAATGACATTTTTATAATTCGCGACGGTAATGAAAGTTATTACAGTACTCAAACGGGTGCTGTAATGAGATTTTAGTAACATTTTATGGAACCAGTTCAAGTTTGTGACATTGGGCCATTAATTTTTCTAATTGTCAACATGACAATTTTTGTCTATGGATGTTTAAACACGTTTTTAGCATCGAATACAAGATCCACAATGATGAGGACATTGAGCTTTGAGCAATTCCTCTTATTTTGGGAGGTGTACATGAAACATTTTTGTCAGGTGAATACATTTTGTGTTTTGACAATTTCTAGTTGTCAATTCAAATTTCTATTTTCAAGTGTTACGGTGTTACCAACTGCTGTATACCTATTTCCCTACATTGTCAAAATTTATTTAATTTTTTTTAAAGAAAAAGGATTATAACGCGAATTAGAATAAAAAGACACGTTTCATAAGACTTAAATTCGTGCATTTCAAGCGTGTCTTACGAAACTTGTTTTTTAATATATTATTATTTAGTATGGATAAAACGTACTTGTTGTTGTACGGCTCGAGATTGCCTAAATTGAATGTCGTAATCATCACTGTCCTCGTTTGAAGTGTTGGGGAGAGCACCACCCTAATTAAAAAGTCAATGATAATCAAAAAAAAACTTTAAAGATTGATTAATTTAAACCTTACCAATAAAGTTTGTTGCGTTTTAATAGTTTCCGCAAGCGTGGTATCCTTAAAAGTATCAAGCCGTTCAGCGACTTCCGGTAAATTATCCTTCAAAAATTGTCCGAGCGACGTTTGCGAACTCGAATCAACAATTTTATTCGTTATATTAATCAAATGCCCCATATAACCTCTACGAATCCCTTTTGTTTGCGCTCTAAATAAATATTAATATTAAACAAAATCACAACTGGTAATTAAAGAACATTAATTAATTACTCACTGTTGTTCATCGTTCTCCTCCCACGCGTCTAGAATCCTCTCAATTAACTTACAATTAACTAACAACTAAATAAAAAAAAACAATAAGATTTATTTAATTGAAAAGAATTTGTTTGAATTTTTTGTCTTACATGTTTTGATAAGGCGTTTGTATCTCCTTGTTCTGGCGAACATTGAGCCCCAATCGCGGCCGCTATGCAAGCCTCAACTTGGGTGTGCAAAAAATTATTCCATTGGAACTTAAAAAACATATCGAGAAGAACCTCCATCGTTCCGAGCGTCGCTAATTCTTGCAACAATTCGGCGTTATTGGACAAAACGATTGCGGCGATTAATTTGGTCACTTGGAGACGTGTATTTCCTAACGGAGGGTCCAATGTTCCTAACGTTGTATTTATAGGCAATTTCTAATAAGAAGTAAAAGAACATTGTCAGTAACAATGTCGATTTATATATTTTCAAAACACCAAGAGTTTCTTTAGTTATAACTCTTATTATTCACAACGTCTTTGTATTCTAAAAGCACTAAAGCACCTAAACCGCAAAATCGCTATTTTTCAGGTCATCAATTTATCATTTATTAGTGACTATATTGTAGGGAATGAGGAACACAGTGTTACAGGATTACAGTGTTCAGTACTTCAGCTAATATCTATGTTTTTCGTGAATGTAAAGATACATGCAATTTGAGAAAGATGGACTAAGAAGTTTTAGATTCAAACTAGTTTTGCTCTGTCACTGGTCGAAAATATAAATTCAGGGCCACAGAAGATGAAGTAAATCGTAAAATTCTTCTCGTTATGCATCTATTGGCATTGAGAGGGAGAATTTTTGAATTGTAAAACAGAAAAGCAATTGTTGTAACAATTCGTGAATAAACGCGGTTTCAAATCTTTATATGGCATAACATCACTTAGCAGTTACTGTCAAGCCTGTATATTTTATAAAATAAAGAAAATACCGAAGACTATATTGAGTGGTATGTAGATCACAAAGAAACTTGCACCAAAACCTCAACCCACTATCCACACCGAAACCAGATACAACCCATACGAACTGAGTCATACTTAGCGCATCCATAACCAAATTAGTAGCAAACCAAATGGAACCCTTCTAATGCATTACTAAATCAAACACAACCTATTCGCATCTAAATCAACCTCAACCCAACTCAACCACATCCACGCAGAAACCAGATCCAACCCAAACCACCTAAGTCACACCTAGCTCATTCATATCAATCACATACCAAATAGAATCCATTACTAAATCAAGCTCTACCCCTCCCCCAACTTAATTCAGGCAAATTACATCTACTCTCACCTAAAGCGAGCCCATTAACTCCACAATCCAATCACATCCCAGATCATAATGTAAACACTGTAGCACAAATTGCATCAAAACCCCAACCCAATATATACACCTAAACCAGATTCAAGCCATACAAACTAAGTCATACCTAGCCGATCCATAACCAAATTAGTAGCAAACCAAATAGAACACTTCTAATGCATTACTAAATCAAACCTAACCTACTCGCATCTAAATCAACGTGAACCCAACCACTCCACATCCAAGCAGAAACCAGATCCAACCCAAACTACCTAAATCGTACTTAACTCATCCATATCCAAAGTAGTCGCAAATAGAATCCGTTTCATACATTATAAAAGCAAATTCAACCTGTTCACATCTAAATTAGCCTCAACCCAATTCAACCACATCCACGCAGAAACCAAATCCAACCCAAACCACCAAAGTCATACCATAGCTCATCCATATGAATCACATACCAAATAGTTCTATTACTAAATCAAGTTCAACCTCTTCCCCCAACTTAATTCAAGCAAATTACATCTACTCACATCTAACCTGAACCCATTTAAAATTATCAATATTGATTGTGTAATCCATTTTACCAGTATTACAATAAATTTAAATTCGGCTTGACGAGTTTCGACTTACGTCATCCTCAGAAGCGCTACAATACGTTATTGAGTAATATTAATTGATGTTACAATTCAATAACGTATTGTAGCGCTTCTGAGGATGACTTAAGTCGAAATTTGTCAAGCCGAATTTAAGAATTAACCAGTAAAAAGGTACAAACTTCAATTAATTTATATTTTTCTTCGTTTACATTAAATGAACCCATTTAATCCACAATCGAATCACATCCCGGATTATAATGTAAACATGGTAACTCAAATGCTGAATTAGCTTATGAAACAATACACGAAATTCACGAAATTCAGGTGGTGGTGGCAACATGATTGGAATACGAAGATTTAGCATTTAACTTAAATAATTGAGAGGTTAGAACATTCTTTTCTAAATAGGACTGCAATATTGCATAGAGCTATTATACATAATATATAATGTTATTTCATTTCTATAATTAGATTAGTTCAAGCATCACTTAAACTAATTTCTGGATTACAGAATTGATCACGTTAAAATGAAAAAAATATATACATTTACCTTGGGTGGATCTAAGAGTAAATTGTGAAAATCTTTGATTCTCTTCATAATCGCTATGGTGGTGCTTTGAATAACTTTTTGACGTTCTTCTAAATCATTCGGTTCATCGTGATTGGAATTATTATAGATGTTTTGAGAATCGTATTTTGGAATGCTAAAAAAAAGAAAATAAGAAAAATAAATCCCATTAACACCTGGTGATTGAAACTATTTCTCTTACCTGATTTTGTGTATATCTAAAAGAGCGAGAAGTACTTGAATGCCACCAACTATACTACTTTCGATTTTTTCGTTACCCAATATATGATCCAAAAGTAGAGAAACTGTATCAGGTCTAAAAAAAAGATGTTAAAAAATTCGAAATAAAACAAATTTTAATTATTACGATTCTAATGTGTTTAATAGTGGATCGGGATCGTTACGTTCCGTGGAATTTCGCTGATTATCTCGTGCAGTTTTAACGAAATCACACAACAATTGAGCAACGTTATAATGCCGTTCCTTGTCGACCTTCGGGTCTAACAACCCCACCAAAGATTGAACAATTTGCTGACTATCTAACCACTATTAAAAAATACTTATCAATTAAAAAAAAAATCTGTACTAAAAATTTTTTAACATACATTTAAAATATTTTGGCGCATCTCGACACCTTCCACTTGCGTCATGAGCTTGAGCGTGAGATCCATAATGGCCGAGGTGCCTAAGTGATTGAGCAGGAGGGTTATAAAATTTTCTTTAGCCTTTAAAAAGTCTAAAACCTGCAAGCACGTGAATTGATAGGATAACCAGTTCTGGTGGGGCCAAGTTAGGATAGAGAACCGTTCGGAACCGAGAGACAAGGTTTCAGGAGGAAGGACAGAAAGAGAGAGAGAAAAAGAGAAAAATTTGTTATAATATAACAATAGTCTGGTCTGTACATCTAGAAACTAAATTCACAAAAAAAACAATAAAAATGATTTTTTTTTCTATACAGGGTAAGTTCGAAATTATTTTACATTACATTATCTTTTTTGAATGTTGCATTTAAAAATAATTCAAATTAAAATTACCATATTTTGAAACCTTTAGTGTTTGACTAAAGGTACTTGTAAGCTAAAACCGAAGTTTGGCTTTTTCAACAATCAACTATTTTCTACACTTTTAACATCCATCTGATAATGATTATTAAGAATTTATAGATAAAAATACAAATTAAAACTACAATAAATAAATATAGTCTTATTTCAGCAAATATGAGTTATCTATGACATGCACCCGCAAAAATGTTATTTATACATTGTGTTTCACCTACCATAAACTCATAAATTCGCTGGTAGACATTCCAAAAATGTTTCAGAAAAATTATGGACGTCAGAAAGCTATGCATCAATTTACTTGTTGAAGGTTTTCAACATTTATTATATATTTATATTTTCATGTACAAGTTCGACTAGTTTTTGTGATTCAATTTTAATAAATGCCAGTTCCATAATCAAGCCTCAGATTATGTTGGGTAGGTTTGGTTGGGTTTTGTAGATGTTATAAGCTAATATACTTCAGCATGTAATATATCTTCTCCATGTTCATATAATTATGTTGGTGTAAACAGCCATAAAACTAGTTTTAGTAATTCCTTCCTTATCTACCTCCTACACTTTTTGTTATTTCAAGTTCTTTAGCATGGACATCTCATATGGTAGTGCTACCATCCTTTGATAGTTTGACCTCCAGATATGTGAAGTCATTTGCTATTTCCAGGTTAATACCCGATGGTTAGATTTTGCAGAGTTTTTCTTGAGTGTGATTGGGTTAAAACTTTGATTTTCTCTGCATTTATTGATAGACCCACTTCTCAAGCATTGTCTTCCAATACGATAAATTCTTCCCATTATATTAATGTCGTCACCATATGCTTCTATTTGGAAGTACTTATTATTCGAGATATTTGGAGAATTGATCGACATTTTTCTTATGACATTCCAAGGCGATATTGAAGAGAACGGGAGCCAATCCATCACCTTGTTTCAATCCTCGAGTTATTTCAAATGGATTGGTCATCTGATTCTACAGGGTGACTGGTACATAAACGTATTTATTGAAATGCATTATTATAGAGCTCATTTGCAATTGATTAAGCCTAATATTCCTCATACAAAGTTGAATAGTTTAGGAATTATTTCAATTTTCTGGTTTTTGTACATTTTCAATACATACTCCTACAAATATTGGAATTTTGAGTTTAATAATAGTTTCTTTGGCAACATATTGACTTCTCTGGATAGACTACACTCTAATACACATTTTAAGTTGAAAAATATTTTAAATATTTCGATTGTTTAAAAACTCAGGGAAAAATGTTTCATGACTTAAGTTAATTTTTAAACACAGAAATTTTTTATGAGCATCTATTTAGATATTAACCAGGGCTAAATGTCTTTCCAATTAGGTAATAATAAGATAACCATTGGCGAATGTATAATTTTGACAACTTACCGAAATTTATTTATTTTAGCGAATAGAAACTAGAATCGTTAATTCCTGATTACATTAAATCCTGAGGTTGACATTCAATTCATTAATAGCTATCAATCATTGACTAAACAAATAATTTATAGGATAACAGTTGGAGTAAATACAATTTTTATAGCTGACAAAAGATTAATAATAACCTACATTGAAAAAACCACAAAAATTAAGCAATTTTATGTATGATATTAACATCAACAAAAACAAGTAACCAAAGGTAAGTAACGCATTGTTTAATTCTATCTAAAAAGAACTCATAACTACAAGTTTCACACTTCAAAAACTGCACCTCCATTCCTTATACATGCAAGAGCTCTTTCCTTGATTCCCGATCTTATTATCTTACTTGTAATTAACGTTTTTAAAACAGATGCCTTGTTTTGGATTTTTTCTATTAATTCATCCTTAGAGTTGACTCGTGTAGCATACACTCTTTCTTCGTGTGGTCTGACACATAAAAATCAAGGGGCGTCAAATCAGGACTCTTTGCAGTCCATGGAATTGGTCCTCCTCTCCCAATCCAACGATTAGGAAACATTTCATTTAATGAATTTCGAACATTTTGGGAATAGTGTGCAGGGCATCCATCATGCTGGAAAAGCATATTACATCTGTTTTCTAAAGGTACATGGTCAAGCAGGTCTATTAAATTATGTAAAAATTCATTGTATGCCGCGCTAATTAAACGATCTGGTAAAAAATAAGGAACAATTAAATTATTTCCAATGAGCCTCAACCACACGTTTACGCTAAATTTTCTTTGATTATTCATTTCCCTTGCTAGATGCGAATTTTCGTCAGTCCAATAATGTAAATTACGAAGATTTGTTATTCTTTTTCCATTAAACGTAGATTCATCTGTCCACAAAATTCTTTTCAAGAAATATCCATCTTTAAAAGCTCCCGATCGCCTTCTTCAAGTGCTTGGACAGGACTGCAGTGGTATGGATTGTAGCCCATTTGTCGAAGAGTTAACCATAGCTACCATTGTGATATCCCCAGATTAGTGGCTACATTTCTTGTATTATATGTTGGTGCTTCTTCGAATGTATCCAAAACTTCTTCTTCTGCAGTAAAACGAATAGGTCCTATACGTTTGGCTTTTTTCAAATTACCAGTCTCAGTTAAACGATAAGCAACGCCAAATACACTAACATGAGGGATACTCAACACGCATTTAAATTCAAATAAAAACAAACAATATTAACTAAAACACTTTCAAAATTCATTGGCTTACTAATAACAGACGAAATGTCCTGCTACTACTGGTTAAATGTAAAACATTTGTATAATTGATGGTTTATAATTATTAACGAATTGAATTTCAGTATTGTATTCATGAATTAACGTTTTTTAGTTCCTATAAGTTAAAATAAATAGTAGGCGTAATCGATTTTGAATTTTTGTATCTTTGGATAAGTTGCCAAAATTATACATTCGCCAATTATTAGCTAATTGGAAAGACACATTTACTTGGTTAGTATCTCATTTGAAAGGTTATAAAGGAGAACAATTTTTAACATAATTTCTACACCAAATGTATTATTGAAATTTTGAAATAGACGCTGATAAAAAATTAGTTTAAAAATTAACTTAAATCACGAAACATTTTTTCCCTGTATTTTTAAACAATCGAAATATTTAAAATATTTTTCAAATTAAAATGTGTATTAAGCTAAATTTCCACATGCACAGATTACTGGCGCCAGTTCATTTGCATGTGGAAATAGCAAAAAAACCACTGGCGCCAATAATCATAGCTCCAATAAAGTTGACGCTACTTCTACTTTTTGGCGCCAGTAACGGTATTTTTCTTCAAACGTCATTAAATGACAACTTTGTTGGCGTGTTTACTCGCGGTAGAAGTAAGTCATTTTTGCATAACGCCATTTTTATTACTGTGACAGTACACAATTATAACATTTATGTGGAAACAACTTCTGGCGCCAGCTAGTTGGCGTAACTAAACTGGCGCCACTAATCCGTGCTTGTGGAAACTTAGCTGTAGAGTGTAGTCTATCCAAAGAAGTCAATATGTTGCCAAAGAAACTATTATTAAACTCTAAATTCCAACATTTGTTTTATAAAAACAAAAAAATTTTAATAATTCCTAAACTATTCAACTTTGTATAAGGCATATTTGCCTTAATCAATTGCAAATGAGCTCTATAATAATGCATTTCAATAAATATGTTTATGTGCCAGTCATCCTGTATATTCTGACATATGCTGTGGTATTTGTCATTGTAGTTTTTACTATTCTGGTTAATTTTATGGGTATTCGGAATTCGTTCATAATATCATATATCTTATCTCTTGTTATGGAGTCATAGGCTTGCTGAAAGTCTACAAAAATCGAGCATCAAGCATCTCTTTGACGCTAAATAGCTGGTCAATAGTGTATCTGCCTGGCCTGAAACCTGCTTGATTATCACCAATGATGTCCTCCATGTATATCTGTATTTGTTTGTTCCTTCCATATGGTAACCATTAATGTGTAAAATTGTTCTGTACACACTGCTATTCTTCCAAATCATAAACATTACCAGCACATAGAAGGTCCACTAGAAAATCACTGACTAATAATTACAATCATTAATCCCTCACCTCTAAAATACAATCAATTTTAAAAACTAACTTTATTAAGTATCCTCATAAACAGTTTGAGGAATAGTAATTTTCAAAGACGAAGAAAATGCCAAATTCGGATAGATGCTAAAAAAATCTAACATTGAAAACAATAAAATTAATTTCTTGCGATGTAAATCATCTTCTTACATTACAACTCACCCTGTATATTTTTTTAATTATACATAAGTTAGTGTCAAAAAATAAGGTTATGTTTGACAACTTTTAAAGCAACTAAAGTTCATTTTTTAAAGTTATTTTTATAAAAATGTTAGTAATAAAAAAAAACTAAAAACAAAAAAATAATAAATTAAAATTGATATTAACCTGCTCAGATTTCTTGGCAATAAGAACACCCAAAATTTTACTAAAAAAGGAAGCCAAAAGCGGGTTCAAAGGTGGTTCATTGTCGAGAAAAGAGTACAGTTTCCCCAGCAGTGCTTTATCACTAGCTAATCGTTCGTTAAGAACGGGAACATCACAAGTCAAAAGTTCACAGGCTATATTAGGATATTTGAATCGTGTTGTTTCTTCAAGCTCAACTGAAGGGTCCACTGTGGTTAAAATTACCAATTCTTCCATAATTTCTGGTTTAACCAAACTAAAAAATTAATAAAACAATATAAGTCGACGTTTGTTTAACGATTCCTTAACTTACAAAGTTATTAGGGCTTTATTTTCAGATTTACATTCATTAATAATATCCTCAGCATCCATAACTTCTTGTAAGGTAACATTCTGGAAGTACAAAAAAAAGTTAACCTAAAAATTCACGCAAATTGCGCAATGATATTTAAATAATACAGTACCTCCTTGCAAAGAATAGTCTCCAATTGTGAAGTTGAGGCGTTGTTATACTTCCAAAACATATTTGCAAAACCTATAATGAAAGCCAGATTGGATAATTTAAAATTGAACCACTACAATGACACAAGTAAATGACTGTTCGAAAAATTGACAATATTCGCGACGCTCGGGGGGCGTAAAATGTCTGAAAAATAGGCCATCACGTTGATAGTTTAAGGGGCCCACATTCGCATTAAAATCCATCAACCGCTAACGGCATCTTACCTGTTTTTTTTATATTTAACGTTAAACGAGACGTTGGGTTAGGTTCATTTGAAGTGACCTCTCTTATCGAAGTAGGTAAAAACGCTTCCAATTTTCGCGAAACACCAATTTTTTACACTTACATTAATCGCTTTTCTTTAATATATATCACAAATATACAATTAGCTAAGTTCGTTAAAGCTCCGATTATAAATATAAATACATTTAAATCTGGTGCAAAATAATACTTAAAAATTTGAGTACGGAACTTTAGATTCGGTTGTGACAAAGTAACCACCATTCATCTCCCATAATGCACTTGTTAACACAGACAGATTAAAAAACCTTAAACGATCGAGAACTTTCTTTACGTTAGAGATTATCGTAGTTCGTCGTTTCGGATGCGTGTTATTTATAACTTTAACGGCAAGATGTTTTTACGCTTCAACGACCGTTTTTCAAGCACTAATTTTCGAATCGAACTGTCAAAAAACGTACTTTTAGGTTATCAAGACCCGCTTACACGATCGGATTTTTCACGTTCAGTTACGCTGCAACTTCATCTCTATTAATTTAATTTTTTTTTAATAAATTTATTTTTAGATATTCACTTCAACTAGTTTATCATAATAAACTAAAATATCTAATCCAATATAATATTATTTTGCCAAAAATTTAAAATAAAAAATTGGATATTTTTGCAATATTGACATGCGCTATCTGTTGAGAATTGTATTAATTAATAAATGTTAATAAACTAAACTAAATGATAAATCTAAAACTACATTAATAATAAATGAGATTAAATTAAAAACAATTTGTTTAAAATTACTTTTGGGTATCAATTCTAAATAGATTATTAATAAAATTTTTGGATGTTATTGCGCCATCTATTAATATATTTAGCAACTAAGTAGTACCAACTTAATATTTAAGTTCTGTTCCATAATTTTTATTCAGAAGAAACACTCAAATCTTACAAAAAGTAAAATAATAATACAAAAATAAATCGAAATTTAATAATCGAATCCGTAATCGAAATAAGATTGATCAAAACTATGAACTCTAACATAACCATCTTCCCCACCGGAACTATAACTTTTTCCATCTGGATGAAAAGCAACACTATTAATAGGTCCAAAATGTCCCTTAACGCGCCCAAATTCTTCTTCAAAAACTAAATGGAAGAAGCGAGAGTCGAATTTTCCAACCCTAGCGGATGTAGTTGTTACATCCATGGCATCTTGACCTCCTCCTACAACGACGTGTTCGCAAATGGGGCTAATAGCAGCTGAATTAACGGGACGTTCAGTTTTATAAGATTTTAATAACATTAAATTGTCGGAATCAAACAATTTAGCAGTATGATCTTTCGAAGCGGTAATAAACATTGTTGCGTCTTTACTCATTTGCATATCATTAACTAAATTATCATGTTCTTTTATTGTATGCAATTTTTTTCCGGTTTTAATATCCCACTGGCTTATTTCGCCATTATCATGCCCGGTTAATAAGGTTTCATCTAAAGCCCCCCATAACATCGAGCTAACCCTTGCTCCACTGATTGGAATACGTAAAATTGGCTGAGCTTGTGCTATACTTTCATCAACATTCCTCGTATCAATTATAAATATTTCACAATTATGTTTCATGGCTTTATCGGTAGCATAAGCAGCCATATTTCCAGAAAAACTGAAATTACAAGCACGGACAGATGAATTCGTCGAAACACAACCAATTTCTTTTCCAGTTTCGCAATCCCAAACTCGGAAAGTATTATCACCACCACCAGACATAAATCGAGTCGTCGTCCAATCTACATCAATACACCAAACAGCCCCTTGGTGGCCGTTAAACGTTCCTAAACGCTCCCCATTTAAAGAATACCACACATTTGGTTTGTTATCTTTCGATGAAGAAAATAAAAGATCTCCTTCGCGGTTATATTTAATTTGAGTTATGGCACGTTCGTGCCCATGAAGCATAAGAGGTTTCTAGAAAACATTAAAAATATATTTAGATTTAAAAATTGTTTTAAATAAATGTGACAGTTCATGAATTTTATAGGTTATGAGAGAGCGATTAAACAAAACTCTCAAATTACAAACGTTTTGTGAGCGTTGGGGCGATTTAAATGTAAAATAAACTTACCATAATTAATTAGAACCTTTTTTCTTGATTATATTTTTGTATATAACCCGATTTTTTAGTAAAATAAGGTGAAATTAATTGGCACGGTAAACGTGAGTTGGTAAAGAAGGAATCGGAGTTATCAAAATTAGACATGACGTAATGCGAGATCTACCGGTAAAAAATTGAATTAATTTAATAAAATAGTTTTTTATTTAAATTTGTTGTTATTAAGATTGAATTAAATTAAAACATAATAATATTAATATATATTTGTATTTTTAAGATTTTTCTATAAAATTATGTAGAACAGTCGTTTATTGGATATAATACAATAAAATACAATCTTTGTACAAAATAAGATTGTGATAACAAAGAGAATCTACAAAAGAAAAACTAAATAAAACGGTCACTATAACAGCCTCGTCTGGCGAAATTAACACTAAAAGAAATAAATTATTTAAATTATAATTAATTGTAGTTGATTGATTAGGTTATAATTTCGAAACACCTTCATCTACATTGGATACTAAAAAAATTAATAATAAATTAATTCTTTTTTGTAAATCGCTTTGTTTAACTTACATTTTACATATGTACTTTCTGGATTAATATCTCTACTTTCAGTACTAAAATAACTCCATGGTAATTGCCCCCTTAGCTCTCCCAAATTAAGTTTTTCGATACGTTTTATACTGTCTGGACTAAGAACACTTTTTGAAATAAATTTCAACGAGATTTGGTTTCCTCCTTGATTTATCGAATTTCCGCTAACTTTCGAACATCCAGCATCTTCTTCGGCTGCTTCCAAACGATTATTACTAGTACTTCTTGTCGAAGTTGAAGTTGTTGATTCTGAAGTGGTTTGTTGACTGTCTTCTGATTCATAAAATTGATACCACTTTTTAATCCTTTCTTCGGTAGTAAAAGAAGCGAATCTTTGCGAGTGTCTTATTCGTTGTGATGATGGCTGATCTGGCGGTTTCTTTTTCGATATTTTTATGGTGATTTTTATGATGTAAATAATTGTAACTAGGTTTATTATCCAGACTATTACTCCTCTACTTGCGACGAAAGTCATTATTATTGATGCAGCACCCGAAGCTAAAGTTGACACATCACCTTCGAGTTTTTTCATATTTTCTGATATATTGACGCCGAATCCAATCAAGTTAAGCCAATCAAATAAATTCTGCAAAAAGAGAATGTTACGGGTAATACGAACATTAGAGGGGTTTTAATTACTCCATCGTTTGGGATTTGTAATCCAAAGAATATTGAGCAAAATGTATCGAAAATGAGAACTATTGTTGCGATTATAATCCACGGTAGGTAGAAAAAGAGACCCCAAAGTTCTTTTATATTAAGAAGTGTAGCAGCTAAAAATAATTTAAAAATAAAATAAAGACTTAAAACTCGATTTTTATGATTACTTAAAAGAGCAACAGAAGACACAATCCACAAACAATCCAATATCATATAAATTAAAATCATACTATTTAAAATATCACTTATATCTGGTTCGTTGTTGTTCATTGGCTCATTAAATATTGTTACTACCATATTTCTTGTCTCTAAATTGTGCATGGTTTCGTTTTCACATCTTCTAGCTGAAAACAAAGAAGCGGGCGTCAACAAATTATGGTTAATTAAAATGAAGAAACTTACTGAAAAAATAGGTTAAATACAAAACGTTATTGTTGGTGTTTTCAACAACACTGCAATCTGTAAACCACATTATGTAGATGATTGCGTAGAGATGCAATCCAGTTTGAATCTAAAATTAAAAATATAAATGTAAGTAATAAAAATAGAAAATAAAGGGATACAGTGATTTTATAATGTTATAAAAAATGAGATGTTTGTTTAAAAATAATTTATTAAAATTTTATTGTCACGTTAGAGGTGTAATTTTATGGGTGGTTTAACTTTTTTAACTCCTGGAATAGGATCTTGAAATGTATTAGGATTGTTAATAAAACTTGAGTATAACTTTGATAACTTTATTTCTCTACTACGTTACATACATTCCCTACATTCTAGATTGACACAAATACATGCTACTCTTCGCTTCAAGAAAGTGTCATTCACTGAACTTAATTGAAAGAATTAAAGGTTGTTCCTTGCTCGTATCAGTGTTGAAGATCCCTCTATAGACACCATCTAATCCGGTTATGTTATAACGGAATTTTCAGATTCTACTTGAACTGGGAGGTGTTTTCGTTTGTACATCTTCAGTTAACTCCTTTTGCTTCAATTGGTCTGTATGTCTTCTTGCACTTTTCTGACAACGAACCCCTAAACTACAAAGTGCCTACTTCACTTTCCCAATTCCACGCAATGTAACTTTATCACCATTTAACTATAAATAAGTGCGTGTCATGTCCAATTTAGAAAACATTTTCCCACCAGACTTGGCTAGTTTGTCTTTGATAACTGATACTACTAGTTAGTTAATAATTGTTCGTGCTCAATGCAAGAATTAGAACTAGACCACTTAGCCAAACGATTAATGATAACGACAGCTCCTAAGCTACGCATTAGAATTGAACAGGCTAGATACACGCTTAATGGAATGAAGAAGCTTTTTTGTTGTCGGGATCTGAGTCTGGAGTTGAGAGTGAGAATGATGAGGGATAGAAGCGTGGGCACTTAAGACGATTGATGTGAGAAGACTGGAGTCATTTGAGACATGGATATGCCGACGAATATTAAAGATTTCATGGGTAGAGAAAGTGACCAACGTGGAGGTGATAAGACGCATGCAGATGGATAGAGAGATAGTAATGACGATCAAACAGAGGAAATTATTATACAGGGCGCGTCATATGTAACCATTTCAACTCATTGTTCTAGACTCGGGATTATGTTTGGGTTGGCACAGTGATTCAACATCAATTTTGTGCATTTTTTTTCTTTCAGACTGATCGTAGCTCCCAAACTTTATTATGACTTGACTTGTAAATTGTCTAGGTCCCTTTAGACGTCGTGAAAATAAGTCCAACGAACCGTTACAGCCTAGATCAGTTATAGTTAAATTTGCTACCTACAATATACGAAGGCGGGTCTGGAATAATAAAAAACAAATTACATGCCACCATTGTTGAGACCTCGGACGGGTCAACGCAGGGTGCCGAGTTCCTACTTGTGGAGATAAAATGTGCAGGCAATGCGGTTTTATTTGGCGCCTTTTATTGTCCTCCTCTCGCCAATTACTTTGATCAGGTGGAGGAGATCCTTGAGAGACCCTCTCTTCATTTTGATACAATCCTTTTAATTTATTGAAAAATGATGCACGTTGTGAAAAACTACAATTTATAACTTCGTCACTAAATCTATCGATCTTACCCTCTCTGCCAACTCACTCACCGCTCGTCATCCTCTCCTTGATCTTATTATCACGTCTCGTCCGGACAATATTTTTACACAGGGTCAGTTGCCTGCACTTAGCAGTTACGACGTCAGGCTGCTTCCCTGCGCTTTGTGATCCAACGTGATTTTCAAAGTATAGATTGCAGATTATTTATGTTTTATGCGAGCGATATTGATTGGCAGCCAGTTTACCGATTGCCTGACATAGATGCCAAGGTGGAGTACTTTAATTCCAAGGCTCTTGACCTCTATGACAGGCATGCTCTGGAGAGGCGGCGGAAAGTTAGACACATGCCGGCACCTTGGCTAAATGATGAGATTAGGTCTCTCATGCGGGAGCGCAATCGTGCTAAGTTATTGTTCAAACGTAGCCCTTTTGCTGCCAATCGGGAACATTATTGTGTGCTGCGCAATAGTCGTAATCATCGATGCTAAAAGATTGTACTACTGTCAGAGGTTGTCTGGAGCCACTCATAAGACATTTTGGAAAACAATGCGATCGCTTGGTGTTATAGAGTCTTCCACAGATCAACCCACTCTTGATGCCGCTGCTCTGGCGGAGTATTTTGCGGATTCTCCTGTGTGGTGGTTGGTAACATAACTAGGCAGAATACTATTAATGAAATCCTTGCATCTACCAACGTGCTTTTCTTTTCATTCAGCTTGGCTACAGATGCTGAGGTCCGGGATGCTTTAACTTACTCCAAGTCCACTAGTGTCGGAGCAGATGATATTGGACTCAGATTCCTCTTACCCATCCTGGATATAGTTATTACTCCCTTAACTCATATTTTCAACTGTTCTTTTGAACAGTCTATATTTCCGTAAATCTGGCGAATCGCCCATGTTATTCCTATCCCAAAAATTAAATCTCCGTCCCATGTTGGTGACTTTCGACCCATTTCTATTCTATCTACGTTGTCAAAAGCTATTGAACGTTTAGCTTATTTACAGATTCAGAAATATCTTGAGGAGTTTAATCTGATTAACAAGTTCCAGTAAGGCCTTTGATACTGTGGACCATGCCCTCCTGTTAACTAGGCTTTCTGCTATTGGTTTTACCTCTGTTTTCTTCTCTAGTTTGTCTTTCATCTATCTTTTGCTGCACTCTTTTGTGTCTATTTCCTTCCTTGTAGTAACTGACTGTTACATAATTCAAATATGCTCATTCGCTCAGTTTTATTAGCACATCATTTAGTATTACTTTTTTGGTAGCCATAATTATTTATTTAAAATTACATATAGACTGTTACCAATTGGGTCTCTTAGAAGATATCGCTTATTGCGATTAATTGATCCGTTTGTCTTGACGTCTATATTTGTTATGAATGTATATATTTATGTAAATATTTGTTTTTGAGGCAATAAACATTATTATTATTACCAAATTGGATAGTGAGACACCTGCTAACTTTTGTTTCATAGTCCTTCTTTAATTTATCTTTTTTTGCGATATTTTTGCTGTCCCTGATTTGTTATCATGAATAGGCTGCTAATAATTTTGTCTATGGACCAAGATTCTGCGATATCTTTGACTTCGTAGATTCATTTATTTCATTTTCTTGACCTCACTTTACTTTTTTATTCTATTACACAATTCTGTCTCACAAAATAGTTAACTCGTACGTCGTTTATGGTACCTATTAGATCATTGGAATTTTTTAAAGAGTAAATTGAATTAAATGACATTCTTTACTACTATTTTGATGCAATCTTCAAGTTTCTACGACTCCGTATTAGCGATTTGTGAAATAATGCAATTCATATACAGATAGATATTACTTTTTTTTAATTTTATAGGTTCAATAATATTGTGGTATCAATTTCAACACAAAAAGTAATTTATAAATATTCTTAGAAAAAAACGTTTCATAAAGTGTTGTTGGGAAATTATCACGATATTTAAATGCGGTGATTTTTAACTTTTACAATTGTAATTGCGATAAGGTGTCTAATAAAGTACATTATCAGTAATTCTTTTTTATATCAAACAGAGATAAGAAGTATTATAAGAAATTTAAGTGTTATTTTAAGTCATTTCCTTATTGGGATTGTCTTAAAATTACTTAGTTAAGATTAAAAATCTTAAATAATAATTCCTATTTTTTTTCTATTCAAAATACGCGTTTTTAAACTACAAAAACAAAAATTAGATTACAATTTCAAATGAATTTACTGTGTTTTATCGATGTTTTAATATACTAATTGATTTCATTATTATCAATATAAATGAACATGTTCAAATACATATTTATGTTTCTATCTTTTATGTTTTAATTTATTTTCAAAGTAAAATTAATTAGTTTTGAAATAAAAATACAATAAAAGGAATGAGTCATAATTATTAATTTACATCATATAAAGTCGCCAATTTTGGTCGAGTTAAAATGTTAGTTTTCCAAAATATACTACAAAAAGTAATCTAGTTGTGGAAAAAGTTAAAATTTTAAGAGTAACACGAATTTGAAAGGAAACAACCACGTTGAAAATTCTGCAAGAATTTTTTTTACTTACAATGGTCCATATTGCAATAGCCGTACAGCAAATCACAGGATTACATTTAAACCTGATCATATTTCCTTATTTATCATCAACTACCATGTTATTAAAAAATCAAGAAAAATCGGTCCCTCGTTTGAAATTAATTTTCAAACTGAATTAACACATAACACTTTGAAAATAAACACCTGCACAATTAGAACTAAATGCGAAAACCTTCCTCGACTGACTGTGTGTGGTCTGATTAGATAAAAACACGGGCAAATTTACCAACCCAAAACCTGACCAAGTTAAAATATTACGATATGGTTATAAAAAGAACCCGGTCCGGTTTTATCGCAATTTTTTTATTTAAAAGATAACGGTTTTTGAATTAATTGTTAGTTTTGGCTTTAATTTAAACTTTGACCTTTGACTCATCACGAAACGTGTCACTTTTTTTGCTCAAAAACATTTACATTATCAAGATACAATACAACAGATAAAAATTTAAAAAAATTATAAATTTTCGTTTTATTCAGATTTTAGATGTAAATAAACAGTTTTTGGGAAAGTTGATTAGAAAGTTTTTTTTAAATTTTATTTCTTAATTCACATCTAAACAAAAAATCTGTGTTAATTAATTAATTTTAAAAAAACGGTTTATTTGTTTCTTTCTGGTGCATTTTAATTAACATAATTAGCAAGACAATTTCAAAATCAACTTTTAATTCAAACAAAATTATGAAACTAGATTTTAACAATTAAGATTTAATTTTTTCATTTATTATATAAATGTATACTTTTTATGTGTTCTAATTCTTGAATAGTGGAAAGAATTATTTAAAAAAGGTTAAGTTCTAACTCGATTCATGACTAATACTAAAAATCAATTCATATATCAATTTCGTGACCAATGCATTAATTAACAACTCTGATTGTTGGGATTGAGGACCTTGTCGAGATAAATTTAACACCTGACTATATCACAAAAATAATGTATAATTCTAATCAATATTTATAACCATTTGTGTGTTTACGATCATGTTTATTTATATCTGGCGACATGGTTTGATACACTCGAGTTAAACAATAAAAATTTTAGTACCAATATAGACGATCTTGAATAAACATAAACAAAATAACATTCATTGTAATGACAGATGATTGCTGGAAGAGTTCTAAATACCACTAAAGATACGAAAACTGATAAGAACTGCAATGGAAGAAACTAAGAGTCAATGTAAAATATGCAACTTTCTGTCAGAGGAGTTTGAAATTAAACATGGTCTGAAGATATCGTCGCTATTGTTTAATCTCGTTCTAGAAAGGGCCATACGAGGAATTGCACTGAACCGTGAAGGTACAATATACAATCATCAACTTCCAGTACTGGCGTATGCGGATGATGTAGCTCAAGAGAAAGATCTTGAACAATTAAACGATGATGGAAAACACCTAGGTCTGCAAATATATGATAATAGGACGTATATTACCTCAACAGGAAGCAGTAAATATCCAGATTGGAATGATAAAAGAGTTTAAATATGAGGCTCCATCATAAACCAAGTAAAAAACTAGCAGGGTATAGTAGCTTTTGCGCTGGGCAAACTACTACGGTAAAAACTTTTAGCAAGAGGCTGTAAAGAAAGGCTGTACAAGACGCTCATACTCTCTGCAGTTATGAATTTTAAACATGGGCGCTCAATAATCTTCACTAAGAGTTGTTAAACAGATTTAGAAGAAAGCTCTTACGAAGGATATATGTGCCATAATATCATACAAACTTGGGGGGATGGAGACAATTAATGAACTTCGAGAACTGCAGGAAAGATCAGAACTACGTGGATGCAACCCCAGAGACTGAGGTGGCTGGGACACGTGTGGAGAATGCCGGCAGATAGAGGAAGTACTGACTTAAATACCAAAAGGATACCGACCAAGAGGAAGGTGCAGATGCAGAACTAGGGCAACTTAGCCCAAAATCGGGACGAATGGAGGAGTGTTGTAGAATAGGCCAAGGCTCACAATGTGTGTAGTGCAACAGTGTGTGATTATAACACTAAAATAAAATTTTGATTATCTAGAAATTGATTTTTTAATGCTTGAAGTCAAACATTATTTCAAAATAATTTTCTCGTCTTATTGGAATGAAAAATAAAGCTAAATGGCAGAGATATATATAGCTATGGTGATAAATAAACACACAAAGTATGGTTCAATCTACAAGTAATAAAAGTTTCAAAGTGATTATAACAAAGTTCACAATTTATGGAATCTGATTCATACAAATTAGCACAATTAGTATTGGAACATTTATCAAAGTTAAGCAAAATTGTAGACAAAAAAATGTTTTTAACAATATAAATTTTAGTTCGACTTAATGATTAGGTTAATCTTAATCAATTAATTTTTAATCAAAAATTATTAAGCGAAATGTTTGGAATAATAAATAGAAAATAAATAAATTTGAGTATTTAGAATATTTTTTTATAGAAAATTCCATGTAAAATTAGAAAATTCTAGTTCAAACATTACAAACTACGTAATAACTCCTTCGCGTTACGATGATTGCGTTATTTATTGATTTAGAAATTTGCAACAATTAGATTTCAATTTTTTAGAAACCGTGATCAAAATACTAAATTCAAATTCATTCTGTTAACAATAAAAAGAAATGTTAAAGTTCCTAATCGACGCTCAAGGTTAATATAATTCGCAATCGTTAAAAATTCCACCCGAAAGAAAAAATAAACAAAAAAAAACTCATTAAACTGTCTTCTTCAACTTCTTTGCCACATTTTTCATCACCCATACCTTTTAGCACTTATTTACGGGACACGTCACAGGTTCAAATTGGATTTATCAACACTTAAAATGTATAAAATCTACGACTTCATTAACAACATTTAGTTGGAAGTTGATTTTTAGGACGAATATTTAAAAAAAATGTTTAAAGTAAGTATTTAAATAAAAATTTTATTTTAATTAACCCTTTTTTTCTTTTTCAAGTTAATTTTTTATGTTTTGGTTTTAATTTGTTTAACAAACTCATTACCTATTGATGATGAAAATATAAACAAAGAAATTAATGAACCCAAACCTGTTGAAGTAACGGAAACTTTTATTCCAGTTACAACAAATGGATCTAAAGATGTGTAAATAATTATTTTAAATAATTTGTTTTTTTTTTTTGATTAATTTTTTTGTTTTTCAGGTATGTTATTAAAACGATCGTTTATGAAGTTGGAATTTTAACTGAAGCTGATAATTCAACTTTAAATGATACAGAAACGTAAGTTAAAATAAATCAAGTTCGAAACAAAACAATTTTTAATTTGGTTTTAGTCACGAAGAGGTTAATTTAACGTTTTTTGACCCAAAACATAACGGAACAACAATAGATTTATCAAACATCCCCGTTCCGATTCAAACGAATATCAGTGGGGTTGAAATAACGGGATTAGCACCAGCGAATTTTGGCACAATTCAACTTTCGGAAGATGGAAAACCGGCTATTTTAAAACCAGAGTTCCCACTTCAAGTTCCATTATTACCAAATGCCGTTATTTCGGTTAAACACAATATTAGTACGAGTAATGTAGATAAAGAAACTGCACTTTTGGGAAATTTACCGAACTTGTTGGGATTGACTAGTCCAATTACTGGGGAACCTTTAACTGTTCAAACTCCTCAAGTTAACGATGAAAAAGTTGAAGAAAAAGAAGGTGAGGTGAAAGAAAGTAAAAGGGAAATTAAAGATGAAAATGATGAGAAGAAGGATAAAAATAAAGATGATAAAGAAAATAAAGATGGTGATACTGAAGAAGATAATGATGCTAAAGAAGATAAATCTGGAGAAGATAAAGACGATGATAAAAAAGATAAAAAGTCCGAAAATGATAAAAACGATTCCGTAGAAAAAGATAATAGTAGCAGTAATAGTAGTAGCAGTGAAGAAAGTGATGAATCTAAAGGAAGTTCTGAAGAAAAAAAGGCTTAGATGAAACTGGATGTTAGAAGAATTGTTATTTATGTTATTTTTTTTTTGTTTTTTGATAAAATAAAATAAAATTTTGTTACTTAAAAATGAAACTTACATATTAAACTCCAATCCATTTTTGCCACTGCCGAAATATGCCACTGAAGAAATATCGTTTTCCAGCATGATGGTGCACCAGCATGCTTTGGATTAAATCGCCGAAACACGCTAAATGCACAATTTCAATCAGATGGATCAGAGCAGGGGACCGATTACATGGCCTTTACGTTCCCGAGATATGACACCACTTGATTTTTGTATTTGAGATCATATTAAACTACTAATTTATAATACAGCTATTAATACAGAAGAAAAGTTAGTTTCTCGAATTATTTTAGCTTTTGATGATATTCGTGAACGTCCTCAGCTATTTCGAAGACTTATGGATTCCCTTGTAATTTTTATAATATTCCTTAACTTAATTATTTAATTATTTCCTGTTATAATTGAGATTGTTATTAAAGAATTCTAGTTTATCTTGACAATAAGATATTGCCGGACACTAGTTTATTAATAAAAAAGTTAAGAGTTCAGTGTCCTCTAACATTTCCGAAAATTAGGAACAGTTATTCTGTGACATCCTGTATAATCTTGTTTTTAACATATAATTCTTGTAACTGCCTACAAATAACAAAAAGATATAAATTAAAATTTGTTCATAAAGGGAAAGTTTATAGAAAAATCAAACCTGTGTCGTCTCTTGGCTTATAAGTACCAAGTCATCCCATCAACACTTAAATTAATAAATACTTTAATTTAAGCGCGGTAGAAAATAAATACAGTCGTTTCTGCTTATTTGGTATGGATGAAGGCGGTTTGTGCCAATTAAGCAGCTAATTTTCTAAAATATTATAATAAAATGAATGTAACTGATCTAAAATTAGAACTTATACTAGAACTAACAGTAAACCTAAACCTAGAAACATTCGGGTTACGCCGTGCGTCTTTTGAAACGTTCTTCAGAAACAAGTTCGAACTTACAGCATACAAAACAAACTATAAGAACATGCATATTTTAAATTAAAATAATAATAACAAATATAAACACTAAAAGACAATTAAGTCTGAAATATATAGTATGAAATCCACCTATAACATATATCCCTTCATTACGTTCTTGTATAAAATAACGTTGTAATTCCACTATACATTTCTTTGCTGGATTCTCCATTACGGGAATATGTGGAAAATCATCAATATCGTCATCGTTTTCGTCCACTGAATCTTATTATGTTCGTCATAACATGGTAAAACTTCTTCTATTCTTAATTGTTTGGTATTTATAACAGACTGTTGTAACGCATTATCATTCTTGTGAATGGCGAAGGTTTCCGGTACCTCCAAAGCTTTAAAATCGATATTTTGTATGGTGCCAACAGTTGGCGGAAAACTGTATTATCTGCAGAATTGAAATTTTCGCACTTATCTCTTTAGCTGTTGAGGAACTTATGAATAGATTTTTATAATTATTATTTTACTAAGTATGTAGTTGACCAGTTTTTCTCAATATGTATAACGCGTTCATGTTTTTGATTACCCCCATATCCATTGGCTCAAACTTTCTCCAAAGCCAAATTCAAACAATTTCGGCAGTACACGCATTTTTTTGATGTAGTACTCGAGTGACAAACCGTCCAATCTTAAGCTCTTCTGTCCAGTTTACATTATTCTAGTAGTATTCCAGTCCAGTGATTAAAACCAGTGCTAGAATCTCACGGGAATTATGAGAACCGGCCCTGGAATGCACTAAAGTGCACTCATTCCAGTGACTGGATTGAACGGTCTACTTTTTCATTCCAGCTCGCCCATTCTAGCGCCACCGGAATAGTGTAGACGACCATTCTATACCACGACCACGACCAGTACTGGATTCGTTGAACTGTGAACACGTATTGTTGTTTTTGTAACCCAGTCCAGTACCTTGTTGCGTCCAAACTGTGCAATATGCGAATAACAATATGCTCGATAATAAAGGCCGGTTTCGTCAGTATTATAGATATCGTCTGCATAGAAACCTTTAAGAAAAGTTGGAATTATATATCGTGTTTCCACTTTTCAGCGCTTTCAGTATCGGCGCTTCCCTTTTCATCGCGACTTTCTTAGATTTGATGTCGTATCTGGAGAAAATTATCCATCTGTTGTTTTAAATGCGTTGTACTCTAGTTTTTTTCACAATCTCTTTTGATTTCTTTTTTAATATTAAGTTAATATTGTTCACTAACTACGAAAAAGCACTTATGAATAAGTTGCGTTGAAACGCTTTTTCAACTTCTAGATTTTTTCCATCATTTTGGATAACCTTATGCAATCTTTCTATCAATCCATTTTTCACCTAGATCGCCTTCTTGTTCTTAAAGACGAACTACAGTAAACTTCGGTATACCATCTGCGAGATTACGAAGGCTTGTATTCGCTAGCTGCGTTTTAATTTTGTCCAACTTCATCAATCGTAATTTTACTGATCAGTCATTTTCAACCACCTTATTCGAAGTGTCAGAGCTACATAAAGACCATAAATATACAACGAATGAGAAAAAAATCGAAAAATCATTTTGACGGATAATTCATCCTGATTAAGTGGAAAGCTGTCCCAATTAAGCGATTAAAATATACATTAATTAGATAGTTTGGATTCCGTTCTTTGAAATTTGTCACTAATAAGCGGCTGTCCCGATTATCCTGTGTTCCAATTAAGTAGAATTGACTGTACCTATTTATATTGGGAGAACAGATTAACAAAATTATAGATATTATATTGGGTAAATTATATAGGAGACTGTATATAAGGAATGATAGATATTTGGAATACATTTAAAGATATTAAGGAAAATAAAGAAACAAGATACTGATTTCATAAAATATAACACGTCAGCTCTTTATTTACCTTCAAAATTTTCATTTTTATAAATACAAAAACTGAAACTTTGTATTTAAAAAAAAAAATATTATATTTTACAAAGCGGGTAGTAAAAAAAATCACAAACTTTTCTGTATGTTACCAAAAAAAATTTCCTTCATTTTGATCAAAGAAAATATTAGAGGTTACAGAAAAGTAATAAATACATCAATCAAATTACATTCGAAAGTCTCGGTAATAATCGGTTAATTTGTTAATTTTACTTTGTTTTTTTGTTTTAAGTTTAGTTAGTATTTAAATTTTTTTAACGCGAAATTAAGTTTCGAAGAAAAAAAAATTAAAAACAAAAAAAAGAGAAATCAATAGGCTAAGAATCGCTAAAGGAAACACATTCATATAATTCTAATCTATCTTTAGTCTTTATAGTGCAACAATTATAATCAATTATAGTAAAATTTGACTAACCTATACCGTACGAGAAAAAAAACCTATCAAATGAAAAAATATGTCATAATTTCACGTATAAATAAATAGATCTTAATACGGGGGGATATTTTGAGTATAATAAACTGCATTTTGTATTCTTTTTCTTATTTTTTCATTCCTTTTTTTTGATTTCTACACAGTAAGGAGCGCGATCTTTTAAAGTTTCACTTTTTAAAACGGAAACAATCTACATTTTGGTCCATTTATTTTTTAAATCCGCACTCCCACTATAAATATTACTGTCTCACTTACAAAAAAAAGTTAGTTTTTTTGCACAACACACCCGTCAATCATATTTTTTGTCATAATTACTTTTCGCACAGTTTCATTTGCACTATAACTTTCATAATATTTTTAATTAATTCTTAATTTCTTTTCAGTATACCTTTTTTTACCATCTTAAATATTTTTTCTTTCATCATAATCTTCTTACACTTAATGATCTACCCCTGATTTACGTCGAGCCAACCGTTCCGACCTACTTAACTCGTCTAAACAAAACAAAATTAGTATTAATAAAAATAAATTTTAATTAAAAAATCGATAATTTCCAGTACCTACTTTTACTCGTACTTGGCGTTGCAGTCACACTAATACTATTCTTTTGCGTCACTGTCGCATTTTCCCTATCTTTACTTGACCCAGCCGAAGAACTTTTCGGCAACTGCGGGATAATCGTTATTTCATCGTTGATCTTCAAGGGTTTTAACAATGAGTCATTGTTCTTACTCGAAGAACTGGAATTGTTCGTTTGCGGCGATGAAGACGACGATGAAGGCCCTTTTTTATCAATCACCCGTTTCGCGACAACGCTATGCGCCGAATATACATGATTTTCAAATTGTTTATACATTCCAAACGTCGCTGTACATACTGTACATTTATATGATAAATGGGCCGGTTTTAATGTCATGTTATGGTCTCTTGCTACGTGATTTAATAATTTCCATTGATACACCTTTAAAAAAAAAGAAATAGATGTAAAAAAACAATTAAAAATTAATGTAATAATTAAATAAGAAGAGTTTAATCAGTTGGTAGTGCATGAAGAAAAATATAATCAAAGATATATTTTCATAAAAATGGTGATTTGTTTTCATCATTAAAAAAACTCTTTCATAAACTGAAAAAGAATAAAGATTAGTTATTAATTAAAAGACAGTCTCTGTTAAATACTAAACATTGAAACTGAATCATTAAAGAAAGACATTACAGGTGCAAGAAGATAAATGAAAGATTTAAAACAAAATAAAAAATTGGATAGAGCTGAAAGATTAAAATGAGACGTACAGTACAACATAAGGAATAAAAATAAAGTGGCAATAATTACGAAATCAAAACAGGAATGGTTTTAGGAGATGGAGGAGAAATGGAACTGTTAACAAGATTTAACAATATGGCCTAGAAGACGAGAAGGATTTCAAGAGAGCACGAAAAAGCCGTTCTATAAAAGAACCTTGAAAATTAGATGAAAGGATTTATGAAATCTTGGGGAAGCCACGTCACATGATAGTGATTATTGAGAGATGTCCCAGAACGTTTAAAAACATCCGGGTTGTTGTTGAGAGATGTCAGTGACAATATTGGGGGGTGTCAGAGATGATATTGAAGAATGTTTGGAACTTTGAGGTTGATGTACCCTAAGGACGATATTTAGAGATGTTAGAGACGAATTTGAAGGTTGTCAGAAACATTGTTTTGAGTCTTTATTACAGTGGCAGGGATAATTATTAAGAAATTCCCCGAATGATGTTGAGGGATGTTCAAAGCTATGCAAAGTTATATTTAAGATAATATTGAATGTTGTTACAGACATTATTGAGGAATGATATTAACAGATATTTCGGAACGTTGAGAATTGCTTGGGATAACGATGTCAAAGACGAAATCTCTAGCATGATGGTGTTGAGAGACTAAGTTGAAAGATATCAGAGCCAATACTTAGGCATGTTTGAGGAGATTTTGAAAACTGTGAGATAATATTTGAAACAATATTAAAAAGTATCAAGGATAATTACAAAAAAGTGCTCAGTTCTGGGATATTGTTAACAGTGTGAGGAGTGCTATACTAATTTACATTCAGGAAGCTGTTGAAAGAGGCTATTAGATAGATAACATTTAGAAATGTTCCGGAATGCTGAGAGAAGTGCTTAAAATGATATTGAGGGATGATGTTGAGAGTTTTCGAAGGTAATACCAAGGAAAATTCTCGGCGACATCGATAAACGTTAAACACGACATTGATTGAGTGTTGTAGGCAGAGATGATTAATCATATTTTCTCAAAAATTATCTTACAATTAGATTTTTAAATATTCATTGCTGTAATAAATATGCTGTGTAATAACAAAAATGTTATTTCGCGCAGTGATTATATAATAAATGATTCATTTAAAAGTAAATAGATAAAAGTTAAATGTCACATTAGATACATTTAATTTTGTAAATGGATATTTTGGGAACTTAATAAAATATGATTTCATTAATTCATGTTAGTGGCATTCCTACCATTAATAAACTTATCGAATCAGTTGGATTACTGTAGAAGAATGGAGGACGATGAAATGGCGCCTAATTTAATTTACATACTTTATGTAATACTTTAACAAAATAAGAAATGAGTATTAACTAAGAATTAAAAGTGGGTCCAATAATCAATATCATTAAAACAGACTGAAAGTGATATAAACATTTCAAGAGGAAACGTGTTTCAAGAATATAGGATTATTATTTTACAAGAAACAAACAAATAATGAAAAAAGAGATCTTCTAATAAAGAAAAAAAAAATTATGGGCAATTTTTCAAATCAGCTGTCGATATTAAAGTTTTCTGAATTATCATAATGGCTTTATAAAAGTCCTTAGAAATCATCCAGTGTGAACCTGTAATAAAGTAAACTCAAGTGTTGTGTCTTAACTTTTGTAGTTTTTTTCTTTTTTAACGTTTTCAATTTATAAAAACCACTGTAAATTGCAAATAGTTTTTCAAAATTGTTTCTTCTCTTTAATGATGAAATGATTCACTTCATCGTTTTCCCAGATTTTTTTTCAATTATAAAGATTTGGCGATATTCAATTTGCCTCAAAGATGAACTAATCATAACAATGCAGACAATTCCTCTTCAACATTAAGCGTACAGGTCGTTATTGATGACGTTGTGATACTGGGACTTAGATGCTGATACAATCAACACTTTTCGTGCAATTAGCGAGGTAATTCAAAACAAATTCGTTAGTTCAAGTTGCAGTGTTTTTATCACTTCGCCGAATTCACCGAAAGTTCCCTAGAGTTAAGCGTAGGAAGTACAATATTATCGATTAAAAACTTGTAGAAAATGAAATAACGATGTTTTCAACAGTCTGCTCGGCGCGTAGAATTAAATACAAGCGAGTGTATCAAACGCACATATTAAGCGTGACGTAAATAGAGTGGGTTTAAATAAAAGGTTGTCACCTACACTTAACACGACCATTGTGGTGACGCAATGAACCGCCATACGAGGAAATTATTAAATGTAGTCGTAATTCAATCAAAAACATTAATCATCAATATCAATATTAACATTAATAAAAAAAAATATGAGTCGTTGAAACTGTGTGTTAATAGATATGTCAAATATTACAAAAATTGGTATGTTCATATATGACACTAACACAATATATTCTTTCAATCGTTTCTTGTTTTTATTAAAATTAACATTTATTACCAATCTATAGAGAAAAACAATCTTTGTTTGGTGTCTCATTTACTTCTTCTCTTAGTATTTGCGTCAATTGAATTTCACAACTATAATATAATAATAAAAATAATAATAATATATAAATAGTTATATAACATGGTCTAATTAATATCTAGGAAATGAGGGTTAATATTTGTTAAAATACACTTTGACAAGACTCCACCTCAGAAAAAATTAAGGAAGGCGCATGTAGATTTCATGTCAGCGAACCTATTTGACGTATTGAAGTACAATACTTGATTCGGAATCGTTCGCTTTGTTATTTTGCCTATTACCATTACACTTATTATTTCTCTAATTGTTGTTGTGATTATTAGTGTTGAGGAAACGAGAAGTCTTTCGTTTTATTCTATTTTCATTGGTGATGTCTACAATAATACTATGCAACCCAGTAAAAACTACAGTTTATAACAAGAACTTTCAGTTAAAACAATTTGTTTCTCAGAAAATTTGTAAGCATGAGATATTTTCGTAAAAATAATCTTTGTATTCCAATTATTTGCACCAATTAGGATTTTGAAGCATCTATAATCTATTGTATGTGCCAATGCTAAGGTATCAAAAAAAAGCTACCATTTAGTCTTCAACATTTCGGCTTTTTGTATTCATCTTAGTTGATAACAACAATATAGCTTAATTTTTCTTTGGAATGTCAAAGTGTTATTACAACCGGAATTGGTAGACTTCGCTTATCATTTTTGACTTGGCAACATATCTTTTAAAAGCAATGCTTTATTCTCGCAATTTCATTGTCAGTTCCTTTATCAATTCCTTTGCTAAACCATAATATCTAAAGAAGTTATGAAATTATGTTTCATCCAGTGGTGGATGTTGAGATATTTTAAATTTGGGTAGTATTATAGTATTACAAATCCAACGAGTTAGTTTTCTCTTATCTGATGACTAACTCATAACAATTATACTCTTGTGTTGTTGCTCTCCATTATTTTATAATGGATATATTTTCCTGTCTTCCATTATTTAGTAATCCCTCCCTCCTCTCCAATGTTATTTCTGCATGTCATCTCTTTACTTGTAGTCCTCACAGGACAACACAAAACTTAATAGAGGCACTAATATCAATTATCAACGTTAAAAAGAGACAAACATTAATAGGATTAATTTAAAAGCAATTGTTAGTGATGTGTCACTCTATTTATAGTTATATTGCTACACTTGTAATTGATGTAAACAATAAATGTTACTAAAGATTCTGTAAAAAAAACAGAATGTCTAATGATTGAGAAAAAATAGTACAAATAGTTTCAATTACGACGAGTAATACAAGCGATTGTCTCAAGTAATTATTTAAGAAAAAACATTTTCCAACATAAAAAATTCCCTAAGTAATTGATGAAGAAGAAACATCCTTCAAACTTTTCTCCAAGATACACTCCTGCACATTTGTGCATACTAAACAAGGAACTATTCCACCACACATAACTTCTTAAGGCAAAGTTGCATAAGCAAAAATGCGAGTTTTCAAGAAATGCAATGTAGCCTTAAATATATTTTAGGCGTAAAAAATAATAAATTTAGAGAATAATTTAATGCAAAACATTAAAACAAATTAAAATTACAGATTATAACCTAATTATAAGTATTAAGTATTAACTTACTCTTCCACAAACAGGACACCGCCCAGAATCTTTACTTTTATTAGCAGCTTCTTGCATACTCGACGTAACCAAACCGTGGGAACCCAACAAGTGTCTTTCGAGCCCTTGATCGGTAAAGAATCGAAATTGGCACTTTTGGCAGTTTAACGGCGGCCGATTGTATATCATTTTCGGATGAATTTTCACCTTGTGTATCCATTGCATATGATTGCGAAGTTGTTCCAAATCTTTAATGTATCCGTCACAAATTTCGCAGATAACGAACGAATTCTTGGAATTTAAATCTCCCGGTTTCGAACCGGAAGCTGTAGATGGTGTTCCTCCTGTGGTTCTTGGTAAAGGTGTTATTGAAATACTTGGTTGGTGGACTGGTTTTGATTTGTTCTGGGCACTCTATAAATTTTTTTTAATTAATAAATTATTTATATTTATTAGATTAATGTTTTAACATGCAACAAAATTAGGATATGTTTATTTTACGTTTATTAGATTACATTGTTTTATAAGTGATAAAAAATCAAATAAATTAGTCGATTTTTTTTTTAAATAAACATGCGATAAACCTATGACTCAAGAGTTAATTAGATTGCTTAACCTAAAAAAAATTAACATGTAAAATGATTTTAAAAAGTAAGATTTGGCATGATTTTCACTCTTTGAGTCATTGGTGAAACACCAAAGCGTAAGTTATACACCATCGGCACCAAAAATATTTGTATCTTTCTCTTTTAATTTTCAGGTTCGTACCTGAATGGTCAATGAACCGGTAGAGGATAAGTTTGGTAGCAGTGTCATTGGACTAGTGCCTATCCTACTGCCCATGTCTTGGCCACCAACCACCTGACACACATTCATTTCATAAATTGATCATATCAAAAAAAATTTTCTTATTTAAAGAATTTTTTCTGATCTTAAAAATAATATAATTGTTTTCCTTACCTGATAAAGTGGATTACCACCCACTTGATACGTAGTAGGTAATAAAACGGAACCACCAGCCATTGGTGTTTTATACATCAAACTAGAAGAAGACCTCATAACCGGTTGCTGTTTAACTGAATTTAAAGCAGGTCTCCCTCGACCACGATTCAAAGCGGATTGCGCGTTTTGCATTTTTTGCATGAGTTGGAATTGAGGTGCTTTTGTCATTGCTTGATACATTGCGGCAGTGGTACTGAGGGTGGCCTGTTTCATTCTAGGCACTCGTGGTATTTTAGCGGGTGGTTCCCAATCAATGGGAGGTTCCATATTACGTTCCGGTTTAAATTTACGTGCACAAGCAACTAAATGTCGGGATAATTTTCCTTTTTGATTATCTTCAAACGGACAACTTGGACATTGATGGAACGCGGGGGCCCTTTCCAACCGACCGCGAACATTGTGCTCAGCTTCCATGTGGAATAAAATATCGTGGGGACTACGTACTTCGTACGTACAAAAATTGCATTTATAAACAAAATTTTTCATGTGGGGTGTTTCTAAATGAAGACCCATCGCTAAGGAGGATTCTGTTTTAAAACTGCAATATTCACATTTTTTAATTTTCATATGATAAGGCTCGTTGTTTTCTTTTGTATATTCAAGGTTTTTGATTAATGATGTAATGGTTTTGTTGGTTTCGATATTTTTGCCTCCTTCGCGTTCGCGTTTACGTTTTTGTTGGCGCAATAAGTCGCTTTGAACGAATTCTTGTACTAAATTATGACCGATATCCATAAAGAATTTTCCGAGTGCGCTATCAAAATATGAAGGTGTTTTTTTAGCCGCCGCCGCCGGTTCATCTAAATCAATAACTTTCTTAACATCATTTTCCTCTTTTTTCATATTATCTAATTTCTTTTCCACGTCTTCTTCTTCTTCCGAAGCTTCTTCATCATCTTCTTCTTGTTTCATTTTTTCTCGCATTTCTATGATTTCCTTTTTTAATTTTTCAACACATTCTTTGAGATCTTTCACGGGCGGTTTTTCGTATACATACGGAACTATAAATGACGGTGCTTCAACGACAAACATGTCATCTGTTAGCGAAGGTAATATGGCAGGTGTTGTTGAAGAACTACCACCACTAAGTGACGTTAATGTAGTTGATGAATTTATTTGTGTATTTGATTTAATTTGGGTATTTAATGGGATTGGAGTAATTGTTGCTCGCATATTTGCGGGATAAACACCTTGTGCGGGAAGTGCCATGGGTAAAAGGGGATTAAAAGATGTGGACTTTTGGTTAATTGGGATGGGACCACGACCTGATAAAATCGAATTAGTATCGATAATAACGAGAGTAGGTTCTTTTTTACCACTATTATTTAACGTTGATTTCGAAGCAATTTCCGCTAATCGTTTCGTATCTTTAACAACAATGGTAGACGAGCTTGAAGAAGAAGAAACTTGTTTTTTTACTTTTACATCGTTAAGCGGATCGGAAACGGCCAGAGGATCATCTGGAGGTACTTCTTCAACATCAGATTCTTCATCTGTACTCTCTTGATTATCAATGTAACTTCGCCTCGACTTTCGACTTAAATTCCTCGCACTTCTTCGCGGGGAACCAATAACAATTGTTGTTTTAGTCGTTTTCTTCTTCGGTGACGAATCTATCTCAATAATATCATCATCGTCATCCACATTATGAGGCCCTTCAGATAACGCTGGGCTATGAGACTTTCCATTTTCCTTAGGCAAACTACTATCAAGAATTTCAACGACATCACCATCTCCAGAATCATTTAAAACTTCTTTTTTACCAGACTTTGGTGACAATTTGTCATTGTCAATATTTCCTTTATCTTCATCATTTTCCTCAGATATGATATGAACATCATCATGATCATCCCTTTCCATGTCTTCATCTTCATCCTCCTCATCATCTTCTTCTTCATCATCGGTATTGTCGACTGAATGAATTTCACCTTTTTCATTTTTACCGTTCGATTGAGATGAAAGTGGAGGATTATTTTCTGGAGTTTCTATATTTACTACTTCTTCAATTTCTTCAATTTCTGTTTCTTCCATTTCCGCTTCTTCAATTTCTTCCTCTTCGCCATCTTCTTCTTCTTCGTCATCTTCAATTTCTACACTGTTATTATCAAGTTGACCATCAACTTCTTCACCATCAACATCGTCCTCATTATCCACTTCCATCGTCTCTTCCTCGTTCTCCACTTCACCTTTTTCCGATGATTTGCTACTTGTGACTTCTCCATTTAAAATTATACCATCTAGAAAACAGAAAAGGAATAGGATTTTTTTTATTAAGTTCTTATTATAAGGCGTTTATAAATGGTTCAAGAAAATAACAAATATATTTATGATACATAACATGTTTTGATGGAGTTATAAGAAGTTAATTACATAAAAAATTCCAACCTGACATAACATTTTCAGGTTATATAGGTTAAAACATTTAATCTGGAAAATAATAATCTTTAAAAATTAAATAATCTGGACTAATAAAGCTTGAAAAAGTTATGGATGTAATAATATTTTGATAGTTCTAATGCTAAAACAAGGATTTATGGATAGAAGTAAATAAAAGAAAAATGTACCTTTTGCAGTTTCCTCCTTAGAATGTATGTCGTCAACTTCTCCCATGTCAATCACAGCTGCCATAGCAAAGGTGAATCCTGTCAACACCAAATAAATGAAATCCACCTTCTTTTATTTTCAACTTGGGCCGTAATAATAATTGTACATTACGCATAATCTCTATATTACACTATACACATCCACCACGTCCTTTATGAAAAAATCAATGAACAAAGTATAAATATACGATAAAAAAGACAAAAATGGGTGTGTCAAAAATAGTGTGCTCTGTGAAACCCATTGTAGGAAAACTCATTCTTAAAATGAAATGTAAAGGAGAAATCGTTTCCAATTAGCCTTTGATTTCGATATATCATATTTAATCATGATCAAGTTAATTATGATATCTATTAATACATACTTATAAAGTAGGAAATAAAAGGTTTTTGTAACTATCTTGTGTTACACAACGTTGAATATCATTGAACTTTTTCTAGAGTTTTTTTTTTCAAAATTAATCAATTGTTACAAGATCATAAAGACCAAGAAGAACATAAAACTGTAGATGCTTATAACATCAATTAAATGTGCCTCATAGTACGAATAATTGCAATTTTGCAGGTTAATATTGAACAAGGTACAAGATGCGTCCACATTTTAAATTAGCATGTAAATATTGCATGGTTATATTTTCACAGACATTTTTTATAAAGAACTTGATTTTGAATCAAATCAAAATTACACAACCACGAAAGGTTTTTTAGATATAGTTTATTATAAAAGGGAAGAAATGGCAATCAGAAACTCATCATGTTTAGATATTCTTCATCCCCTTCAAAAAAAATCAACTCTTAAAATGAATTAGGTTTGATTAATACAATAATCTCACTCTGATTAATTTATTTCTTATTTCGACCGGTTTCGAAACTCATATTCTATCATCAGGAATCGCGTCAGGTTAAGAAATTAATCTGAATTAGGAAAAACCATTTCCTTTCATAAATTAATATTATTACTTATTAAAAATACAACAAGAAAATCATGGACAATAAAACACCAATATCTATGAGAGTCTTCAATTAATATAATTAGTTTTAGCAATTTGGTGAATTTGGCAATTGAGTAATGAAGTGGTAAGAGGCGTTAAAGTATCAAAATGCGTTTACACCAACGTCAAAATGATAGAGTGTGTCGAAACATAAAGCGGTATTCTACCTGCCACTCGCGAAAATGAAACTGGTGGTGAAATATAAAACGTTGCAGGTTATTTGTCCTCGATTTTTGCAATAAGTTAGTATTTATATCAATGTTGATAACAACATCTGTACCGATTCATGTAAAGAGAAAGAACTAGATAAAATTACCGAGCAACCCTGCTAATGAGATGAATTAACGAACACTTGTATTCATATATACCAATAAGGAAACTATTGGTAACTCTTCTTAAGTTACTTGTGATGCTAAAGTACACATTCACAAATATCCATGTATATTGGCTGAGTTATTTGACCAATAAATAGTTAAATCTGATGATGCTCATTAATTTATCGAGTTTTCTACAATATTTATCTGCAGTCACCTTTTGGGTTAAATCCCTGAATCGAAAGAGCTGCGCTACTTGAACCCAAAGAGAAGCTTTATTATATAAAATTATACGATTAATATGTTTGTATGTATATTTAATTTTGTATCTATTTTTTTTTTATTGTCTATACTTTTCTATAGCATTATAAATGCAATACGTGCGAAGTAAATGATAAGGTAAGGGGTGTTTCAAAAACACATATAAGTATATTAACCTTTACTACGTTTATGTTACGACGAAATAAAACGATTTAGATATCAAATAAAATTTTTAAATATTCTACTTTAAAACGACGGATACACGAACCGTTAAACAGTCAACGTTTTGCACAAAATTATCATAAGTTCTCTATAGCAGTGTGGGACGGTGTACCTTTTCACTCAAAGCAGAAACTGCCAAATTTCCATATATATTAGACCAATATAACACTTGTCTTGAAATGAATTAATTTTCAAAATCGAGCGCAAACTTTAAAAAAACTTAATCTTAATATCTGAACAGAAATAAATACAATATATTTTGTTAACACAAAATTCAATAATTCCAACATTTTTGTTTATTTTCTATTGTTCTTGTTACTTAATTTTAAATTTGGTCTAAATTAGACTCAATTCATAGATCTTTATCAACTTTTGGGCTAAATTAGATCAATCAGAAGTGGCACTTAACTCGAATACATATCGAAGTTTTTTCAAATAAACTTAAACATTAAATAAAAATATAAGATTAATTGTCTCATATTAATGTGGGTTTATAAATACGAAAAAAAAAATCGGATATAAAAATTCAATTTTTAGGATAGGCGTTTTGCAAATATTGTTAGTGAAGTATAAAATCTACTAAAAAATACGAGAAAATTTAGTGTGTGTTAACAATCGAAGGATTTTGATAGGAATTCATATAAAATCCTTTACAATACATGAATAGTAAATGTGCAATTATTTGAAAGAAAATCCGCAACACTCACTTAGCTTAAGGCTAAAAAATCTTGAATAAACAAGCGACCAGAATAAATTACAGTTTGCCATATAATTATACATAAACATTTGGACCCAACCCAAATGATGGAAAAGTGTTTCGATATAATCAAAAAAATTCACCTATAATGGACCCAATAAATGGATACTAGACCCAATAAGTTAATAAGGGAACATACTATAATTTAAAGAAAAATTTAACACATACAGTGCTTTCTAAAGAAACATATTTCAGCTAAGGTTACAGAAACATTATCAGATTAACTCTACAATAAATAAAAACACTGTTTTGGTTAATATTCCATACATATCCTGAACCAAGATACAGTTTTTAGCCATGCTATTGCAGTTTTGGCAAAACCGAAGCAGAAAAAGAAAAGATAACAATAAGAGAAAGTTTTGAAGAGAAAAGGCAAAAAAGCTTCTTCATCAGGAATTATAACGATCTAAGCATTGAACCCTTCAATTACAAGATCAAATTTACTCGAGATTTAATTCAAACAGATTGGGTAACCACAAGTAGAGGTTGTTGTAAACTAATATTTCCAATGGAATTTAGTGGACAACCGACGAAGTGCATTTCGATCTTTCTGGGGTACCAAATAAGTAAAATTTTCAAGGATCTCTTCACAATTTACGTTACAATTTAATGTACTTTGCAATGTGTAGGCATTAAAGAGAATGATTTTGTTAGAAAGGTGACGTTATAATGTACAAATTAAAAAACAAGAGGAATCAATATAAATGCATTTTGGACAACTCAACTTCCACTAATCTCCTTATGAAAAGTTGCTTGTTCAATGGCTTCTTGCGTCATATGGTTTGAAAACCTGGAAACTTTTATTGAGCAAGTACTTAAAGCAAAAACTTTTTAAATTCGTCCTCGAATCCTAGAAGAGCTCAATAGCAAGATGAGGAAATTGCGGGAATTCTTCCAGACGTGCTAGTGAGAGCATTAACCAAGATTTACACAATATAATTCGAAATAATATATTATTAATAATGTATACGAGCTTTTGAAAATAGATCCAAGTTCAGTTTACAATTGATTAAACACATTTAGAACATTTTTAATTGAACTAAGTCATAAAAGGTTCAGTAGTATTTAGAGCAAAACGGGCCTAATTTAGTATCATACATGATAAGGTGATTATAGTGTTTGCAGGTGATTTGCAGTTTCACAGAAGTGTTTTGTTCTGAGAAATAACACACCAAATGAATTCATATGTACTTATATCGAGATATTTCTGGATACTTGAAAAGGGGTAGGTAGCTGGAATGTGTTTTGCAATTTTGAGATTAACATCGTCTATCAATATAGCTATATATAAAAGTTATTGCTTTAGGAAGACTTGAGTAGAGCATCAAGTAGACCATGATAAAATAAATAACTCAAGAATACTAAAGATATCAATCTTAAAAGAAATTCAGTTTAACTTTTGATGTCATAATAAAATTATAACGGTTATTTATATTGCAAAACAAATATTGACTTATCATTTTACTAGGTTTTAAGATCATAAGTTTAGATAATTGAACTTTGGCTTCTGGGTATACAATCATTTGTATGCCAAGTGGCAGCAAATGTGTTTAAGCAGCATTTTCTCCTGTGAGATTGTGCTAAACCTATTAAGATGATGAAATATAACTGGCAAGTAACAAACTTTGTTGTTGTTAATACCAAGCAAAGATTATAGTTATTATCCACCAGTCAATAATGTTCATATACTTCAAGATGATGCAGAAGAGGAAGACTAAACAGATTACTATGCAATGTCATGTTATAATGCTTATCATGATTATTTTTTATGTTACTGTTGATAATAATATAAAAGTCCATAAATCTGTATCATTTTTGTAATCTTTTGAATGTTACTAATATTTCATTCTTTTAAAATTTATTTTATTAGAATGTATTACTAAAATAACCATACCCCAAAGCAACCAAATCTAATGCTTTCTATTTAAGTACACCACAAACTAACCTTTCTATCCACAAACTATTAGCCATATTATTCAGTAATAATTTAGGTTCGTTTCATATGCTTTGGTTGTTTACTAAATAGTTTCTCAACAGGGTTAAGTGAACTTCACACCAAAGGTACAAACCTCATTATACTAATTTCCTAAATTAATTTTTTCTTTAACTCATATCAGTTTCTTACAACTCAAGTGGAAATATGGTACTCCATTATGCCACACCCTGTATTGTTGTGGTTTCAGCTTCAGGTAAAAACAGAGAAATAGAGAAAATCAATTTCAGGCATCTAAATTCCAAATAGTTTTCCTCCATTATTCAAAGTGATATAATGTAATGTCAGTAAGAATCTTATTCCTGCATACACTAGAAATGTAGAATTAGAAATTTATGAACAAATCAATACAGAAACTTACCATAGATTCTTATAGTTTTACTGTTTTTTTTGTATAGAATATGGAATTATTATTATAAAATGAAATTAATTAATACATCCATATAGTCTTTCAACAATATCAATTTGGTTAACAATAATTTCCCAATTGGTAAATATTTCTTTTATTGTTACATACAGAAAAGTAGAGGTCCTCCATAGTGTTTTTGTTTCATCCCTTTGATTTTCTCTATTTTTCAGATTTATCTCAAGTTGAAACCACACATACATCATCAATTAAATAGGACATGTTCTCTATTGTACAACAATCATACTCATGCTAAGTAGGTTGAATTCTGTATTCACCAAATAGGCCCAACTAATTACTTAAAAGAAATAAAATAAAGAGTTGTGTTAACTCAAAAATGTTATAGGAGAGAAGAATTCTGAGTTCAATATGATTTCCATGTATATAAATTTTCATAAAAATGTTGCCTGTACTTAAATGTAAAGATTAAATTTATCAATATCATGAATTAACACCACCTCACAAATTCAATTCCAAATCAGTTGAATCTTGATTTCTTTATGAATTTTCCTTTAATATTACACAAAGAACACTTTAGATGCATTAATAAACACTCTTCCAAAATTATAAAACATAACTCGAAAAGTATTTTGGGAAATCAAAGATTCTCTGGAGCACAATCCATTACATTTTAGTGTTCAAACCAACACAATTGCTGAATTAGGTGGCGATTTAAAGAATGTGTACAACTCATTGTAGGTTATAATTAATCGAAAATAGTGAACATTTTTTTAGTTTTTTGTTAATTATAAAAGAATTAACATAAAAATGATGATTGGAAAATCTTCTATTCTCTCATTTTGTTTTAAAATGAGTTGTTCTACATCCATATATCTAAAATTTTCATAAAAATGTAGTCTGTACTTAAACATAAAGATTAAATTTATCAATATTTTCAATTAACAACATCACCTCACAAATTCAATTCCAAATCGGTTGAATCTTGATTTCTTTATGAATTTTCCTTTAATATTACACAAAGAACACTTTAGATGCATTCGTAAACATTCTTCCAAAATTATAAAACGTAACTTGAAAAGAATTTGGATTCTCCGGAGCACAATCCATTACATTTTAGTGTTTGAACCAATACAATTGCTGAATTGGGTGTTAATTAGAGCAATTTAAAGAATGTGTACAACTCATTGTAGGTTATAACTAATCGAGAATGGAGAGCATCTTTTTGATATTTTGTTAATTATAAAAGAATTAACACATAAAAATGATGATTGGAAAATCTTCTATTCTCTCATTTCATTTAAAAATGAGTTGTTCTACATTTTTGGCACACTACTTTTGAAACACCCATATAAAGAATAAAGTAACAAAACCCACCAATTCACACTTCTTTTAATGATTGTCTATTTAATAAAGTTCAATTAATAACAAAGATTACTGAAACTTATTAATTAAGAAAAACAGTTATTATTCTTGAGGTAAAAAGAAGATTCTTCTTTCCAAGAGAAAATGATAACAATTTCCAGCGCTACCAACATAAATTTCTCTCCTCCTCTCTCCTCACACTTTTAGCAGCCTTTTTAGTAACAATTTACTACAAGTCATTAGAGACGACGTTAACCTCTCTTTTCATCGAAGGATAAAAAAAGTTCCAAATTTCTTTTCGTTAAATCTCCTTATTGAATTTTCCGACGTGTTTTTTTTTATAGAAACAAATTTCAATTGATAATCGTAATTCCCGCCTTCAATTTTTAATTTTTCACAATCGACAAAACCTCAAAACAGCTGCGGAAACACCACCAATAGTAGAGTAGGCTGTCGTAAATACCCGAAGTGAGAACGCGGTAGGCGAGTTTCAAAAACGACCCCTTATAAGCGTTAAACACTACGTCCGTTTTAATTTTATGCAAAACATTGAACCACTTGTTTCTATCGCGTACGTCGAATACACCAACACCGATTAAACCAGACGAAAACACCGCGAGAAACGCGAAAATCTTAGAGACGCAGCGGTAACCCCAGCGCCGCACACTACACTCTCTGCCAATATGGCGTCTAACGGTACGTCACGTGACCAAAATAGTGACGTAGACCATCGTTGAATACGATGTCTTTAACATTTTTTTTTTATGTTACGTAAGACATCTCGTTAATTTGTGATATAATTATTTATTGTAAAAGATTTTTAAAACAAAAAAGGTTATAAAGTTTTGGTAAGGGCTACTTTTGTTGTGGGGATTTTTGGTTTGTTAAGTTCTTTTTTGTTTTAATTTAAATTTCAAATTCCCGCCTTTTTGATTAATTAACAATAAGTTTTATTAAACAAGTTCATAAACATCTTATTTGATATTATTACGATTATTTCGAAATTGATTTTGCTAATTCAATTTCTTTTTAAATAAGATCAAACATAACCTCAAAATCAAATAACCATATTTTTTGAATTAATAATAATAATAAATTAGTTAAAATTATTAAATTGTTAATACGAGATGTTTCTTTGAAACATTAATTTATGTTACAACATGATAAAAGATGATTTTAAAACATTTTGAAATCATCTCATAATTTTGGGGTTAAAATTGGTTATTATTGTGGTGATTATATACTTTTTTGTTATTAATGATGAGTAAAGAATATGAGGGGCGTAGTTGTGATGCGGAGAATGTTGCTGCTAAAAGGAGGAACACCGAGGAGGAGAACCTGGCCGCGTTCACTTCGAAGCGACCACCCCCCTTTCTAAAAATGGTTGGGTCCGAACCTCATTTTGTTCATACACAACTACACACACAATCCAGATCTATCTAAATTAATTTTTTCTTAACGTCATCAATGTTTTTCCCTTATTTACATTAATAATAAATGTATTGTTACAAAACCACAAAAAAATCTAAACGAAATCATCATTTTTGAACAAAACACAAAAAAAATTAGACCATTTTCGCTTTATGTCTCATTTCTACCTCTATTTGTTTATTTATAATCCTGTAATTTTTCGAATTTCTTTCTGTTTGTTTTTGCAATATTTGGTTTTTAATAAATTAATGCAATGAAATTAAATTGTTTGAAGGGCCATATCGATTTTATATGAAAATATTGTGTGCGAAACGGGGCCTAATAATGTATAATTTGGGAGAGGGAGAAATGTATGACGTGTAGAATAAATCAGGTTGAATACAGGAATTATATGGAAGTAACACTTAATTTAAACCTTCATTAAATTCAGTTTTAAATAATATCATTAAAATAAAAAAAAAATTTAGAAATTTTTGCAATTGTAAAAGTAGTATACAGGATGGTTCGCACAAATGTAATGAACCACATACATCTTTTAAGTCACCTATAAACGCCTCCACCATCCCAGAGAAATAACACCCTCATAAAACTCTCTAAAAATCATGGATTTGTCATCAACTGTTCAATTTAATTTATTACATTTTTATGTCAAATCTTTTTCCATCCGTATACAGATGTTTTCAAACTTACCCAGGATTTAGACAATTTATGACACTACTTAACAGTCACACCTGTCTACGCAAATACAGAAAGAAGAATATGCCGCCAGTATTTCTTAAAGGTACGTGAAAGAATAGAGAAGACCATGATTCCTATAATTATTAATTGAAAAACTGTTTCGATTAGACCTCAAAATTTCGAATTCCATATCCAGGCAAGATTGGGACAAGGTGGATAGGATAGCCATATAGAAGGCAGAACTAGAGTTGCAGATGTGTTTCTGCAGAAATTTTGAATGTGCGTATTTTGGAATATGGTGATTCGAAATGTTGCCAAATTTTCCGTTTTTCTGATATTAAGAGGCACTTGGAACTTTATTGAAATCTTTCTTTCAATGCGAGTTCATCTGTATGTAACAGTTTATGTTTGAAGTATTCAGAAAGGTCTTTCCCAACTTACCAAAGATTTAGACAATTAATGAATTAAACAACGTGTCTACTAGCCTGTCTACGGAGAGTAGAATACGACGCCAATATTTCATAAAGGCAGAATAAGAAGACCATGAACCCTATAATTACTAAGTGAAAAACTATTACACCCCAAAATTTCGAATTCCATATCCAGGCAAGACTGGGACAAGGTGGATAAGATAGCTATAGATAAGGCAGAACGAGAGTTGCAGAAGAGCAAGAAAACACCAATTGAGAAATACAAGTCATTAGAACGTTAAACACAGATTAACCGATCCAGCGCTCTACTGACAAAAGAAGAAATAGAAGAAATTACCGTCATTTCTTCTTCTGTCAGTACTTCTTCTGCCAAAAAAGGAAATTATGTGTGAAGTAGGGATAGCTATCGTCAAGATGTCAGCGACAAAGGCTGAAGACTAAATCACGAAAGTTCAACTTGACAGTTGGTGAAAGAAAAGCTTTACGTATAAGAAAGAGAACGGAGTCATCCTGCTTGCAGACAAAGGTAATGTTACCATGGTGATCGCATATGATATGATAGGGCAGAAAGGAATATCCGAACAAAATTGAAACTCTGTTGGATTCAGACACCTACAGCAAAATTAAAATGATTCTCATGAATAAAACAGTTAGGACGATGAAGAACCTAATAAAGTCGGCGGATATTCCACCGCAGGAACAGAAAAGACTGTTTGTACAAATAAAACTAGCACCAAGGATATATGATTTATCAAAAAACCTTAAGCCAGACGTCTCACTGTAACCTATCGTAGGCGCAATTAACTCAAACATATCAGTTTGCGAAAAACTTTGCCAAAGTATTATCGGTATTTACAGAAAATACGGTCTCCACCGTTAAAGATACAACTCATTTTGTGGAGTGAATTGGCAGTATATTCCTTGATCTACGAGACCTATAAGTCAATTTCGACGAGGAATCATTTTTTTACAAAAGTGCTGGTAAAACATGCTGGGAAGTCTACATGCCGTTATCACCAATCATCTCCAACTTCTATATGGAGCTATTTGAACTGGCTACGATACGTGGATGATACTTCTGTCATCTGGAAACATGGCAAAGAAAAGCTTGAGAATATCTAAAACCATTTAAACAGCCAGCATCCAATGATAAAGTTCACCATGAAGGAAGAAAAGTACAAACAGCTATCTCTTCTTGATGTATCCATAATCAGGACCAACAATTGACAACTCTTCATCACACCACCACACACAACAGAAGGTTATACAATGAAGGATATCCACCGGGTCAAGAAGGAAAAGAAGTTTCAGATAACAGATATGGTAACTAGTCAAGAACCTGACTTGAAAGGAACATCAGATTAAGAAAAACAGGGCAGGTAGCAGTCGTAGAACTATACCTCAAAATAGACTTCGAGAAGACCAAAATATTTGCGAGGAGCACCCACTACCACCTGAGGATGACCAGAGAGGCTACTAGAAATGTATCGTTATGAGAACAACATCACTAGAGAAGATAATATGGAGTTTAGCCGAACCTGGAAGACTTTGCTGGATTTAATTAAAAAAAAGGAAAGATATCAAGTTACGAAAAAAAACTCCTTTTCCACAAAATGAAACATTTTACTTTCTTACATGCAGATGTAGATTTACCAAACTTCTGAAGCAGAGGAAAACGTTGGATGCATCATTAGTGTCGAACGCTATAACGAACTATATCGAATGTTTATTGCAAAGAGAATGAAAATCTTTACATCTTTTGAGTTGAGAGTTGGATATACATACATTATTGATTGAAATCTAAAACTTCATTAAATGGGACACGTAGTGAACTACGGTTGAGCTTAAGTAAGGATCTTGGATGAACGCAATTTCACAAAATATGTTGCAAAAGAGTCGGTAAGCGTTACAAGGTATCGCTTGAAAAAGGGAATATGAAGCAACTACATTTAGGAAAATACAGTTCCCCTCTAATCCAAAGATTTTTCTCATCCATAATGGTCTTTTAATAAACATCTCCTTCTCAAACGTAACCTACTTCAAAATTTTCAAAATGTGGATGATACTGTACTTTGCAGAAACAGATATATTGCATCCAGTTTGGTAAGTATATCGCAGAAACGCATTAGACGCAGCAAGCGTTAAGATTCGGCAATGAAGTGTTCTTCAGCTTGATGTTAAATAAATGTGGATATCATTTATATTTGTGTTGTACAAATAATACTTATTGAAGTATGAATACCTACAGACGTTTTCGCCAAAAACTGATTATACTGAATAAGGAAAAAAAATAATTAACTACTCATTTTAAATATGTACATCCGTCCATAAAAATGTAAAAAATTAGCCGGGGATTTTAAAAATGCCCTTGCTTCATAGAAGTGTTGCATAAAATCAACAAACTTTACCGCATTTCCTTTTATAGAATGATTTCTGAGATATCGAACCTCAAATCCAGGGGAGTTCCTAGCGTAAATTTCTCAAATATACTGTATGAGATCAGTGCGACTATGGTACGTCACAAATGAAGAGGGAGGAGGTACGAAAAAGCATACCTATGAATCACCCTGTATTGTTGAACTTGACTCATAAAACATTTTTTAAGCTATTACCGTAAAGGTGATCGAACAAATTATAATGGACTAATTTCAACAAGTATTTTATAATTAAAAATATTACATGCACATGGTGGTAACAATTTTTTTTTACTCAGTCTTAATTAAGCCACCGGGGCATCTGCTAAGACGTTTGTGTTAAAAAAAACATAACTTAATGACCTTCATGTATAAATAACTATTTTCTTCAAACGTTGCTAAATACGATTGCTAAAAAGATTCATATCTGTTTTTAAAATTACAATTCATAGAACTTCGTCTTGGTTTGTAGAGTTTTTGTCCTTGAGATGTCATTTTTATCAAGGTCGATAAAGCTGTATAGAATTTTAAGGTTGTTCCAGAATGTTCTAAAGCTCATAAAGAACAACAACTTCTAGTAAAAAAGGAAAATTCGATTTGTGATAAGAATGCGACAAATCGAAATAGATTTTTTTGAACAATATTAAGTGTTTAAATTTATTTATATTGCACTAGGCAAACTTCATTCCGCGAAATCGAAATAGTTATCTTGTATGTTGAGTTTATCTGTGAAAATAACAATAGCTCGGCTGAAAATTCTCCATTATGGTAATATATCTGTATAACGATATCTCAGAAACAAGGAATTTTGATTAAGACTGATATGTTTTTTGGAACAATAACTATTTGAAGTACCCAGAAAACGGTATTTAGAACAGATATCGCAAGAATTTCCCACCGATAAAATTCTACTTACTCGAATTTACGAAGGTTAAAATGACCTTAATAAAGTTTTGTAATAGTGTAGCTTTTTCTTAATAATTAATAGCAAGACTAAATTTGTAATATGGATTATTTTGTTGGAAGATAACAAAAAGATAACTTTACACATATATTAATATTGTAGTGGTAAATTGAATTCCTTATTGAACATTACTATTTAATACTTACAACTTAATTTATGTAGATATGAAATGACATTCATCTCGCTAATGGTCAAGGAAACCCTAGGTCTCAAAAAATATTAAAAAACATAACTCATACACGGAGTAGGTTGTTGCGGATGGTTTCGACCTTGTTTCTTATTTTAGTAAATACACGATTAACTGTTATGCGATCTGTCAGTAATGTTCGTGCAGCAACGTATCCTTGATTCGTTTTCGAGTTGGGCAATTATGTAACGATCAAATTTTGAAGTTAATGTACATAACTTTCATAATTGATCAACTGCAATGTAATCATGTCTAACGTGACGTCACATAAGTCAACGTGATTAGGTGCGCAAACCTATGTAGGTTAGAAGAATATTAAGTTCGAACCATGCAAGAACGCGTAAACCGTTAATCTCTAAAGTTAACGTTGAGAAACGTTTAGATTTTTCCACAAAATATAAAAGATAAAGACAACGATTTTTGGAAACAAATCAACTTTAGTGACGAAAGTAAATTTAATGTATATGGAAGAAAATCTAAGTTAAAATAGGAAAATGTGGTGGTGGAAGCGTCATGGCATTTATAGAAGGTATTATGAAGCAGAGGAACTATATGGACATTTTACGCGATAGTTTGCTGGCTCTTCCAGCAGGATAATGACAAGAAGCACACAGCTACAAATATGAAGTCCTATAATGTACGGAAACAGTTGGATGGTCACCACCTCAATCATTGGCCATAAAAGCTATAGACTATATTTAAGAAGGATAAAGGGAAAAATACTTTCTATGTACTTTTTAACTGGTCTTTAATTACAAAAATTGTAGTGTGACTAGTTTCGGCTTGATGTCATCTTCAGAGACTATGTCAAAATATTCAGAACGTTCAAGACTTTTAACACAACCTTGTTTATGTTTTATTTTAATACTTTAAACCCTTAACAATATTTTGACATAGTGTCTGAGGATGGCATGAAGCAAAAACTAAGTCAGGCTAGAATTTTTTTTAATAAAAGACCAGTTTAAAAAGTACATAGAAATTATTTTTTCCATTTATACAATTACTGGTGAAATGGATTTCAATTATAATTGTCTTATTTAAGAAGAACTTTATCGTCGGATTCGAAGAGCAGATATAAAAACAAAGATTAATCTAAGAATAGGGTAAAATTCCAAATAATATTTGCGAAAATTTGATTCTATTCAAAAGGGATTCAACAAAATACGGATACATTCCGTAGATTTCCTGGATAGTGTACTTTTGACTACAGCTGTATGACCATTTTTGTGTGGTACATTTTAGCGTAAATATTTTTTTCTTAAAAAACTTCTTTTGAATGTGCTTTCTTTTTGTTAATAATAACTTTCTATATAACAGCGCTCCCTTTTCTTTATTTTGTTGTAACGATTTTGTATACGATATACTTTTAACTCGTATTTTGCATAGTGTATGAAGACTTTTGAGAGTCATTGTATGTTAAATATGGTTCAATTGTTCAGTTTATGTTAAATATTGCTGAAATTTAACGCAAATAAACTAAATTTTATATCAAAAAATCTTATTGATGGCAAAAATTTGATTTTTTGCTTACTTTCTTTTTTTTAAATAGGATGTTTGATTTAAAACTCCCAGGTCAAGTATCTTTGGAATGGGTTGATATATTCTGGTTTTGTAAGAAGTTGTTGCTAGAGTTCGTAAATGACTTCAGACTTTAGGTCTGAAGTATTGTTATTATTAATTGTACAATAATAAAGATGGTGCTGCAGTGAAAAAAAACTTTCCCTTCGACATAAAGTTTTTATTAGGTGCAAGTGATAGAACATTGAAAACTGTGCAAGTTTCGTTATCAACGTTGATTTGAAAAAGTTAGTAGTTTCGAAGATATTTAGTATTAATACTAAGATTATTAAGAAGATAAGTTAAATATAATTTTAATTTATGATAAATATATTTATGGTAAATATCCCGGTAGACTAGTTCCACACCAAAAAACGTTCATAAATCTATGCACAAACCTTACCAATTTTGGAACATTTAAGAAACAGAAACGACAGAGAGAAAAATGAGTTCGAGATGATGAAAACTGAAATGGTCGCGAAAAACTCGCATAAATCATTGCGGCAACTAAGACAACAAATAAATTTTTGCCATATAAGTGCGACGATATCCGTTGACTTCAGTTCTTGGTTGAATTTTTAGTTTTGGCATAAAGAGACAACTTTCTCAATAATATTCTGTGGTGCAACGAAAGTCGTTTCCATAATGATGGAATAGTATGCAAGCAAAAACAATCAATATTGGTCTCAAGACAATCTGAGTTGGACCGTACAAACAAATAATCAAACAACCTTATAATCAACAAGTCACCGTGACCTGCAGTTTCTGCAGAACATGATGAATAATGTTGTGACCTTCTTGTTGGTTTATATCAACAATTTTATTTCAATTAATGTTACATATCTTCGAATCTACAAGTTTTGAAATCAATGTTAATAAAGAAAGTTGCACAGTTTTTAATATCACATTGCACCTAATAGTTTCTTTTGACTGCAGCGACATCTTTATTTTTGCATAATGAATAATAATCTAACAACAACTTCTTACAGAACTAAGATGAAAACTAAGTGAAACACCCTGTATATTGTGATTGTGTAAAGCTGACCTTAGAAACCTTGATTATGTATATACCGATATTTTATACATTATATATCCTAGGGATAAAACCCCACTACATCCGGATGTCAACATATCGTTTTCGATTTCCGGTTGTATCATGATATAAACCCACAATATTTAAAACAGCTTTAAATCTTTTTATATAAAAAAAGTTAATTTTTACCTTGCTTTTTTTTTTCTTAAATATCTTCTTCTTCGTCCGCGTCGAAAGACAACAAAACCTTTTTATTTTTCGATCCTTTCGACTTCTTAGCTTTTGAATCGTCTTTCGAACATGCACCCCTTTTTTTCCCTTTAGAATCCTCACTCTCTGAAGTTTCTCTACTTTTACTTTTTAAAGATGAAGGCACTTTGAATTGAATAGGTTTTGTTAAATCAGCGGGAGTTTCTTCTTCTTCTAAAAAAAGATTAAAAGCAAATAACCTAAAATTGAAATCTTCCAAAAAAAAAATAAAACATCTAAATGACAGATTATGTCAAAATAAACGTCAAATTCAAAATTGACAGTTTTACATAATTTAAACATTTTTAATTTTGTATAATTAATGATAATTGCGCTTTGTGATATCAAAAATAAACAAATTTAATATTTACTTTATGATTAAATCAGAAAATTCTTTTAATATCGTTTGTTTTATCACCCTAAATTATTTCCGGGTCAATAAATTTTCAATTTTTTTCGCTTTCACCAATTTCAGCGATATTTTTGGTCCTGAGCAAAAGTTAAAGCAAGAAAGAGAGAAGCAAAGAAAAAGGTTGAGACTGTACTCGTCGTGGGGGCACAAAGCTCCCCCCCGACCATGGAGCAATGGAGAAGTGGAGGAGAAGAGAACCTTCGTCGTCGTCGTCGATCGATAATTCCGCCCAGTGGATGCGATAACGTTAAAAATCCGTGCGCCCTCTATTCGTTTCGAACTATTCTTCTAGGAAACGAGAGGAAGAGAGAGGTACGATGAAAAGGAACTAAACCTTTTCTATCTATATCGATTTTGGGGCCCCCGCACCGTCTGAATCTTCCAGACCTCATTTTTACAGCAACTAAAATTTTTTTTGAAACGTCAAAATTCTCCATTTAAGAATTAGATTTATAAAAAACACCACGTTGGGAGTAGCCAAAAATATAATTATGTTTAATGTGACAAAGGCTTTGTTACACATCACATTCATCGATTTTGATATGTAAATAAATAATTAATTTGTGAATATATGTAAATTATATTTCAAATAAAGTATAATTTCAACCAAAATGGAAGTTTTTTAAAATTTACATTGACATATTAAAATGATGATTTATCACGTAACGGTTGTAATTATGATGAATAGTACTAGAATTTCATGTCAAAGGTTAAATTTAGAAGTGATAATAATATACGAGCTGTTTTTCTTGATTAAAATTTAATAAATTAATTTCTTTTTTATTTGAAATTTGAATTTTCGTGCCAAATCTAAAATCAATGCAACCAACTTAAAAATGTAATTAACTGTTTTATTATTTTCCATTTAATAATTCAAATTTCTTTTCTTAATAGATATTAATTTGTGAATTATTTATGTTGATTATAAATTAATAAGGTTTTCGGTCAAAATCGATTTAATTTTTTTTTTAACATAAATGAATTTTTTTTGAATTAACTGTACATAAATAAAGTGGACGAAACCATTTCTCCGTTGCGGGGGGAGACCCCATCACTACAAACCTAAACTAGATCACGTGACTATAAAATTTTTCATCTCTCTTTAACTTATTATTTATCTCTTTTTAATAATTCATAAACGGTTAAAGTCTCGTAAAAGTAATTTTTCGTCGAAAAGCTTAAAAAGCTATAACGAATATGAATTTATCTAAATAAATTAATAAATTTATGGGGTGATTTCATGTAAATATAGGTGAAGTTAGGAATTTTAAAATCATCGCGGGCTTTTAATTCGTAATTGCCCCTGCAGAGCGCGCATGCGCACACCGTTACGTCAAAGAACCTGACGTTTTTCTTAAAAACGTAAATTCGGATTTTCCGGCGGAAATTAATAAATAATACCGGTGTTTTCGTGCGGATTACGTAGTAAGTACCTTTTAAATTGGAAATCGCATAGAAATTTTGGTGGTAAAAAGCTAACCTTTCTGAAGTTGTTGAGTGATAGAGTTGGCTTCTTCTTGTGTCAAATCTCCGGGTTTTAAGACTACAACGGTGGGTTTTTCGTCTTCGCCGTCTTCTAAATCTTCGTTTAAAACGGGATCCAACGCAGCACGCTATCGATAAAAGTAAAGGGGTTTTAAATAATACTATTCTCGAGTACGTTCTAACATAACCTACTTTTGTGTCAACCGTGGGGCCTTCCTTGTAACCTATTTGCTGTTTGATTTTCCGTAGAAACGAGGGTTCCTCCGGTTTTACATACGATACGGCATTTCTTTTTGACATTGCCACATCGAATCCCGTATAATTTTTCGCGCGCTTATCAAATTTTCCGGAAAATTTTTTTTTGATATTTTTAACGTGATCAAAACGCGTGTACCACACAAACGTCTAGAACACATACACACACACGAATACAATTTACCACACCAGTGGGGCCACTACAACGGACTTGAAAAGTGAAGCGAGAGCGGCACAGCGGTGGTACTCGTTGGTTCTCCTCGTTTCAAAACTTATTTTCCCTTACGCGGTTCCCGTTTCGCCTTTCTATAGTGTCATCTCTGTCCGTTACTCTATCCCGAATTATTTTGTCCGTTCGACGAAGCACAGTTCCGTACGTAGGACGTATCAAAAAAATTATATATAAAATATATATATATTTTTTTTGAGTATTTTAATTTCGATTTTTCATCGGTGTCTCCGATGTTGGAAGTATTTTGTGCGCGCGCGTCACTTGAAACGCACGTTTTCAAAACTGTACATATTCTAGAGATATGTAATAAAATTAATTGAACTCTCGCGATGATTATATATCCGGTTCACTCCGCAATTATTGATTAATATTATTTTAATTTGTAAACTTTTGTTGTACACGCAAATACAAAATTTTAACCCACCTCGTTTATTTATTCGCATTCAAATCGATTTTGAGATTTAAATTTATTATTTGTTTATTGAATATCGTAAATTATTATTAATTAATTTACCTTTTTTTTTTTTAAATTTTATATATTAATGCTTAAATTTTATATGACCAATTTAATCCAATTATAGTTAGCAAAACCACACATAGAAACACTAAAAATAGGTCTTATCATGTGGATATTATCATTGCTAACTTAATTATTTGAATGCTAACTAATCTTAAATTTAAATATTTTACATTTCTCCATAGAAGATCCGAATGTTCCACCTTATACAGGATGATTTATTAGCTCACCATCAAACTTTGACATATAATAGGTAATCTAATTACCAAAAAAAATGTTAATGAACATATGTCCTATTTCAATTATTTACGAAATTATAACACTTTAAAGTTTTAATTTTTATATCATAATTAACAGCAACATTTTTTTTAAAACACATAAATATTACAAATATTGTTCAAAATAGCCTCCTTCTGCTAGAATACATGCTTCACAACGACGAATTAAAGAGTTCTTCAGTCGAATTAAAATGTCTGGTTGATTTCTTATTTCAGTAGCAGCCATTTGTATTCTATTTAATAACTGTTCTCGTGTGTTAATTTCCACTTGATAGTATCTAAGATCTTTGAAAAAGTTTTGAAAATCCAAATAACTAGGTATTTTGAAGAAAATAATCTATTCACTCCATCCCAGTTTGGATTTAGACTAGGAAAAAGTACTACACACGCTATAATTGATTTTGTTGAAAATGTGTTAACAGGTTTTGAGGATGGAGAGTACTTGACAGCTATTTTTTGCGACCTAAGTAAGGCTTTCGATTATGTACAACATGATCTATTACTAAAGAAATTAGCTAAATATAACTTCGATTCTGGAAGCGTAACTTTAATGAAAACTTATTTAACTAATAGAACAAATTGTAAACTGTCATAGTAAATTATCTAAGAAAATGATGGTTAATATCGGGATTCCTCAGGGGTCAATCCTGGGACCTCTTCTTTTCTTAATCCGGTGCGTCCGTAATCATGTATGCAGACGACACCACTTTAATCACTAAAAGCAAGGATTCTCAGACTGCTTGTGATTTAGCTGATTCATCGAAGACTAATGCCGAGCTATGGTTTGCAATGAACAAATTGAGCCTGAATGAAGATAAAACAGTTTTATCAACGTTCACACTTCGAAAGCAGTTTAATGTTAATCCGAGTAGTGTAGGATTTTTGGGTGTTTATCTTGATTCTTCGTTGACTTGGGAGCAACACATAAGCGCGGTTTGTGGAAAGCTCAGTGGTAGCGTTTATTTTCTGCGGGTTTTGAGTAATAATGTGTCTCGGCAGTCATTAAGGATTGCATATTTTTCCCTCTGCCAATCGTTGCATACAGGCGTTTTAAAACAACGTTTAAATATTTATAGGGGTAGTACTACAGTCGAAAACAAGTCAAAAAGTGTTAATGAACATGGGTCCGCAAATCAACCGTTTTCGAGATACAGAATGTTCACATTTTTTGGGACTCTACATTTTTTCTTTTAACTATACTACAGATTTGATACTTGGAAATGCTATACAGTATGAAGCTGTGTCTTTTTGAAAGTAGTATGATGTTTCCATTGCTTCCGGTTGGTTTAAATTATTCAATTACAAAACGTTTATGCTGCGTGGGCTTTGACTTTCGTTCAAATTACGAAATAACCAAACTCCAGTAATTTGACTTCGCGAAACCTGAAGTGGAAGCGATTGCAATGGTCTTGTATTCAAATGCTGCAAAGGGCGATATGGTGTTTATGTACGGCCGTGCCAATAGAAATGCTTCGTTTCTAAATAAAAATCTCCGCCAATTAGGCTAAATATTAGTTTTTCAAATGCCGATAATATGACCACCATTTCAAGTGACCGTTTGAGAAAAACATTACTAACCAATAAAGTCTAGAATTCATGAATAATATGATACAAAGACGAAGAGATGGCAATTTTTATTGGGATTTTAATTTGCATATATGGTTCTATACATTCATTCCTGTTGATAAAACTGAAATCGTGACATGTCAACAAAAACTTATGATATAAAATTTCCAGAAACCAATTGTTCTAAAAAAATACGTCTGTATAAATGAGACATTATTTCCTTTTAGAGGACAGTGTGTAATCTCACTGTAAGAATAAGATGCATTTTTAAATTATTTTATCTTATTGCACACCTCTTATGAAGCAGTGTTTAATTTAAAGTGTTCTGTTCACATTATTCCTGCAGTGGTAGAATTTCACTGGAATAATGTGAACCGGCACTGGACTACACTCTATCCTGTGAGCAACCTAGTCCAGTGACTTTTTACTTTTTCACTCCAATTCGCTCATTCCAACGCCACTGGAATAGTGTAGACGGCCAATCCAATGCTGGATACGTTGAACAGAGTTAAAAAGGATGCTTGAAAGCTATTTTTTAGAAGATTTTTAGAATCGTTTGTATGCACTAATATAAATTCTCTTTGACAATGGAAAATATTCATATTCAACTTAATACCCATCAAAATGGTTATCTTTTAGATCCTGTATACATTTCATACAACGCTTAAATATTTTCAAGTAATATCATTCTTATTTAAACTACAAAAAAACACGGAGAAATGATAAAAAGTAAAGAGTCATGATAAACTTTCCAGCTCAGTTTATATGCTATATAACCGAACAACGTGATATCAGAGAGATAGGATGGTCTATACACTTTTTTCTATAGACCAACAATACTATACTGACCTATATCAATAAAACGTTCATACGTACTAGGAGTACGAGGTTTAATCATAAACTTATGTCCAAACTCCACTATTTAGAAATCAAATAATTTGGGTCAATCACCTTTAACTCATTAATAATAGTCTAACTTTAAATAATTCTACATATAACACTATCCATATTTCAAGAAAGTTGTATGGGACCTAAGTAGACACTTGTTGAGTCACTACAAATAGAGAATAACGTCATAATTAGTTCCCTTTAACCAAGGGAAGTTTTTGAATCTTTACATGTAAATAACATTTCGAACGTAGTTATAGCTATTCGTTTTTCTTAGTTGTAGGTGTTGACAGTGATTTGGAGTTGTGGTAATTAATTTTATTTACCAAATAAATTAATATATTTATCGTCTTCAAAATAAACTTGGTATCTACCAGCATACATTTACATATGTATATACCCAACCCAAACCCAATTCAATCCAATCCAACCTAAGCCAACCAAGCCCAACCCCGCTCTAAAGTGGGAGAGTATTAAGAAAATTACATACAAATCCCTAATCTGTCAATATACTTAATAATATAGGAGAGAAAATATAGGTGATAAAACATTATAAACGGTTTATGGAAAAATCCCTGAAACAGGTCTAGTCATGAGTAACAATCGCTTTAATGAAATACAACAAATAAAATAAAATGAATAAATAAAAAATTAAAATTAAGTTAAATGTCCAAATTATGTATACCGGGCAGCTAGACAGTAACCTAAACAATTTTTAAATTCTTGACAATTCCCTAACATATCAAGAGTTATTCGCTGAACTCCTTCTCAGACTCTGAATTTCAGTTCATCCAAAGTGTTTGGTCTAGTGGAGTAAACTTTACACTTCAGAGAAAGGAAGAAGTTCAGTGGAGTTAAATTTGATTATCTTGCAAGCCACAATTGGCCTTCTCCGAATCGGCATAGTGATTGGGCGCCATCTTGTTGGGGAAATAACTGCCGTTGGAATTGAGTTGAGCAACATTATTGGGAAATCTTGCCGTTATGGAAGGAATGAGATGGGGTTTTGTAAAAAATTTAAATATCTCTCTCCAGTTAAGGTTTCCTCAAAGTAAGGGCCCAGGAGAGTATCCTGTACTATTCTGCACCATACATTGATTTTTTGGTGTGCGACACTATTGCTCAATGTGGATTTTGGGTAATCCAATATCGACAATTTTCTATTTACTTGTCCACTCAATGTAAATGTTCACGAACGCACTATACCGGTGTCCCTCAAAAGTGGCTCACCCCCATCACTTTTGAGGGACACCCGGTATATTGTGAAAATAAATTGTAAAACCTAAAAGTCTTACCTTTTGAAATTAAATTTGTGTTTAGAAAGGTCAAAAAAAGTAATTAGTACACCTTGTAATAATTTATTATTAATTATCATATAAACGGCGTATAAAAAACAAATCATAATAAAGACACACACTTTTTTATTTTAATCTTTTTTCGTCGGTGATCCGAAGCGCATACAAAAGATTCATCTACGAAACATCTATATCAAATATTTTCTTATCAAAATAAAAAAGTCTTCTAGAAAAAACTTGCATAGTATAATTCGGTACAACCTCATCTCAAAAAAATATCTGTACGAGATGTTTTGAAACAAAGATACCAGATTTTAATGATACATAATATGGTCGGAAATAAGGTAACCATGTTCGCAAATCAATCGTTTATCATCATCAAGCGTCACTGATTGCATATCAATGACATATTCGACTGCTTAACAGTAAACAGTCGGCTGTTGTAATAATTACAATGATTATGTATTTAGTTGCTAAAATGATAGATATGGTGTTTATGTACGGTCGGATTAACGATGAAACGTTTCTCGATGTTCAATGATTAAGAATTACTTATATTATGAAACAAAAGTACAAAAGAGAATATGATAAATAAAACGCATCTCATCACAGTTGGTTAACGTAGTTAAAAACTATTTATTTCAACGAAACACTGAGGTCGCATGTACCTAAACGAAGAAAATGTTAAGATTGTAGCATACGCGGACGACATGGCGATTGTCATAACTGGATGGGACGAAACTGAAATAAAAAGGAGAGCACAATAAGAACTAATGAGTGTAATAAATAAGATGGAGTAGTAGGCGAGCGAAGAAACAATAGAAATGAAGATGAAAGGGTGTAATGATGGGGAAGGATCTCGGATGGAATCTCTCTACACCGAATTCCGTTCTACTTATGGACCAAGAAAGGAATGCAGAAAGTTGATTGGCTCAGATGTATTTTTGCAAATGTTATACGCCTGTAAAGCGTGAAGTAATGCGTTTGAAACTAAAAAACATGTGAGATTGACAAAAATACAGAGAAAAGTATTGTTAAGAATCACTGGTGCATATAGAACCGTCTCCATTGAAGCGCCAAAAAGAGAATGTCTACATGGGCAACATAAGAAAACCCGACTGCCATGCATAGTGGAGGAAATTATGGGGGAATGGAACAGCAAGTTGGCTAAGGATAAAGACAAACCAGCTTTAAAAAGTCAAGGCGAACAAAACATGTTGATATTAAATACCATTTCATTTAGTCAAATTCATAAAAAATTAGTCCAAAAACTATAAACTATGATAAATTTGGATTGTATGCTTTGCACAAAAACTTATGAACGTAATTTACCCTATATACTACACACTGTATACCTTTTATACCACCAATAAATGAAAATTTTGCTATTGCCAGATAAATTAGAATTAGAATAGACCATTTCTTTTTTCGATAATAATTTCATTTGAATAATTATATTCAAAAATGAAAAATCAACACAATACAGAAACACTATAATACCTTGCAACCTCGAAAGCAAATTTGGTCTGTTATTTGAATAGATTCGTTGTTTTTTCATAAACGGTTGATTTGTAGACTTATTTCCGTACATATCCAATTTTTAAACCCTGATTAAAAACACCTTGTACACATATATGTATAAATTAACACCGACAAAATATTCTTTAAAAAATCTTTAAAAAAACTCACTTTATCTCCGACAACTTATTGTCTATTTTTAAACGTTGTGCTCGGTAACTTTTTTTTAGAACAATAATACTAATCACTTTTAACTCTTTGGTACACAATGAAATATTTTTAGACCCTATTTCATAAAGACAAAATAAAAAAACTCTATAATAACGGAAATTATAAAAAAAATGACATTTCAAACGTCAAGATGACATTTTAAACATTTCAGATATGACATTTGTAATGTCAAAAATGACGTTTAAAGTGGTTAAAAACATATTACAAAACTCAAATTGATATTTTCAGCTTAAAAATTTCGTTTCAGAAATCAAAATCATTGTTAACGTCTAAATGACAGAGTTGAAATGGCAAAAGTGATAACTTTAAATAGATCTTCCAAACATCAAATTGACATTTAAAGCGTAAAAAAATGTATCTTTTATCAAAATATGTATGTAGGTTTCAATATAAAGAACAAATTCAGAACCATCATATTATTTCTTTCACAAATCAATTAACATTTTCCTGAAGACATCATTTCTGTTGTCTTAACCTTTCAGTACACGCAAAATTTCTAACTTCGCACTAGCACCATCTTCTATTAGCTAGCTGTTTCAAATGACAATATTTAAATGAATAGAACACTTCAATATTGTTAATAGGCAATAATACCAATTCTAATAACTATTAATATAAGATAAATAAAAACCTGTTTAAACTCGAAACTTTGTAATTCTAGGTCTGGTGTTAGTTCTGGTTTCAGTTGATATTGTGTTAGGTAGATAACTAGATACATTCGGGATTAGCCGTCTTAAGAGACGTACGGGTAAACCCGAATGTTTCTAGTTCTAGGTACAATGTTAGTTCTAGTGCTAGTGTTATCTCTAATTTTAGTCGTTATCCTGCGCTAGATAGGTGTGTATTATTAATGAACTAAAACTAGAACTAACACTAGACCTAGAACTAGAAATATTTGGGTTACGGCTTAAGTTATAATGCTATTTTTTGCCCGACGATCATTTCTATTAGTAATTGCAGACTCACAGTCCTCCGCCTGAGATTGTGTAAGCGCGCATACTGAAAGGTTAATTCTTTATGAAATGGGTAAATGACATTTTACATGACGTCTACATTAATGATTCATCATTTTAAACGTCAAAATGAAATGTTAAACCTAAAATTATTACTTTATCTGTAAAATAACTGCATTTAATACTTTTTTTTAAATATATTTATGAAATCGGGTATCAAATAATTGTTTTTAATCGAAATTTAAAGTCGTGTTGCTTCTGAACTAGTTGTAACAATATTCCTTTGGGTTCTTCTAGCACTATAATATCCGAAATTAGGATCGGTGGGACTAGCGACACTTTGCCTCGGGCTTTGGAAGAAACGATTATTTTCTTTGGTATCTGGACTAGGTGAAATATTATCAATGCCTTCAGCGCTACTATCCGATAGTGGTTCGTTTGAATATTTCGGCACGGATAAAAGGCTTTCTGTTGATTTGGTCGCTTGAAAATATCTTCGATGAGTGTGTGGAGTGTATTGAGGTTGAGTTTGGGAAGAATTATTTTGTTTCTCGTTGCCGCTGGAAATTCGACCGTATTGTCCTTTGGAAGTACTATTACTACTACTAACGCTTGGTGTTCTATGATTTTTTTTCGTCGTATCTAAGTAACCATAACCAAAACCGTAACCGCCAAAAGCTTTCGTGGTTAAATTATCCCAAGATTTTGGTTTAACCGGGTTATATTGGATATAAGTTGTTGTTTCATGTTGTTGTTGATGTGATGGATGTTGTTGGTGTTGTTGTTGTTGTTGATGTGGTGATTGTTGATGATATCTTTGATGATCATGCTTATTTTTAATACTAACCTGTCTTGAATTCATTTCACAAGAACCATCCCAGTACAAAGTATCCGTACTTAAAGATGTTGTGTAACTCCCGGAACTTTCCCCAGTTGTTGTTGGGGCAATTCCACTTAATTCACTTGAAGTACACGAATGTAAACTACATTGACTTACTAATCCAGCACCAAATTGCAAATATCTTCTTGGGATTGAATGCGTTTGAGTTTGCGAAGAAGAAGTTGAATGCGGTCTTCTTGGTGGTTGTCTTTGATGTTGTTCTTGCGGATCTGTTTGGGTTTCTTCTGTTCGAGAATCTCTTTTTCTATGCTCTTTATGATTTCTTGAACGCCTCCGTGCGCTTGGAACACAATGAGGATCGCAACAAGGACTCGCTAAATCATACGCTTCTAAACTCGTGTTGTCGCCATTACTATTTGGTTGAATACAAGGATTACATAAATGTCCGGCGTAAGAATGGCATTGTTGTGGTTCTTGGGATTTTCTCGGTTTCACATTAACCTGATTAATTTGTTGTTGATTAATTTTTTGTTGTTTTTCGCAACTATTTCGAACAGCCATAAAATGTTGTTCCGCATAACGAGGTTGTTCAAACGTCAATAAATATTCACCGCTTGAACTTGTTGATGGTTGTAACATGTAACGGTAATGCGGGTCTAAATATTGATAGGCAAAAATTAACGTTGGAGGTGCGTGTTGTTTTTGTTGTTGAACTTTAGCGACGTCTTCGGTGGAAACTGTTGGTCGGCAGTAAGAATAAGTTACTTGAGTTGGTGTTGTTGGATCTCCCGTTGATTTCGTTTGCTTTTTTCTTGCTGGTAAACTGTGTGTTTTCCATTTTCCTTCTAATAATTGGCGCTCTCTTAAACATAATTTTTCTAACTCGGCCATTTTGCTTTGTAGGATTCTTTGAAGTTGGATGTATCTCATATGAAGCTCGACCTAAAAATAAAAATAAATTTAAATAAAAATTAAATTACAGTAAAACCTCGACGCAATAAAACATAGTTCTAGTTTTAGTTCAATGAATAATATACAAATATCTAACGTTGAATGATATAAAACTAGACCTAACACTAGCATTAGAACTAACACTAGATTTAGAACTAGAAACATTCGGGTTTAGCCATCTTAAGAGACGTCCGACTAAATCCGAAACTTTCTAGTTCTAGGTCTAGTGTTAATTCTAGTTTTATTTGTTGTTTAGTGCTAGATTGTTGTATGTTTTTATTAAACCAGAAGTAACTCTAGACTTAGAACTAGAAACATTCGGGTTTAGCCATCTTGAGAGACGTGAGGCTAAATCCGAATATTTTTAGTTCTCAATTTAGTGTTAGTTCTAGTATTGCACTAGCACTATCACTAGAACTAACACAAGACCTAGAACTAGAATCATTCGGGTTTAGCCGTCTTGAGAGACGTGCGGCTAAACCTGAATATTTCTAGGTCTAAATCTAGTGTTAGTTCTAATGCTATGGATTTATTCCAATTTGAAAAAAAATTAAATTGACCTTTAGATGTTTTTTATTTACCTTGCGAACGCAATCTTCAAATAACACTACCATTCTCATTCGCGAATCACAATTTTTTATGAAATTAACTAATGTTTTATGGTCGGCTTTTTCCATATCGGTTCCATTGATGGATAAAATAACGTCACCTTCTCGCATACCAGCCCGATAAGCCGGTCCGTCATAATCAACGTAATCGACATAGGTAATCATTTCAATTTCTTGCTCTTTTTTGTAGTGAATTCCGTAACTTTGCAGCGTGAATCCATACGAACCGTTTTTCTTTTCGACGATTATTGTCCGTCTTCTTCGATCCTCTTCAGGTTTCGTTACGGTTACGCGATCCGATTGCACTCGTTCAAGAATTTGGGACTAAAACAAACAAAAAAGCATCATTAAAACATTCTTTACTATTTTAATTTTGGCTTATTTTAATTCTTTTTTAATTTTAACTTACATTTGTATCTAAATCATCAGAATCATTCATTTTACATTATAAAAAACAAGTTTTTCACGTGTTATTTGTGTTGTTATTAATTTTTATTTCTTTTTTGTTTAAAAGCCATACGACATTCACCTTGAATAGAGCGAATGCAACAACAATTTTTTTCTTGTTTCAACATCCACTTGTAACTAACGGCTATCGAGTACTAACGGAAAAACCGAATGTTAAATTTAACATAAAGTAACACGTTGAAGCACACGCGCATTTAGTGACACAATTAAACAATAACAATAAAAAAAAATACAAAAATAAATACGGTTAAAGACACAAGATGAACGTGTACTGAATATTAAATTGAAATTATAACACCGCGAATAAGGAAGATGTCCATAAAACAAGTTAAATTATGTTAGGTCTGCTGTTGAGTTTCTATGATTTTAAACGCGTCGAACGACGTGGACTGTCTGTTTTGTCTGTTGTGGAAAAAATGTGGGTTTACGTAGTTCTAGGTAACCTCGAATCGATTTTGCAATAAATTAACGAGTGATTATTATAATAACGTTAAAAACTTTTTATTTCTTAAAACGAAATTACTTCTAGACAAATTTATTTTTTAACCTTGAAATATTGTTTTGCTGATTAAACAATTTCATTTCTCGTTGCAAATAGATAAATGTTAGGTTTAAAAAATAAAATCTTATAAATGGACTAATTATAATTGTAACTTAATTTATTTATTTATTGTTGTTTCAGCATTCGAATTTGCGTGGATTTTCATAAAAAAATCTGGTAAGTACAAATATTAATACAAACATAACTTAAACCAATCATTGCTTTTAATCGATTCCTCCTGTTCTGTTAATGCCAATTTACACTATTTATCTCGACCAGGTTAATCTTTTATTTGTCGTAGGTTTACCGGTGATACTTGATAGCATCGTTTGAAACTTTCCAATGCAATAACATCGACAAAGGGCCAATCTCGACTCAGTACATGTTCATTTATATAAAAAATCCATCGCAAATTATCCTCTTCACGAGTAGTCCAAAACTCCTCTCAGCAATTGTCATAATCTTCCTTCCACATACCGAAAATTTAGCTATGGGAGAACTCTAAACTCAAATGTTGAAAAGTTACGAATTTGTTACTACCACATCCATCATTTTACCTCACTCCTGCTCATTATCTCCGTTGTCGTTCTCTCCAATTCCGTTCTGTGAGTGATAGCCAATACATCATTTACTTCAACATTTATCCCAAGACGAATTACCTATCACTAAGATGATGTTTGAAAATATGGTAAAAAAAGGCGAGGAACTCCTGTATTTCGCACCCTACAGAAGATGTCAACCTAACAAAGCTTATCAAACTCTTTGGCAATATGAACAAATATCCCCAACATCCACCTCTTAAAAACATCCTCCATCATATTTTGCACAGCTGTCTACCGTGCATTCATTTTTTCTTCACATGCGATACATTTTCTGACGGCTGGCAAATAAGCTAAAATTTTGAAACGCTTCTACAATAATAACAAATTTTCAAAAGACCTAACCCTTAGCAGTCTTCACCATGATTCACCGCTCTCTTCCTAAAGACAAAACTAAAGTTCTACCTCACATACATCTCTTCTTCACATACAATTCATTTAATTCATTTCCATTCACTTTCTCCTGCTCATTACCTCTGTTGTTTTCTCCAATTCCGGTCTGTGAGTGATAGCCAATAAAATATAACATTTACTTCAAGATTTATATTCAACCTTATTATGAATTCTTGCGGAAATCCTGTTTCAATATTCCCTCCCATACATAAAACTAAAGTTCTATCTCGCATACATCTCTTCTTCAAATACAATTATAATAATATAATTCCTGTAATTTTTCCCATATCAAGCAAATGTTTGAATTGAGCAACGCTGAGATGAAGAGTCAGAGTCTGCCGACGTTGCCATATACATATGTCAATAACTAAAGGTTCAATCCTTATGTGATACTTAAGTTAGTTATTGAAAGTGAGGTTTAGTTTGCAGTCATGATCGATTTGTGCATCCACATATTCGAGATATGTTGACTTGTTCTAAAGCCAGCATATCTTGCAGTATGTTTACGATTATAAATTAGTTATTGCCAAGAATCTGTGTGTGCAGGCCATAAGAAATTACGTAGAGATATTGTGTGTTGACGTTTTCTATTGTAGCGGCAACAAATGGAAGGGCGCCTTTTTGCTATACATTGTACATTTCCATTCCTCACATTCTCAAATCACCACAACCAAAAAATACAGCAAAATTGATGGGTACCAATTTTGCAACCTTGAATCTGCTCCTTATTCGGGTAATCACGATTGTTCTGATATAGTAGGAATTTAAAGTAATATAAAAGCATAGTATAAAAGAATTAGAGGCACAGCTTGCGAAATTTGAGCCACACACGTAAGTACTGCTACAGAGCGTTGGCTACATGAAGACTGCAATGGTGAACAAAATCCAGAATAACATCTATGTTAAACGTACTATATACACAGTCCATGGGAAAATGTGGTAGCCGTTGATTACTATACGAGGATTTTAGTAAGAGCAAACGGTAGAACCGAGATGACAACAAATTCAATTAAGATCTTAACTTACAGTTTTATAGGCAAAGGTTGCATTAGGACCTATCTGCGCAGTAAAAAAACTTGTACGCGGCTTGGTTTTTGAATCTAAAAACGCCGACACACTAAGTACCTAACCCTAAAGGTACAGCCACGTAAATTTTGCGTTTAAGCATGTCAATCTATTTAGACCAACCTTAGACAACTCTTCAGGCATCTCCTCCGGCGGTAGGAGATGATTGTATACTTGCAATTTTGTAAAATGGAAATTGTTAAACTGTATTGCAGTGCACAATTGCAAAATTTTTCGTGGACAGAGTGTAGAAAGCTTCTTGTATGAGTCTTTTCATCGTTATCTATTGCTTATAGAAATTTATGAAGAAGTTCACAACCGTAGATACCAAGATTAAACTCATCACCAATAGATTTAGTATATATTTTCAAAAGTTTATAAGTGCTCAAATCGGGATGATGATTCAACCATTATTATCTATTAGTTCTTTCTGGTGTATAGATAAAGTTTGAATAACATCACTACTATGAGATTTTAAATCAATCTGTTTTGCGCAGTTCCTTGGTTATATTGATGGATATAAATTTTCTCTAGTTATATTCCTATTTGTTCCCAATTGTGTTTGCCAAACGTAAAATGCGCAGAGCATGTTTACTTATGCCAGAAGGATTTTGCCAACTCATTTGTTCTCACCAACACTGAGTTTTTCGCTTTGATAGCTGTTGATAGCTGCAATGATGTCACGTGTAGGGCATTGGAGTTTGCTTTCTGGATTATCAAAGTGTAAGCTAATATTAGGAAAAATCTTTTTAGTTCATAGTTGAGTTGATCATCGTATTCAGATATTGTAGCATTTGATTGCACATCGTATCACATGATTTAGATATCCAATCATCAGTTAGAAATTTATAGCCGCTTTTCTAAAATAATTCTTCATTTCTTTTCTTCTAATCAATTGTCCTTCTTCTTCCACAATAGTAAAGTAATCGATCCACTGTTATTGTATACCTGGCTAGCATTAACAAGTAAAAGTCTGAGAATTACTACTGAAATCGAGGAATATCGCTACAAACATATGCACCTTCATAAGAAATAGGTACCATCTGGACGTTTTCGAAAAATTAAATGAATCGTCACAGCTAATAAACAGTTTCACCGAAATCCCCTATTCACTTCCGCTTACAACCCTTACCTCATAAATACAGTTAATGCAATTAAACGTCTTAAAAACTTCCATCATTACGACCCAATCACGTAATAAACATTAATAAACACACTCTATTTCTTTTTATTTATAATTATTGTTAAATTCTTTGTTGTTGTTGTCAAAAGGATAAATAAAGTTTATTTTCTTTCTCATATCTAATTTATTTATGAGAATTGTTAATTTATCTAAAAAAACTCTCTTAAAACGATTAATCAATACCTTCTTTGCATTAAATATCCACCAAACAAATTAAAGCACCTTCGAAAGCCATATCAGAAAATTGAATTCTTTGAACTCAATTTAAAATAACTTTATTCATAAGTTTTCCATAATTTCAGTCAAAAATAAAAAAATATATATCTTTAACTTACTGGAGATGAAGTACAATCGTCGTCGCTTTGTTCAATTTGCAATTGGCCTTGATTTTGTTGCCTCCTCATCGTACTTGGTTTTCAATCCAAAAGAAAAAAATCCGTTAACTTTAAAAAACCGTCGTGAAACACTACATTTTCGCGTCGCTCCGTTTCTTTTCTCTTTGCGACCGTGGAAAATTGAGTCCGTTTATTGTGCGAACAACACCATATTGGGGGAGGAACAGCTGTTCGATAAGGCAGACCCGACGCCGCGCCGTCGCGACGCCGTCCGCCATATTTTTAAAACGGTTGATCCTTCGATGGAAAGAGGTCATGTTAAACATAGATAATAGACCCGGTTCTACGACAAATTTTATAAACTGAAAAAGGACATGGTTTAAAAAGGGGGGATAAGTTATTTTTCGATTGAAAGGGTCTTGGAAGAGGTATGATCTATTTTAAAGTGATCTATTTTTGGGGTATCTGTTTATAAATGAACTTTTAGGGTTGTGAGTTGTTATTTGATAGTTATAAAGCTTTTATGCTTATTGGAAGACCTTAAAATGATTTAATTGTTATATTTTAACAACAAAACAATTTTAATTGTTCTTAGTACGTCCTACAAATACAATTATTAATATTACTTTATTAAAAGTATTATAACATAATGTACTTACATTCTAACAAATAATTCTTAAAAAGTTTGACATTTCCTAATTTGACGTTTTCAAATTTTAAAATTGAAAGACGTCACCTTTTAATGTTGGTAGTATTGGTAAAACTTTAATAATTTTAAAAAATAAAACATGAAATTATTTAAAATTACAACAAAAAGTTATTTATCCGTTTAAACTTAATAATAATAATTAATACAAGGAAAATTTATCATTTCATAAAATATCAATATAAAATAAAATAACTTTTATTTTTAATGATTGGTACATTATATGACATTTGTTTTTGAACTAACTTCATTGATATTGATTTCAAATTTTGAGGTTAAGTTGTTTTAACTGAAAAGAACCATAAAATTTTTTTTTAATACATAATTTCCAAAATAATATGGAAACAAAACTCCGCAGATATGAAAAAATCGAGTTCTTAGGTGAAGGTCAATTTGCAACTGTCTATAAAGCCCGGGATATTGAAACAGATACGATAGTAGCTGTAAAAAAGATAAAAATAGGGAGTTCGGTTGATGCGCAAGATGGGATAAATAGAACGGCTTTAAGGGAAATAAAAATCCTTCAGGAATTGAATCATAAGAATCTTATTGGGTTATTAGATGTGTTTGGACATGTATCGAATGTATCCTTAGTTTTTGATTTTATGGATACAGATTTAGAAGGAATTATTAAAGATAATACGATAATTTTAACCACGGCTAATATAAAATCGTATATGATACAAACTTTACAAGGGTTGGAATATTTACATTTAAATTGGATACTTCATCGTGATTTAAAACCAAATAATTTACTTGTTAACTCAAATGGAGTCTTAAAAATTGGTGATTTTGGTTTGGCTAAGTTTTATGGTTCCCCAAATCGAATAAATACCCATCAAGTGGTTACAAGATGGTACAGAGCCCCAGAACTTTTATTTGGAGCTAAACAATACAGTGTATGCATTGATATGTGGGCAGTTGGTTGTATTCTTGCAGAATTATTGCTTCGAGTTCCATTTTTACCTGGCGATTCTGATTTAGATCAATTAACAAAAATATTTCAAGTTCTTGGAAGTCCTACAGAAGAAAATTGGCCTGGATTAAAAACGTTGAGCGATTTCGTTGAATTTAAACCTTGTCAAGCAGTTCCATTAAAACACATCTTTACCGCCGCCGGCGACGATTTACTAGATGTTATTTCGGGACTTTTAGTTTTAAATCCAAACGATCGATTAGATTGTACTCAAACGTTAAAGATGCCGTTTTTTAGTAATAAACCAGCTCCTACTTATGGACCTAAATTGCCTCTCCCGCAGAATATCCGTCGTAAAAGTGAGGATAAACCGAGTTTGAAAAGAAAACTCGTTGATGCTATCGAAGGGGGTTCATTATCTAAACGCTTGTTTTATTAATTTTGTTATTTATAAATATTTATACGTATTAACTTTGGTTAGATTAAGTAATAATTAAATGTATAAATATAATTCAATACACATTTTTGATATTAAAAATTAAGAAAGTGTTTTTCTCAAACATTTTATTTCTGACAATTAGACCGCGTTATGCATCACTTGACTAAGCGACAAATAAACAATGTTGAGAAAAACGGGATTTTCGTTTTCATCTCTCTAAAAATGTGACTTCTCAGAATAGATAGGCTCAAACTATTAAAAATTGTTTGGTGCCTATCAATTTTTATCACAGAATCACTGATGACTATCACTGATAACAGCCATCACAAGCACAGAATCCGCTTGGTCAGTCGTTTTATGATTATACAGGATGTTTCTGTAAGTCATGGCATAAATTTAATCACAAATACTAGAGTCAAAATGATGTTTCGTGTAAAAATTTTTGAAGAAAATTATCTAAAGTTTGATTTTGTACTTTTCAACTGGTTTCTATTTTACAGTGTGTCCGTAAAGTAACGGATAGTAACGGTGTGAAATCTCTGATCTTTTGTAATGTAAGGGTTGATGCGGCTAGGTCTTCTCCTGTTTTTAGGGTAATTAGAACACTAAAGCATATTGATAAACAGAGCTTTTTGCATGATTTGAACACAGTGCCCTTTAATTTGATTTTTTATATGAGGGATGTTGACGAAAAAGTTGCTTTTTTGGGGAGAAATCTCATTAATGTATTTGATATTCATGCACCATTAAAGAGATGCAGATTTACAAAACCTGCTGCTCCCTGGTTAACTAATAATGTAAAACTATTAATGCGGTTGCGTGACCAGGCTAAAGCACAGTTTAAACGTGACAATACACAGGTCAATTGGAGTTATTATAAGTCAATGCGTAATTATACTACCACAGCAATAAGAAATGAAAAGAGAGCATATTTTTTGTATGTCAGAAGCCAACAAAATAAAAAATTATTATGGAATAGCTTGAAAAGGTTGAATATCAATAAAAGTGCTGCCGCATGAGTTGCAAAATGCAGAAGAAATTAATAATTTCTTTTTAAATAGTGTTAGGGATATTGCAAATTCATTTGTTCCTGTAAATGATGAAATTCATAACAGTCATGTATCGTCAGAATTCTCTTTTAAGACAATTGAAACGGCAGAACTTTTAGCTATTATTAATTCTATATCGTCAACAGCTAGTGGAGTGGACGGAATTAGTGTTGAAATGTTAAAAATGTGTTGTCCAATTATACTACCTTATGTGGCGCATATAATTAATTACTGCATCACGGAAAACGTTTTTCCAACATCGTGGAAGCAAGCTGTCGTACTTCCTTATCCTAAAAAAAAGAACCGAAAGAATTAAAGGATTTGCGTCCTATTAGTATTTTACCTGTGTTGTCGAAGGTCATGGAGAAGGTAATGAAAGTGCAAATGATGAATTATGTTGAATCAAATAGTTTATTGCCACAAGAACAATCGGGATTCCGACCTGGGTATAGTTGTACAACAGCGATGTTGAACTTAACTGATGACATATTGTGCGCTTCAGATAATGAACAGTATACTGCAGTTGTTTTTTGGACTTTTCTAAGGCCTTCGACACTATAAATCACGTGAAATTATGTAATACTTTAAAATGCTTGGGTTTTACTGAAGGTGCGATTTCTCTATTAAATAATTATCTTACGGATAGGACGCAGATGTGTAGGATAGGAGACGATGTGTCCAGCAAGGATTACCACAGGTGTCCCGCAAGGGTCAGTTCTGGGGCCGTTGTTGTTTACGCTTTACACGTCACAATTTGCAAAACAATTGGAGTATTGTAAAATTAATATGTATGCTGATGATTTACAGTTATATTTTTCGTTCCCAGGTATTGATTATCATATTGCTGAAGCTAAAATAAATAGCGACTTAAATAGAATGTATCGTGTGGCAGCTAACTATCAATTGAAAGTCAACCCAAGTAAATCCATGTATATGTGTCTCGGTAATGCCAGGGCTAGTAGCAGACCTGTGTTAAATATACAAATGAATGGTGAAATAATCAGTTTAGTTCAGGAATCCAAATGCTTAGGGTTAAGAATAGATAATACGTTTAGATACAGATCGCAAACTGGCTATTACATCAAAAATGCTTATTCTTATTTGCGTGGACTTTATCCTCATCGAGCCTATCTTACGGTGAATCTAAAAAAGCAACAGTGTGAGTCTTTTGTTCTATCCCAGTTTAATTATATGGCGCCACTCTACCACCCGGCTGTTGATGTGGTAACTTCTAACCGCATACAGAGAGTGCAAAACAGTTGTCTGAGGTATATTTATGGTATTAGAAAATTTGATAGAGTTACTCATAAGCTAAAAGATATAAAATGGTTGTCAATGAAACAAAGAAGAGACCTTCATAGCTTATAAGTTCAAACCGGCAACAAACCCATATGTTACGAGATTAAGCAATCCTATATATCCACCAAAACATCGAACGTCTCTATTTGAAAGAAGCTTCAGCTATCACATTTACAAATCTTATAGTAAATTGCCAAGTGATATGCGAACTCTGAGCTTATGCACATTCAAAAAGTGTTTGATGCGACTGTGGTTTCAGCAGCAAGGGGGAGAATAATATCTGATGCTGGGATATTTACCGTTGGCCGGTTGGAGTTTGTGAAGGCAGTATAAATTTGTGTTTTTTTTTTTTGCTTTAATTGTTGAATTATCTTATAATTCATATCATATGTTCTTTTTTCTTTTATTTTCTTTCTCATGTTTTTTTTTTCGGTTAATTTTTATTTTTTTCTTTGCAACCAACTGGGTTGGTATGAGCAGACTTTGTCTGGAACCCGCCCATTGTGTTCCTTCTTTAATTTATATTATGAAACAGAATGTTATTTGTATTCCGTGGAAGGCACAATAAAGATATATTATTATTATTATTATTATTATATAGGCGATAAAATCATAATAAATGGTTTATGGAAAAATCCCTGCAACGGGTCTAAAGATTTAAATTTTTTACAAACTAGTACAATCAATATTAATGTTGGTTACATAAGAAAATTTTCGAGAAAAATTACTTTAAAGTTTAATGACTTCAAATTAGTATAATGATAAAAATAGCAGTAGCCATGAGTAACTATGGTAACCAATTATTCCAAACAATTCCCTGAGTGTCAAAAATTGATTTAGTAAAGCTTCTTGAAGTGTGGTGGCGCGCCATCTTGTTGGAATTAAAGTCCCTAGATTTACAAAGTACCGCGGTTTGACGCCATTTTGGCTCGAAAGTTAGCAGGAAATTTAAAACTACAAACCAAAACATTACGTCAAATTTCCTTTCTTTTTTTCTCGTGGTACTCTGAAGAGTCAAAAGTCCTTCTTACTGCCATTTTTGCAACTCCAAAGCCAACAGGACGGCAATATTTTTGTAAATAAGTGGTGACATGCAGTGACAAACTGTCAAACCGCCATTTTGGATCGAAAACAGGCTTCATGAACCGCGGTACTTTGTAAATCTAGGGACTTTAGTTGGAATAACTGCCGTTGGAATTGAGTTGTGTCAACATTATCGGGATGGAAAGAATGACATCGCTGTGAAAAAAATTAAATATCTCTTTCCACTTAAGGTTTCCTCAAATCTTTTGCGGATATTGGGTGTACGACTTTCTTGGCTAATTTGGATTTTGGGTAGCGCAATACCGACGACTTAGTCTATTTACTTGTCCACTCAATGTAAATGTCCCTTCGTCGAAAAAATTATGTTTTTGACAAAGTCTACGTCATCGTTGCAAAATTGTTGATGCAAAAACTAAGATTCATTGCTCGTGAATCATGTTTACTTTATGGGAATGATATTTTGCGGGTTTTAAAATTTTATGAACCGTTGATTTACTAATGTCGAAATTAGACCCAATACTTCTGTACAGTAACATGCCGGTTTTCTTGCCCAGCCAAAATCACGATTTGTTGAACTTCCCTTGCAACATTTAGTAGGCCAGACTTCGAGAAATGCTTCGAGAGATGGCCATGCTGTTTAAATTTAGTCACAGCTAGGCTACCATACTTTGGCTAATGAGTTGGCTATCAGGATATGTTGTATTAAAGAGGTCAACTACTTACTAAATCAGTTTTTGACACTTAGGAAATTGTTTAAAATAATTGTTTACCATAGTTACTCATGGCTACTGCTATTTTCATCATGTTAACAGATCTGAAGTAGTTAAACTTTAAAGTAATTTTTTTCGAAAATTTTCTTTTGTAAGCAATATTGACTGTATTAGATTCAGAAAAAAATCTTCTTTTATATTCCGTAATAAAAATGAGGGATTGCCATTTGAAAAAAAAATGATGACGTCATAACTCGCTTAAAAATGGCAGAAGAAATTTAAAATATACACCAAACAATTGCAAAAAATTTAAATCTTTAGACCCGTTTCAGAGATTTTTCCATAAACCGTTTATAATGATTTTATCGCCTATATCCGTTACTTTACGGACATACTGTATATAGAATTTAAGTCTAACTAGTTTCGGCCATCTTCAGAACCTCTACAAATAGATTAACATCCCTCATCCTATCCATTTTACAAATAAGTTTCTTAATATTTCTTTTTCTTTTGTTAAAAAAGATCACATATCAAAGTCGAAATCAGATTATTAGTTACTAATTTACAAAATTAATGTTTTAAAGGTTTTAAAATGAAATTAAGGACGAAGTGTTACAAGTTAACAGGTTAAAATTTAGGAACGCTCTTTTTTAAGAAAAGAAATACACCTATCCCCCGATTTACACGGTACTTGTTTTACACGTTTTCGCTTTTACACGGTTTTCCAAGTTTTTTTGGTTTTTATCGTACTCTACTAAATGCTACTGTGATTGAACACGTGCGCTGTGTACACATCTCACGGGGAATCCCGAGCTTATGTGCTGACTTAAAATATATTACATATTTTCACCTGTCAATGCATTTTATTTTTATTTCTGTGTACACCTAAAAATATTGAAAAAAATCACAACTGTTAAATAGCAAAATTATGCATTTTCTACAAGCTTTTCGATTTACACGGTTTTGACTTGAAAATTTGTAATTTTCGATTTACACGTTTTTCTCAGGAACGTATCTACCGTGTAAATCAGGGGATAGGTGTATTAAGAAACTTGGGAAAAATTCAAGAATCATCATGTGGCTTAAAAATCGACGATGTTTCTTTAATCAATGCGAAATGATCCAAAAAACACGTTAAAAATAAAAAGAAACTTCAGTTATAAAACTTCTTAAGTTATAACTAACTTCAGGTTTAAAATGTCAACCTCAATTTTGACATATTTGTAATCTTCATTATAAATCCTTTAAAATGAGTATAAACACGACATATTTATCTTCAATATTAATGAAGTTATGGTCAACTTTCGGTTAAGAATGTCAACGTCAATTTTGACATATTTGTAATCGTAGTGAAAAATTCTTTAAAGAGGATTTTTGAGTCCAAACATGATACGTTTAATTCCAATATTACTCGAGATATAACCAACTTTCGATTTGAAATGTCAATGTCACTTTGACATATTCTTAATTTTTATAAAACGTCTTAACATTTGTCACAAAAACAAAAATATAATGAAAAAAAATCAAAAATTAAGGTTGGTATTAATATTTAAAAATTAAACTGCTATCATCATTGTTGCTAACTTTGGGTTTAACAAAATTGACGTTGACGTTTCAAACCGAAAGTGATTGTATCTCTATTAATATCAAAGTTAAATATGTCGAGTTTGGACTCATTTTAAATGATTTTTTATGAATTTGACAAGTATGTCAAAATTAATAATTGAAAGTTCGAACTTTTTGGTTTTTTGAGAGAAATGTGTCATGTTTGGACTCACTTTAAAGGTTATTTTATGAAGATTACGAATATAATAATAAAATTAAAGTTAACATTGACAACTGAAAGTTTTTTCACGACTAATCCCGAATGTTTCTAGCTCTCGTTCTAGTTTTAGTTCAATAAAAATATACAACATAGTAATATCTTATGCTAACTAGCGCTTCCTACCACTGCCACTAGAACTAACACTAGACCGAGAACTAGAAACATTCGGATTTAGTCCCACGTCTCACAATGGGGTATTTGCCCATTCTAGCTGGACAAAATTATTTTTCCATTTCATCCCTTAAAATGTTTTTTTTTTATTTTCAGATACAGGGTATGTAATGCAAAATACACACTTTTAGGTGCGAAATGTTGTAATATACAGGTATTTCTAAATTGATGCGAAAGATTTCAAGGGTTGATTTTTCAGCAAAAATTAAGGTGTGTCTTTCATATAACTTTTTGTTCAAAACCCCTTCTCCTCCAAGTTACAGCCCTCTTATGCTCGATAAAACATCGCTTAGTCAAGTGATGTATAACGCGGCCCAATTATTACTATCAAACTCTCTTAATATTATATCTTATCTTAAAATACGAACGTGTCATTGCAATTTAAGACCTTTTTAACTCATATATAAAATCAGAGTGATGTTCTTTTAATCTAGTAATTTTTTCATTACGTTTTATTTTATTAACCATTATTATTTTCACTCAATGAAGTCAGCACTTATCCTAAGTTTTTTTATTTTTTGAGTTAATAAATGATTTATACATTTAAATTGAAATTATACAGGTGATTATCAACCTATACGCAACAACTTGGGGATTTAATCCTCGGTAATACTTGAAAAAAAATTGTAGAAAAAGATTTTTAGTTTCATAGATATCCGATATATACGGCGATATCTAGATAAGGTGCTTCCCGGAAGATGGGCAAGTTGAGGACAAGTCCATTGGCCTCTCCATCTCAATCGCTTGACCTAAATCCTCTTGATTTTTGTATTTTGGGTAAAATGTGTACATACATTTGGCTGTGTCATCTGCTTTTTAAATTGACGCGAGCTAAATTTATTTTCTTGTAGCACCTCTATATGTTCATAATGGCTTTTATTACTAGTTTAGAAAATTTAGTCTTCTCTCTTATCTAAAGTATGCTCTAAGAGTGCGTCCTTATTTGCAAATTAACAGAAATTTGGACAGACATCCGAATATTCTGGATTAAGAATTTAGCATCTGAGCAAGGCGCTCGACATTGATTCTTGTATTGCCACTAAGATTATAGTGTTGTCTTTTTGGAAACGAGATTTCATTCATTATTTATGATAATAATACAATGGTTTCGCTTAACCTAGTAGTACAGGCTTAGGTGATTCTGACTTAATTGCAGGTATGTTAATTGCATGTTTTTTTGCTGTTTGTTTTCAAGTTTTTCCTTGCAAGAACAAAAGAGTTTTAAATCTCAGACGGGAAGAAGAACGAGAGTCAGTTAGTCATAGTCAGTCAGTTATGAAGACTCAGTTAGTTTAGAGTAGAGATGGACCACTGAAGAAAGAAGTTAGAGACAGTTCAGTCTTGAAGTCCGAGACAGAGTTCAAAGAGAAGGTTTTAGTCATGGAGTTTCGAGTTCCAGAAGATTGAGTGGATGAGTTGGAGTACGAGTTCCTAGGATGTAAAGGTTCAGACAAGAAGAGCCGAAATAGATGGAGAAGTAGAATCGTTGGTCGAGAGAAGCCCTTTGCAACAATGAGATTTGTAACCCTTTGTGACCCTTATGTAATAATTGCTTACGTTATATTTTGTTTGGTATGTCTTGTTTTATATATTATTATATATAAAACTATTCGTTTCAGTCCCAATCCGATGGCGTAGTTGAATGATCTCATCGGATTCTTCTTGGTATGCTTTCTCATTACGCCGGAATAAAGTGACAAACTTGGACTGATCAATTACAACGAGCCACGATCGCGTCAGCCTGCATAATAGTACTAATTATACGCCATTGTTATTCATGCTTGGATAAGAAGCCAACCTAACCAGATTTTGATTACATCACATAGGATACTTACAATAAACATTTGCGATTTTCATTGAAGACCGCATTAAAACAGCTGAACTTATTGGAACATATACTGTCCGTTATCATTGCGTTTTTCGTCTTAAACGGAGGCACATACAGAATGATAAATGTCATATCCCAAAACAAGCGATATTGGAAGAACGAATCGTCAGTCACGATATCATCATTTAGAGGAGAGAAAAAATTTATTACAGTGTCTGGCAGATTTTGCATTGACACATTGTGTTAAGCTGAGAAGTTATCAGTAATCCATATCAGTAATCACAAATCCCGGAAGAAAGAAAAAAACTCCGAACGAGTCTATGGTGGTGGGCAGAAATATATGTTTTGTGCTATTGAAATGTTTTATAACGCTAAAGATGTCGTGTCCAAAGACGGAGTAGATTTGGTAGATAAAAAAATGGCCAAGGAGTTCTCTGAATGAATGAATTTAAATTCTTGTAAACAATATCTAGCCAACTGTATGTAATTGTTAATCTTTTGTCAATAACCTGTAGCTAGTCTTCTGCCATCTCTGTATAATCTTTTGTGTGCAGTATGAAGTTTTCTTCTAGAAGGAACTAGTCTTCTACCAGCAGGACTTAGTCTTCCAGTGGTTGTATCTAGTCTTCAGTAGCTGTATATAGCCAACGCTTTACGGTCAGTTTCCAGCAGTATCTAAATTTCTGCCATCAGCATCTAGTCTTCTGCCAGTAGTACCTAGTCTTTTCCAAGTAGTGTTTAATCTACCGCAAACGATGTCTAGTCTTCTCCAATCAATATTTAGTCTTCTATATGCATAACCATAGTGAGGTTAAGAGGTTAAGAGTCGAAGCATGACACGATGGAGCTATGATCGCAGAAACACACCAGAAATTATTTATTTAACTTTATCTACCGTTCTATAATAAACTTTAAAATAATGTCACCATCAATAAAATGTTTATTAGCGAATTGCTTTTTATATTTTTTATAAATGATTCATAAACGAGCATGTCTAAAGAACAATATTTATCAAGAAAAACTTTTAAAAAAATAAATAGATGAAATAAATCCATTTAATACGATAACAATTTCATTATAATCTCTGAAATACCCAGTTATCGATTAAGAGATAGATAAATCTTTATCTAAACATTGATAATGAACGAAACGAGAAGATTCAGATTTTAATTTATCAGTTTCGCGGACATTCCTACGTGGTTTCAACATATTTAATTTATGTTAAAAAGTAACGTAGTGCAATAAATATGAGTGTGAGCCCTTTACTACGTCCCTTGGGTATCGTAGCTGCGATTTTAGGAACGGTAAAAATCAAATTTTCTTAATAAGCTTTAATGCATAATCGTTGTAACTTTTTTGTTGGTAGAAAATGCGCAGTAATTTTAAAATTTTGGTTTTTAAATGCTTATTATCATTCGTATTATTAAAAATTGCTTTTACTTAGATAGTTAGATTTTTTTTATTTATAATTTATTAAATAGGAAGAAATATATTTGACGTCATATATTGATGTCATGAAAATATTTAATCGTGTGATTCATCGTATTTTTATTAATTCCTAAATCGATATTGATAAAATAAAACATTATTAATCAATTTCAAGAAATTCTCCAACAATTATTTATATTTCTCGAAATTTTTGTAAGTTAATAAAATTCTTTTTTGAAAACTTTATAAAGTTACAAGGATTAACATGGACCGTTTTGTCACTTTTGGTGATTTTATTATCCTCGCAAGCTTGGAAACCGGAGTTAAGCAATTTTTACAATTTTAATTTGATTGCTTATGCACTATTTTTTCTAGGTAAGATTATTATTATTAATACAATTATAAAAATTCTTTTAACTGGTATTTATTTAGAACGAGATTCAAATGGTTCAAGTGAATCAGATCTGATTTTTACTGGGACCACAGTTCTTGTTTTTGGATGTCTTTATTTGGTTATTTCGTTTATATGGGCCGTATCCTCGATGACATTAACATGGAGTAAGTTAATTTTAAAATAATTTTAATTAATTTTTCTATTTTTATTGTTTTTAAGTATTTATGCGAGAAAAATATGAGAACGCCAGAATAAGTTGTAAATCATGGAGTGTTATAACTATAATCACGACAATTTTGGATTTTATTTTGATTATTATTCTAGCTATTGATTTAGAAAAATATTCGTTAAAAGAGGAAGATGATTACACGGTAATCATGTTTAATACTTTAAATTTGTTGTTTTATATTTCTTTTTTTTAATTTTATATTCAGGTTGCTTCAATGAAATATGTTTATGGTACAGTTGTAGGAATTGCAATGACAATAGCTGCACGTGGCTTTGTTCTTTTAATAATCAACCCTATTTTAGCGATATATTTATTGAAATACTCAAAAGAAGTTTCACCATCACCAGTAAGTATTTTTAATACTCTTTAAAATAAACGAGTACCAAAATTTATTATTACAATTTTATTTTATAAAATCTTATCATGGCAATTAATTTTATTTTGAATGTAACACGTAAAAGGTGAAAATTCCATAACAATTTTCCAAAAAATTTGTTTTTATAGTATTTTAACGTTGAGCATAAAATTAAATCTCTAGTAAAGGGAGACCACGAAATGTGGCCCAACGATTATAATGATATTTTTTGGTGTAATAATCGATACCTATCTTGGCGTTTACGCCATAGGTCATCCCAAAAATTAAAAATCCTAAAAAAGGTAAAATCTTCCCGATTAAGATTTTACATGTGTAGTATTTTGATTACAACAAGAAAACCCTCAACCGATTTCGAAGAACAATATCTTATTCGAAAGCTTAATCCTTGGCCAATACGAAAGTGGAAATGCCCGGTTCGAAATCTCTGTCGAATTCCGCTAAAACACTAAAATATTGCGAAAGTACACGAAAATAACACAAAAATGATCTATTTTAAGTGGTCATAACTCGTAAACGATGTATTCGATTGTCAAGATCTATATGTCATTCGATTGGTCATACAGTGTGTTAATTGATTATCGTACCCTACGTCATCATTGCAAGTATGCAACCAATATCACAGTATAGGTATTGAAATACGCGATTTGCGTATTTGGTTGCATACTTGCAATGATGTCAAATGATGACGTCGGGTACGATAATTAATTAACACACTGTAGTTTCTTATATCGAAATCACAAAATGCCAGATCTCATTTTTCCCGTTCACCTTGTACAGACAGCCCTCAGAAGGACACCATGTCGATAAAAGAAAAAAATTAAAGTAGTTAATCTAAGTACGGTGTTGGGGATATTTTAGGAAAAAAGTTTTAGTATAAAACTTGTAACAAATTTTATTTTTAACGATATTGCACTTTTATACATTTTGTTATCAGATGCATAAATATCGAGGAAACTTCGATTAGGTGAAATTTAGATGAAATCGTGGTTTTGCATCCTGTTGTTGATAGAACTAGGGATTTGGAAAGTTTTAGTAATAAGTATTAACATAAAAGTTGTAGCAAATTTCATTCTTAACAGTATTGCTCTCTTATACTTTTGCACTCAGAAACATAGATATTGAGAAAAATACGAAAATATGTAAATTTGATGAATTTCGTCGTTATGAAAGTACTTCATGGTAGCACTTGGATATCGGGGCATGCTATAAAAAAACTTTTAGAACGAAAGTTGTAGCAAATTTCATTCTTAACAGTATTGCTCTCTTATACTTTTGGATTCAGGGGCATAGATATTGAGAAAAATACGAAATTATGAAATTTTATGAATTTCGTCGTTTTGAAAGTACTGCATGGTAACACCTGGACATCGGGGCATGCTATAAAAAAACTTTTAGAACAAAAGTTGTAGCAAACTTTATTCTTAACAATAGTGCTCTTTTATACTTTTGCTCTCAGATGCATAAATATCGAGAAAAGTTCAAAAATCGGTTGAGAGATTCTCTTGTTATAATTAAAATACTATACATGTAAAATCCTATCTAATTGGAGTCTGGAATAATTGGGGGCTAACTTCTCATAGTTCCATAATATATGCATCAAACAGTCATTTTCCATAAAAGTTTTTTTAAAGCATTTCTGCATCTTTTGTTCTTTGTATCCCAAAAAAAAAAACATTTAGAGAAGTTGTGGTGACTCCAAGCTATCCATAAGTGATGTGAGATTGAACAAGCGAGAGATATATTGATTATAATAAAAATCAGTCTTTTTGAATGTTATTTTTCTTAACAAGCGCTTACTATTAGTATGCAATAAATAAATACATAACATATCAAGCGGGTAAGGTATCTATAGTCGATACTACATAAGCTCAAGTTAAAGTATTTTTGAAAGGATAGGCAACCAAATACACGTAGCAAGACTAGTTTAATTATACACCAAATATTATTACAAAACTTGAAAAAAATATACACATTGCTTTTTCATACTATATACTGTATATCCCTAAAGTCATGGTACACTTTTGACCGGTCACAGGAAAGTAACAAAGCAAGATAGAATTGTGAAATCTTCACCAAATAAAAGGAAAGCTCTCAAAGTTTTCGTGGTATGATGTGCAAAGTTGTGTACGCAACACGACGAACTACACAGCAGCGAATCAACCCACGCCAGACGAGATGTGGACACTACAAGTCTTCTGTGGCTTCCTAAATTCGAAACAATGACCAAAGTGCAAGATGAATATCGGCGCTTGTATAACGAAGCTTGGAAGTTTCTGTAATAGCGACAGGTTTTCCTTTAAAACGTTGTGATGGATTTCTTTTTGGAAACCTATCTTGAAGTACCATGGTAGTGTTTACAAAATGTATCATGACGTATCATTCATGATGTATCATTCTAGATTCAACTTTGACCAACTTTGACATAGTGTCTACAGGTGACAGATTTTGTCAGAAGGATTAAAGTTGCGTATTTTAACAATGAACTTAAATAACAAATGAAATTTTTACAAACATACTAATTTTATTTTTGCCCTTTCCAATATTAATTTTGTATTGGATACAATTCAACTTGCTGGTTATATCGCAGTCCTCAAACAGTTTGGATTTTATTCTTTTAAGCGCATTGGTACAAGTACAGATAGAGTTGTCAAATATTTTGCTCCACCTAACACCAAAAGTTTTCATTACAATCTAATGGTCGCATTTAGTGATATCCCCTTGTAACAGTTCAACGATTCTGTAATACACAAATTGTTATAGTTAATCGGTAACAACTGTAGATATTGAATTATGAACAACCAATTATCATTGCTAAATGCGGGATATAACAATACTTGCAATTTGAGTCAAATTTTTTGCAGGCTTGTATTAGAGACCTAGGGGTTTGGAATGAACATAATTGCAATCTGGAAGATCAATTCTTGTTCCAGAGAAGTATTATTAAAAAGGATTTATAAACCGAATATTGAGCCAAAAGTTGTAGTCAAGTTTCGATCGGACAACTTGAACCGATTTTTTTTTCCGGCGTTATAGTGTGTAAATACATACTTATTAGCAACGTAATGGATCTGCCAAGGTTTTTATTCAATCCATATACAGTATATTAAAGAGGATCATACTACGTATTAGTTCGAATTCAAAATGTGTTAGAATTGTGGTAATCTTTTTGTACAAATTATAAATATTCGAATAATAAAATGGATATAATGACAACAATAAATTCACTACATCTTCCCGACCAGAAGTGTATGCTTTGTTGAAGTCATACCACTACAAAAATCCAATTCTCGTACGTAATTCAGTAATTTTATGGAAACTAATTGTATCGTGTCATCTATGTTTATATCAATATTCGATATTCGACAAAGGAAAATTTACATCATATCGTATAGCATCCAGAATGCAGTATCTACAAAAAGGTGAATGTATGGACATGTGGGAATGGACATTGAAGGGATGCTGATATATCAATTCGCTTCATTGAGATCTATGAATGCCTCTATGTATATAGAATTGTCGAAATGATCGTAGTAAGTATTATTTTCTATGACACTCAACTCAATTCAATCAGTGAAGTTTTAATTAACACCACGATAAAAGTTTTGGAATATCTTGTAGCACTAATAATTTATCGCTTTATCTTTAACGTTGTATCTTTAACAGCTTGAGATAACGGCGGCTATAATTCTTCTTTCGCCGACTAAATATTTCTTGCAGAAAACAAGATATTGCTAATACAAGACTAGAATCTTCTTAAAGAAGAAGATATTGCTTATAGAGGACTATATACAGCTGGTTGGAGACTAGGTTGTCTTGATGATATACTAGATACTTGACATTGCTATTACAAGACTAGAACGTCTATAAAGAAGTCTAGATACTTATAAAAGTCTATATATAATTGGTACACGGTTAAATACTGCTGGTAAACGACTAGATACTCATTATAGAATTTTAAATACTGCTTGCAGAGCACTAGATATTGTTGAGAGAATACTAGATACCGTTGTAGAAGATTCTGCTGGTAAAAGAGTAGATACACTTGAGGGAGTACTAGATACTGCTAGACACTACATACTGTTGACAGAAGAATAGATATTGTTGGGAGAAGGCTAGATACTGTTGATACAAGGCTACAACCTCGATAAAGAAGTCAGTTAGTGATGGCAGAAGACTAAATACTGCTGTTAATAATAACTACTTTTCAATAGGTTGATGTAGGAAAGATGTGCAAATTATGCTGTGCTTGATCAATCTCCATTCATATATCGAACTCTCAATATCCAGTAAGGGTTTTATCATGGATATTCCATAAACCACCAACAAGCCAGACTTGTGCCAATCTGGCATTGAGAAAGGATTCGAACCCAAGCAGTGATGATCATAAAGACGGACTTACCCAAAATACTCAATACTTCTCAATTAGTAAATAATATTTTTTAATCGATATAAAAATTCGTATATAATCAATTTTTTGGAATATTGTTATGGTATACACGGTACATTTTAGTTTTGATTTTATTTCAAAATATTATTCAATAACAAGAAAAGTTAGTGCGATTTTTATTATTATTTAAAAACCCCACTTTGGCAATAATGTATTCTTTAAAAATTAATTTTGTTTTAGAATCCCATTCGAGATAACCGTCCAATTATTAATGCTTATCAAGACCCGTAAGTATTTATTTCCTGTTAAATATTTAATTTCATTAAAAATCATTTTTAATATTCGTGTGATTATAGAAACAGTTTTAATTGGAATGAAAACCCCCGATCACCAATAACACCAATATCACCAAGATCTCCATCTAATTTCAACAACTACAATTACGTTCCGGATGATGATCCGAATTATCATCGTTCGGTGTCTCAACTTCAAGAACCACCGAGGCGTTACATTCCGTCAGAACCTGCAATCCCAGGCAGACAACAACAAAAACAACGAGCTCCTCAAGCACCAAATCAAATGCAAAGAGATTACAGAGATAATAATAATATGAGAGATCCTCGTAATATTTCTCCTCAAATTCCGGCTCCCGATTATGATAATCCTAGAAGGGGTGAATTGGAAAGAATGCCAAGATCGGCATTAAAAACTAAAAGTTATTATTAAAACTAACTATTATAATGAAGGAGAAGAAATTAGAGAAAAATGGTTTTTATTTTTTTAGTTTTGTAGATTTAAATTATATGTAGCTTTGTAGTTTTATTGCAATTTTTATGTTACAGTATTTTTTGTGGTTTATTATTTGTAATGATTAATATAACTAAGTTCTATGTTGAAACAAATTTTGAATCGAGATGAAAGAAATTAGCTTTCTGATCTATCTTGTTTGAGTGTTTAAATAATAATTTAACTGATTTTCACACAATTCAGTCAATTTTTAGATATTGTCAAATAAATTAAAATTATTAGGTCGATTATTAAATTATTAAAAAATCAAAAATTCATTTTTCTTTTGTATAAATTGTTGGATTAGTTTCAAAAACATATTGTAGCTTTTTTTCTCCATTTTGGAAGATATGACTGGTTCTACTTTATTGCGATTTTATGTTTTGGAAAGCTTAGTATGATTCAAATACAAAGTTTTCAAAATCCTTGAAACTTACGAAATCATTAGTTTTATGATAAACATGGATAATAAATTCTTTTCATATCAATCATTAGAATTTTCATTTTAATTATTTATTAAAAGAATTGTTACGGATCAGTAGATTTGAACCGAATTTATTATAACTTATAAATTATATAATTTTGTTAACATCAACACTTCTTAATATGTTGTTAACCACTTGATTGAAATTAAAACGGTCCTTATATCCGACAGTATATAATTTCGGCCAGCCATATAAGGTTATATTTAATAAAGGGTGAGCCTGATACACCAATGCTTCAAATCAAACAGTTGGATCCGAAGTAGGTATGGGCATTAGTGGACCAAATAGCCGCATTAAATCAGCTCGGATATAACCATTTTTCAAGCAGAAGTTCTTGCTATAAACTTCTGGACCGTTTTGAACCTAGAAAAGGGACAGAAAGGTGCATCCATAAACATTTTCACAGACAGTCGGACCGTCTTAAAGGCAATTTAGGCCTATACGTGTGATTCTGCACTGATCAGAGAATGTACCAGTAACCTGAGAGAACTCGCTAGGGGCAATGATGTCACTCTATGGTGGGTTCCAGCTCACAGAGACATTGAGGGCAGTGAAAAGGCGGACAAGTTGGCCAAAGAGGCAGCGAAAACGTCTTTTATTGGACCGCAACTCGGTTGTGGACTACAAAAAAGCCACTTAAGCGAAGAGTATGATAACTCCGTCGCAAAACAAAACCAAAGAAGTTTTATGCTGGTTAGTTAAGTCGCTCTCAGGATTTTTGGCCGGCCATGGGCCGTTAGTTGATAAGTCATTGGAAATGAAGGAGAATCAGTTTTTATTATTTGAAAGTTTAAACGCGATTTTCTCAAAACTATATTGTGATAGCTCATATCAAAAACGACTTAACCAACCTTTCTGAAATGTTAAGACATAAAAAGAGTAGGTAATATTGTTTGTATAATAAATTGAAACTTTATTATAAAATTAATAACATTTGTAGTACAAATTCTAAGCTTTCGAATGAAAGAAGCGGGTTTTCAAAATATCATTTAATTTTTGAGATATAAATTTTTAAACATTTGAAGTCATTTACTCAATATTTCGGGTTAAGCAATTATTTTCAAAAAATCATAACAAATTGGTATTTAAATAAATCATTATGAAATTTCAGCGCTTGTTAGACATAATAATATAAGCTTTCGAATGAAAGAAACGGTTTTTCAAAATATCTTTTAGTTTTTCAGATATTGATTTTTAAACATAGCTGTTTTTTTTTTCATTTTCTTGGGAGACTTTCAAAAAATCGCAATAAATCGGGATATTAATAAATTATTATGAAATTATCAGCATATCTAATTCAAATTATAGGCTTTCTAACGAAAGAAACGATTTTTCAAAATACGTTTTAGTTCTTGAGATATTAGTTTTTGAACATAGTAAGATATTTTCTCATTTTTCCACCTTTAATAAAATCCGACAAAAAAATTAATATATAATCTTTAAGTTATTTAGTTATTTGGCTCAAAAACTTGTACTTTAATTACTTTAATTGTTTCATAAAAGGTAATTTATTAATGCTTTTATTATTTGTTATTTACGGAAATTGAAAATTTATTAATCAATCAATTAGTTGATATCTTTTTTTTTAAATTATCTTAAATAATATTGAATCTTTTTGATAAATATTTATCTTTAACGTTAATAATATCTTATCGAGATGATACCGACCTAAGGTTTGATTAGTTTCTTCTTATATTTTGCTTCTTGTTAGTGGTTTATAATAACAAACAACATGTCTGTGAGCCCTCTTTTACGTCCTTTGGGAATCATCGCATCGATTTTAGGAATGGTAAAAAATCTTACATTCACGAATATTAATTTTATATATTTATTTTAATTTTTAAATAACTTAGATACAAGGTCTAACATGGACAATTCTTGCAACAATGATTATACTGTTATATGCAGAAGCTGGGATTGCAGATAGTGTTTCTAGGCGTAATATATTCAATAATATTGCTTACGAACATTTTTTTCGTTGTAAGTAAACATCACTTTTGTAGAAATATAGTAAAACCTCGATATAACGGATCTTGTTAAAACGGCGAATATATATATATATACAGCCTGTTCTCAAATACAATTTGTATTAATGTGTGGTGTGGTCTAATAGGGACTAAGTAAGAATGTTTTTAAAAAGGCTTTTTCAAAATAGGTGGACAGCAAACAATGGTCCAATATATTGGCCTCTAAGATCACCTGACATAACTCCATTGGATTTTTACTGTTGGGGCTATGTTAAGGACGAAGCTTTTAAAAGGAAATACGCGAACTTGATCGAACTTCAGAACAGCATTACAAACGTTATAAGATACATTGATAGAAGAACAATTCTAAAAGCTACAAAACGTGTAATAAAGAAAGCCCGAAAAGGTGATGTGTTTGCACATCTAATGTGAAATTCTTTTGTTTAAATAAAATGAAATTTCATGTTATGGGGTTTCGTCTAATCGGAAAAGATAGTGAGTTCCAGACAGGACGTCGCGCCTTTATTTTACCTACATAAAAAATAAAGGCGCGCCGCTCTGTCTGGAACGCACACCAGCACCATCCTTTCCGATAGGATGGAACTTTCCTCTTCCCGCACGTCTTATTACTGCTTCTTTTTAATTTGTAATTCGCGTAAATTGCTCTAAAAAAATTCGACAGACATAACTTTAAAAAACTGATAATGGGAGTCGACAAATGTAATTATTTGACATATTTTGGTTAAAACCGCGTTGAAATCCACCCAGTCGTTTTCGACATAAATCGCGTTTTTACGCGGAACTATACAGGTGTGTCACCTAACTGTTTCGTTAGAACTAGTTTAGGTTCCACTATTCGTAGAGGTTTGAAATTTTGGTAATAGGGGTTAATCATCCGAAACTTTCGATCTAAAATACTTTCAAGATGGCCGCCATTTCTGGTCTACCGGAAGTAGACCACTACTTCGTTATTTTAAATGGAATGCTATAATTTTTATAACATCTTTTAATTATATGCCAATAAATAAGTTGACTTTGATAAAAGTTATTGGTAAGCATTTTTCGTTTTCGAGTTATTTTGATTTTAAGTTATTTTTGGCAAATTACACAACGAGCCCTAACAACTATACATATATTGGGACAAAATAAAATGTGTATATAATTAACAATAATTAAACAGTTTAATTTCTTTTAATAATTTTTTCAGATTAATATCATTTGATTATATAATTAACAACAATTTTATCTAATGAACAACAGAAAAAAACAAAATACATACCCTATTGCTTCTAATTAAACTAGTAAAATGTATATTTTACCTCACAACTTAATATTGGGACAATGCAAAGTAACTTCATTAAGATAAGAAAACTGTGGAAATAATGTAAAATAAAATGTTAAATTGCCGGTTTGTTCTAAAGCTTGTAACATTGTTGCTGTTGAGTAAATCTGTATTTATCAATTAAAATGGTGCGTGGTATCTGTACAGACTCAAAATTCCGTGATTAGTGATTAAAAATTATTGCCACAATACGCCAAAGACAATACGCGAAAAAGCAGACGAACTTAATATTCCTAAAAGCACAGCGTGGAAAGTAATTAAACATTATGGAGAAACTGGGCAAATTTTAGAAACAAAGGGTAAAAGTTCAGGTCGTCCAAAGTTAGTTTCTGATAGAAATAATGGAATACTTGTAAAAATCTGCAAAAAAGGACGAAGAAATATTTTAAGACAAGTTACCGCTGAATGGAATAATGAAACTGGATTAAATATATCAAGGGAGTTTTACGAGGTTTACTACAAGCAATAATTAAAAAATGTCGCTTTTAGAAAATTGTTGTTTTATAAGCAAAAGAAAAACCACTGTTAACAGAAAAACAACAGAAAGCCAGGCTCACATGGGCAAAATCTAAACTGTCTTGGTCAGCAGAAGACTTTTCCAGGATAATATTTAGCGATGAATCGAAATTTGCAATAAACATGAGGCATTTCATAAAGATTGTTTAAAACGTTGTGTAAAATTTCCGAAGGAAGTAATCATTTGGGGCTGTATGACAGCTTCAGGATAAGGATGCTTTGAATTTATTGATGGCACCGTGAACGTCGCAAAATATCAACAAATACTACAAAACAGCATACTACCAAGTATCGTGCAGTTAAATGTTGGCGAAAATTACATATTTCAGCAGGATGGATGTATTGGCCTACCAACAATCCAGATCTGAATGTAATTGAAACAGTGTGGCACAAAATGAAATAAACTTTATTATTATTATTATTAATTCAAGCAATTCCCAATATTTAGTTGTCAGGCAAAATTTACATTTTTCTACTTTAATTAGATATGTATTTTGTTTTTGTGTTGTTCATTAGATAAAATTGTTGTTAATTGTCTAATTAAATGATATTAATTTGAAAATGTATTAAAACAAAATAATCTGTTTAATTGTTGTTAATTACATATAAATTCTATAATGTCCCAATATACAGGGTGTATCTGAATGACTGCAACAAACTTCAAGGGGTGATTCTTTAGTGAATTTTAAGGGTACTTTGATATATGAACCATGGGCGACTTCGGCTCCCCTGAGGAGCTATTTGTACTTTCAACCTACCCTTCTAAACTACTAACGTAACCACCCCCATTCTATTTATGCCTAGATTTTTTTTATGAAGATGATAAATACATTGGAAAACGCCCCATATTTTTTTAGCCTACCGGAAAGAGAATTTAATTCTCTACAAACATTCATATATCTATTGATTGTAGTTGCCCTCATATTGGGAAATTTATCGTAATCATACATAGAACTCCAAAAACCATTTGTGTTTTTGTTAGAAGGCTATGATATTTTGACAGTTTTAACAAACAAATAAACACAACAAATAAATGAAACAATGAAAACAAAAAATTAATGACAGAGAGAGATTAATGAGTGCAAATTAAAATTTTTTCATATATTAGTCCGTTATATCGAGGTTTTCCTTTACAATTTTAAATCATTTATTATTTAGATGATATGAAATTAGAGGCTCATTTCGCTGGAACAACAATATTCATTTTTGGACTTGCTTATTGCGTTTTTTCGTTTATATGGGCAGTTATTTCAATAATTTTATTTTGGAGTAAGAAAATTGAATTGACAGAATAAACGGATTATACATAAAAATATTTTATAGGTTTTTTGAAAGAAAAATACGAATATGCCAGATTAAGTTATTTCTGGGCTGTAATAGCAGCAATCATAACGTGTTTAGATGTAACTACAATAATTCTTATAGCTATTGATATGCAAAAATTAGAAAGTCATTATAATCAGGTAGCAATCATAAATAGATTAGATCTCGTAATTTCTAACATATTTTTTGGGTTTTTAAATTAGGATCCTTTAACGAAATATATGTATCGTTCCGTTGTGGGAATTGCAATGACTATAGCCGCTCGAGGTTATGTCCTTTTAATAATTAACGTTATTGTAGCGACATATTTGACAAAATTGGTTAAAACTCTTCCACGAATTCCAGTAAGTATTTTTAATTGAAGTAAATTATAAAATGTTTTTTTTTTATTTATTTTTTAGAAGCCAGTTCAAAGTAATCGACCAATAAATCGACCACTTTATTATCTATATAGTACTTATCATTACCCGTAAGTATTTGTTTTAATTCCCCAAAAGAATTAATTATTTTTAAAACATTTTAATTCAGAAATGTTATTAATACAAATGAAAATCCTCCTCCATCTCAACAAGAAAACTCAAATAATTCCAACAACCAAACTTTACAACCAATTGATAAACCTGAAATGCGTCGAATATCAAATCAAACGCAAAATTCAGAAGATAGTAATGATATAAGGAGTATGTCTGATTTTGCAATTAGTGATATTGGCCCATATATTCCACCCCCGGATTACGATGACGATGATAATCCTAGATGGGGGGAGTTAAAAAGAATGCGTAAAGCGGTGATAAAACCTCAAAGTTATAATTGAAATTACTTTGATGAATAAAATGGCGTATAAAATATATACCTAGTACACTTCTAATTTATGTTTATTTATTTTTAAATTTTTTTAACGGAAATTCTAGTAATTAAATATTTTAATGATGACTCAAATTTTTATATGTTTTAAGGGTGACTCAGAAACCAAACCAACAAATGATAAAAATAAATTTCTTAGATTTTTAATTATCTGAATGGTACTTGATTTTTATCGATAAACAATTATCAATAAAAGTGCTCATCTGAGCGGTCCACATTCAGATTCAGCGACAAATTCGTGCTTGCAACTACACTTAACAATTATTATCAAAAAAAAATTTTAACTTTAAAATGAAGACAGTTAGTCCACATTTACGCTATTTAGGGGGTTTCGCTGCGTTTTTAGGAACGGTAAGAAATTTTTTTTTATAATATATATTTAATTATATATTTTAATTATTTTTATTTGGTTAAGTTCAAATATTTTGTTAATTTTTACTACAAAATTTATTTTGAAGAATTGGATATATTGCTATTTTGTTTCTTAATTTGATTGTAAAATTTAATTTAAGATAACACCATTTCATCGATTTTTATATTATCTAATCAGCCTATTTTTACTTTTGGGAACGAAATTAAACGTAATGTTTTAACAAAAAAGTATTTATTCGTTTTTCACGTAACATAATTTCCTCAAAAATTTGTATTTGATACCTAGAGTACCTAGACAGTCGTTTAAAAAATATAAATTATGGATATTAATCAGAGAAGCAATAAAATATTAATAATGTAATATCTAAAATATTTGTTGCGCAATTTCACGTGACAGGGTGACAATATTAGAAAGCTTTGAGATTAGGGAATTTCATCCAGTTACCCATTTTCTTCTAAAAAGTTACCACTATAGGTTAGAGTTCATGATATCACTGTCCACTTAGTTATACACCGTTCATTTTTTATGCTTCAGTAATAACATTGCTTACGACTGCTATAAAGTAATGGTGTCAATACGCGTTTCCAAAAATACGGGTTTCTTGAACTTATTTTCTTTTGATTTGGAAGATTGCCAGATAAAAAGTTCGAAAATTATTCGGTGGTACCATTTTTTTGGTCTTTCTGTCAATTGCATAGATTTTTAGCACAAACCCCATATATTTTATTGATCCATCTTTTTCTCTCCTATTGACGCGATCATTTTGTTCGAGATTATGATAATTGCTGAAAAAGTATACTGTACAAAAAGTACACCATTTCAAATCCTTTGGTCAATATATTTTGTCTTTTCTTATTGTGCCATAGACAAAAATATTGTTATCGTACCCAGATTTATCAGCACGAACCCAACAAGTCATCTTTTGATAGACTTAGCAGGCATACATTGTTTTAGGGTTGATTCACCCCCTTTCGGCTGAAGGCAATTATCTTCAATCTAAACTTGGTAGTCTTTTTAATGACAATATTTACTCTTAGAAATGCTTTCAACTATCAACTTCAACAAATTACCACAATTACAGAAAATATAATCCATTCTGCTAATTTGCTACAATCCTTTTCCTTAAAGAGACAACAACTTAGGCGCCACAATTAATTCCGTTAAGAGATATTAGAAGAAATCGCTTGTGGCAGAGGCGCTACAATCCAGTTCGTTGCAGAGACAGCAACTTAGGCACCACAATTAACTCCATTAAAGAGATAATAGCCAAGTTTATTAGCGGCCGAGGCATTACAATGTAGTTTCTAAAGAAACAGCAACTCAAGTACTAAAATTACCTAGATTAAAAAGATAATAGCCGAGGTCGCTTGTGGCAGAAGCGCTACAATCGAGTTCCTTGAAGAGAGAGTAATCGTGGTGACACAATCCATTTCGTTAATCACACAGTAGCGAGTTTCTTGCGAGCAAGGCGTTATAATTAATTCTTTTAAAAAGACAGCAATCCAGGCATGACAGGTACAAGTAATACAATTGCAACTTCCATACCGGTAAAAACATTCATGTTGGTACCAAATAATTCCATGATTTGGTTATTCGCATCACATAGCGTTTTTGACCAAATTGAAAGGGGGATTTCACCATAGGAGTAATATTCGTCATCAACTACAACAACTGGTGTATTTTGATTTCGCCTCAGACATTATTTTTGTGTACAGATACATTATCCGCAGCTATTATTCAGCTAAATTATCATTATAGCCTAGAATTTCATCAAGATAATCCTGGCTCATGTTTGGATGTGCAGAATTCGTAACAGTCCGTTAATTAAGTATATTATCTGTACTGATTAAACTGGTTATGTAAATACCTAACGGTATCTCGTTTTAGTGGTTTTCTGTTGGACGTTTGATACTGGAATTTTAAAGGCACGCCATTTTCATCTCATCTTGTAATTTCAATTCATCTTATAAGTCAATTTCATCTTCATCATTTGATCTAAACATGGAACCAGCTACACTTTGTATGATTGTCAGAAAAAAATCTATGCTATAATCAATTAATTTGTTATTCAACAATTATGAGCATCTTTGGTCCTTAGGTTCTTTATGGTCCTGTTTGGTGTCGTTTATGACATTGATATTAAACTTATGTATTATAAATAATAATAATGTATCATAAAAATAATTTAAATTTTGGATCTATGCAAAAATATAATTACTGTTATCACACAATCTATTATAACTCTTCAAAACTTTATCAAGTTTATGCTCTTTGTCGTGCTAGAAAGATCGCTATTTTAAGATGTATAATCTGAATTTCAAAAACGTAAGAGTACTATAACCCAAAATAGAAATTTAAAAATACTGAATTGAATGAGAAAGGTCGATCGATTTACAAAACGATTATAAAACTTTTTATTTTATATTGTTTCACATTAATTGATTTCATCTGTCACGAAAAAAATTCTACATCAAGATATACATTTTCTCGTAATACATGACTCATCTATTTTTATTTGTTTATTCCAAAAAAAAAGACGATAAGGATTAGCAAAATACTTGAAGATTACAATGAAAGAGTTGTAATATTAATACGTTTTATATCTAAAATTAATAAATTGTTTTTAACTGTTTAGATTCAAGGATTAACATGGTGGATTTTATCGTGTTTGGTGTTATCGATTTATACGGGTACATGGGAACCTAATCCAACTAATTATTTTAGGTTATTTACTTTATACCATTTTTTTCAAAGTAAGTAGATGAAAATTTCATGAAAAAATATATTTTTTAATTCTTAAATTTTAGGTTTTACATATCCGATAACTGAAGATTTCTACAATATTAGTATCCATGAATCCACATTGGTCGCAATATCTGCTTTTTATCTTATACTTTCACTTACATGGCTGTCATCTTCGATTTTTTTGGGAATCGGTAAGAAAATAGAAATAACAATTTTTTTAAATTACTTTTTTATATATTTGTTTAAGTATTATACCGAAAAATGTATGGTAACTTTAAAATGAGTGTTTTAATTTGGGCTGTATTAGCAACTGTAACAACGGGTGTAGATATAATTATCACAATTGTCTTGTCTACCGATTTACGAACGATTGAAGATAGTGTTGTGCTTGTAAGTTTACATAAATTAATTTTTTTCAAGTCTCACTTTGTTATTTCATAGGATGATGCTACTAAATTTATATTTACAACAGTAATAGGAGTTGTAATGACAATATTCGCACGAGGATATGTTCTTTTGGTAATCAATTTTAGTGTGGCGATGTGTTTTATAAGTAATTTCCTTACAACAATGGTGGGTACCTTAATACTTAAAACGATCTTAAATAATAAAAATTGTTTAATCTAATTTTTTTATAGCGTATGTAGCGTATGAATCAAATATTAGGGTAAAATCCGTAAGTATTTATTATTTCGAAATATTAAATAATATTTTAAAAATATTATTTCGAATTGCAAACAATAATATTTATATTTTTTAGATCTACTTCTCATCAAGTTACTAATATAAGCTTATAAAAAGAAAATAGAAGTACAACGGGTTATTGCCAAGAACTAATTAAAAAAAGAATTATTTATTTAAATAAAATATGAATGTTTTTACACGCTTAACAAAACATTGTAACAAGTAGTAACGAAATAAATAGACATTAATATATGCTTTTATTGCTATTTCATGATTATTGTTATTGCTTTGTAGAAATTATACAGATGTAGTAAAACTGCTTATAGAGTTTATATGTTTTTTGTAATACCATTTTATCGAATTTTCGAAATTTGAGCCCTTACGCATCTTTTTCACACTTACTGTACTATCGGAAAAGATGGTGCTGGTGTGTGTTCCAGACTGGACGTCGCGCCTTTCAATCCACTAAGCCGCTTTCGATATAACGGCATCTTACTAAACCAAAGATCGGATACTTTTTTCGATTGATATCGATCTCTAAAGTGAGGGGCGTTGACTTTTGGCACGAATAGTAGTCAAATCCAGAAAACCCATTCCATTCTGATAGGCTATTCTTCTCCGAAACCACTCATTCTAAGCTTATTTAGGAGAGGAAGTCACGCAAGATATATTTTACTGTTTAGTCCTCCCACTTGCAGAATCAACAAAAATGGGTATTCACAAAATCATGAAAAAGATGCTTATTTCTTACTCTACTGACAATCCATAGTTATATTTTACGCGTTCAAGAACTTTTTGTAGGTGATGCGTTTCATCGATTAAATATGTTATGTACAATACTTCCGGTTTAAACCTCTATAATTCAGTGATATGACCTAAATTTTGAAAATTACTTGAATGTTCGGCCATAATAATTATACAGTATGTCCCCGGATCGAGTTACAAAGAGAAAAAAAATTTATTACTGATTTTTCAAACTTATCTCCACATAAATAATGCGTCGAATATGTTTAAACCACTATCGCACGAACTTTATAGAAGTTAACAAATTATTCCCATCTTTATGCAAAAATTATATATACTTTTCGTTAATTAAAAATTTTTCAAGTTCAATTTACGATATGTAACCATAGAAACCATAAAAGTTACAACTTATATTAGTGAAAAATATACGGACAAATTAAATTAAAATATGGCTAATTGAATAAAATATGTTAAATGTAAATTTATGTAATGGCACACTATGTAAGTAATAAATATTATTTGTTTGTAAGTGAACAAATCCTCATTCAAACAAATGCCCTCCTACTACGGCACACATTTGAAGACGAGTTCTAAATTCTTTATAAGAATTACGAATTTCTGCCAGTGGTAGAGATTCTATCGCATTAATTATTCTTAGTTTTAATAGTTCTGCATCATCTTGTAATGGTTCACTGTAAACAATTTGTTTCAATCGTCCCCAAAAATAAAAATCCATAATTGTAAGATCAGGACTACGTGCTGGTCATCAAATAAAACCATTTTTGACGAAATTGTAAATTTAACCATTTGGCACAATGTGTAGTAAGCTTAGTAAGCTGGGCAACTGTCTTGCTGAAAGTACATTGACCCTATAAAATTTAAGGGTAATTGGATTTACATCACTTCAATAACGACAATGCTGGGAAGAAACAATGTGATTTGTTGAAAAGCTATCTGAAAAGTAGCGTCTTCCTCATTTAGTCTCTTTGTCTGCCTCTTTATGGATAATACAGAAAAACCCGTTTCCAAAAATTTGAGATATTTTTGTGTCCGGATATTTTTGCTGGAATTTTTGTATAACTTCCCCGAAAACATGTACCATAGCACAGTACTAAATAAATTCTCTCTTTCATGGTTAACATCGCATGAAAAGACTTAATCTTACCAACACAAGTTGTAACTTTTATGGTTTCTATGGTTACATATCATAAATTGAACTGGAAAAAGTTTCAATTTAGAAACAAGTCCAATTTTTACAGAAAAATTGGAATAATTAGTTAACTTTTATAGTTAGAGTATAAAATTCATGCGATTTAGTAGTTTGAAGATATCCGACGCATTATTTATGCTGAGATAAGTTTGAAAAATCGGTGTATAGCAATGTATTTTTATTTACTTAATCGTATTTGTTCTCCATCATTACCGGTGATGGTTTTTATGACCGCGTTATGATCACAGCACAACTGTATCATAGAAATATGCAAGTATGTGTATTCCATAATATTAAGTGAATTTTGAAGTTTTAGTCTATTACATAACCACACCATATACGGCCAAAGCACGGCCGTATTTATAAGGAGTTCTCTTTCGGTACTGATCGGAAACGATGCAACACTTATTTATAATATCTTCTGTTTTGGATTTTCATATTAACTTACTTAAGCTCTATAGATAGCATAAAAATCTGATTCTGCCTAGATTACGCATACATGTAAAAAACAACAAATTCCGTTGACAAAAAGTATTCTTTATTACACCATCCCTGATTGTTACTTAGAATGAGTATTTCCTGTCAAGCAGTACATTAAGGTACATATATATTTTCCTTGTGAATAGCCTCTTGTAATTGCCCCTTGAAGTCCTTCATTTGACGGTTTTGTGTCTGACAGTGCTCTTAATTCAGCTATAAAAGATCGGTGGAACATTATACTCTAATAAAGCTTCGTTAATTCTGGAGGACGTGGTTTTATCTAACGCACCTTAAACGTCTCCGACCGCTAATTTGTCTGAAAGAGTTTGTAATGATGTAATGATGTGCGGTTGTAGGTTTACAAACTCCATTGTAATAAAAGTAATACAATCTCATCAGGTTCTAAAGTCTTGAACGTTCCTCCTCACACATAGTTTGGGTAATAATCATTCTTTCAAAATAATTATGAATCAATACTTCAAAGTTGAAGTGAAATGAAAGTAGTGAAAGTAGTTATTAGAAGCTGCCAACATCTTGACTCCATAGGTCCTTTCTTTCCTTACCCTACCTGCCAATATCCACCTTTATTCCGCATCTCTCTCTTATCGTCTTATTTGTTTATGAGTCTTGTAAAGAAAGTCTAAAGATCTGACTTCATTTCAACTGCTGTCAGTTTCTACTTTGTTCTGTGTGATTTTGTTGTTTCTTGAAAATGCTGAAACACTTTGCGATCTTTAATGATTTTGTCGCCTGATTTTGTTGACTTCTAGCTCCAGTTTGGATTTTCGAGGCTCACTAGACATCATTAAAGTTTTGACTTTTTTTGTGGAAATGCTCTTGTTATACATTTTTGATGTTGTGCATAATTTATTGAGGAGCTTTTGGAGATCATCTTCGATCTCTGCCATATGTGGTACATCGTATGCATAACAGATTATGTTTATCTTATAGTTCCATTTGTACTTCACAGACTCTCGTTGCTTGGTTTCCTTAACTACGCTCGCCCAATCCCTATTACTTTCTATCAATGTTCTTTTTCAGTACCATTCGAGACTTTTTCCACTTTTTCATCATTATCTTTTGAGCATATTTGGCAATGAATTAACTTTTTTCATAGTCTAGTGGGTTATTATACGAGTAATGTCTGTTTGTACTACCTTGCCAGTTTCCGTGCAATGATATTTTTTTATATAGCAAAGTAGTAGCGAGAAGTTATAAAAATTACACATAACAATTAAATTAATTGTTGTATTACTGGAAAAACTCTGAATCATATCTTAAAAAAAAAATAATTTATTCATTTTATATTAACTTATTTATCTTGAATGAATGCCAATCGATAAAGAATTATCTAAATTGTATATCAATATAAGACAGTTTATTTTTATATTCCATTTATTGTTATATTTCCAACAAGCTTGTGTTAAAAAAAATAACATGATTGACAGCCCGTTTTTACGTCCTTTGTGTATCATTGCTGCATTTTTAGGAACGGTATTTATATTTAATAACGTTATTCTTTTTTTAATTTCATAACAAAATTTTTTTGTAATAGTATTCATTTAGTTTTTTAATTACACATTAATGTTTCTGTGATTCATAGTGTGATTCATAATATTATCACAGAACAACTTCTATACAAACTTAACAACAATTTTCTTTCCATAAATCGCTAATTAATAATCTTTATTTCAATATCCTTTTTGTCCCAACTCAACAAGGTACAAGGATTAACATGGATGATTTTATCAATTTTGGTAATACTATTAGACTCCGAAATCTGGATACCAAATATTGATTCAATGAATTACTTTAATACCGCTGCTTACAACCTTTTATTTCAAAGTAGGTAAGCTTTAATCATTGACATTTTTAATAACTGTAAGTTTTTGGATTGTTTTATTAGATACTTCAGATCCTCTAGTTGATGATTTAACATATTTAATTTGTAATTTTGCTCTTTTTGCTTTCGCATGGATTTACGTGATACTCTCGTTTTTGTGGACGGTGATTTCATTGATTTTAGCTCAGAGTAAGCAAACTTATTTTAAAATTAGTTCTTATTTAATTTGATTTTTTTTAAGAATGTTATCGGAATCGTTATAACAACGTAACGCTAGATAACTACGGTAATTGGGTCGTAATAACTTTCCTTGTGACAACTTTCGATTTGATTTTATCAGGTTTGCTAATAATAGATTTTGTGGTGATCCAATATTTTTCTGAACTTGTAATAAGTATAATTAACAAATTTAATTTTTATTTAAATTTTACGTTATAGGATGATGCTACTAAATTTTTATATAATACGATTGTGGGAGTTGTGATGACCATAACAGCACGTGGATACATTCTTGTAATAATCAATATAGCTGTAACGATTAGTTTGATCAGAGTTGGCGGAAAATTCAAAGTTTCAGTATTAGAGGTAAGTAGTATTTTAATACATTAATCAAGATTATTATTGAAATTTTAAAATTTCTAGTGTTGGAAACAAAAGATACCTAGAAAATAGAAAAATAGTAGATGAAATAGATGCAAAAAGTAGATTCTTTAAAATATATAACATTAATCTTAAAAGAGTGTAAAGATTAAATAATAATTTGTTGTTAATTTTACTTGATTGATTTTTTTATTTTTCAAGCTAAAGTTGGAATTTAGCACTGCAACTTGGGT